TAATATTAAACCGAAATTGTATTGTATGTACGGTTATTGTGTGTATTATTGAAAATTCACATAGTAAAAGAAATAAAATTATAAAATTACCCTTCATTCTCCACTCAATCTTTCCATACCTTTCCGGCATGGTTGTCGTCTCCCGCTTCAAATATGTATAGTCGTAATTTATGTATGAATCAGTGCAGTAATGGAAGAATAAAAATCTGAGTGAATAATAGCTCAAAGGTGAATGAAATTTCTCAAATTAGTGTATATATATATATTTTATCAAGATTTGAGTTAAACTTCAAAATCTCCATATATAGAGCGGCACACCATAGCAAGCGGCGCCGAAGAGTAGCGCCTCCTTGGCATCGCCGAGAAGCTCCTCCGCTCCAAGGACTACAATGGATGCAGGGATTTTGCCATTATGGCGCAAGAGACGGAGCCGTTACTTGAGGATTCCGATCAGATCTTGGCGGTGGCGGAGGTTCTCCTTGCCGCCAAGGGCAAGTGGTTGAGGAAAAATCACTGTGATTGGTACGCAATTCTACAAATTCCCCAATGCACGGACGAAGTTGAGCTAATTAAGAAGCAGTACCGGCGACTCAGCGCTCCTTGTAATACCTCCGGAGTTGGGCCGATGTTAGGCCAACTCTCGTGGATGAGTCGGTGTCAGACCATCCGAGGTTGAATAAAGGTTAAATAGATTGAATAGACTATTCATGTCAACAATGTACATATTTTCTTTAGGGAGCCCTTCTAGAAACTGTAGAGTTAAGCGTGCTTGTCTTAGAGTAATTTGAGGATTGGTGAGTTCCTGCAAAGTCTCTCAAGGTGTGCGGGAGTGATGACAAAAGCGCGCTGCAATGACTCGTGTTGACCAGTGAGGCCATTCTATGATCCTGACACGCCCGAGTTTGCGTGGCTTGCGGGCCGCGGTGTCACACTCCTCCATCCTAACAAGAACAAAGTCCCGTTCTCCGACTCTGCGTTTTGCCTCGTTGCTGATGCGTGGTCGGTTCTATCCGATTCGGCGAAGAAATCGTTGTTCGATAGCGAATTCGCCTCTCAATTCACGAAGGAGGATCTCAGACCGAAGAAACATCACCATCAGCAATCTCGTCCGCAGAAGAAACAACCGGCGCAGATATGAGACGGTTCGAGCCAAAAATTATCCTTCCGTCGCAGTTGTTGAAATTATTCTTTCTATTTTTCTCTCACACACATTTTCCTAAAAAAATTAATGGACTACACATATTTAGTATTTTTATATTCTCTACACAATTCCTTATATCTTATATAAAAAAAAATTCTTTCGAACCATTTCACATAACAAACCTACTACTTTATTCTCCATGTTATGAATGTCTTGTAAAAAAGCTTCTGCTGAATGTGCAAGAATGTTGGTATCTGTTGGTGCAAATTCCAAGTGTTGGTTTCTTTGTTAAAAAGAAAAAATCAAAATCCTCAAATTCAAATCGGTAAGGATTCTAATCGAATTCGAATGAGTACAAAAATAATCAAATTATACGATTTAGCCAAATTTAATAAACAAAATCGATTATCAATCGCCTAATTTCAAATATATCCTCAAGAAATATAAGTGGAAAAAGGAAAAAAGAAAAAAAAAAAAAAAAAGAATATGTATATATGTGTATATGTATGTGTAGGGAAAAAAAAAACAAGAAACATAAGTGAAAAAAAAAATGGAGGAAAAAAAAAAGAAGAAAGAAGAAGAAAATAGGTGGGCGGCAGCACTCTATGTTTGTATGTGTGTGTATGTCTGTGTTAATGTGTATGTATGTATGTATGAGTGTGTACGAGGAAAAAAAAAATTGGTCAACTCAAAATGCATAGTCAAAAGTAAAAAAATTATAGGGATATAACAGTCCAAATAATTAAAAGATTAATACCGTTAGTCCATTTTTTTAAGGAAGGGGCGGATGTATAACATTTTGGAAACCACAAGCAAATTTTATGGAATTTTAAGACCAGAAAGGTTTTCAGTAAATTCGAAAAATCACTAGTGATTTTTTGATATTCTACCAATAATTAACTTTTATGTGAGATGGTCAATTCAATCATCTAACATAGTATTAGAGCCTTAGATTTCGATTTGGAATCGCATCGTCCCCACTAGCATATATCCAATATGTTAGAAAAATAATTAATTGATGACCGGTCAAAAAATTACTTATGAAATTATGTTTTTTTTAGGATATATGTATGCTTCACCGTATGTGCATATATATATATATAAAGTGAAATAGTTGTTGATTGTCATATTTGAATGATAATTGACCAATTTAACATTGATTTTTTAATGAAAAATTAAAATTTAAATAGTAAAATAGTAAGTACAAAAAATAATACAAGTAAATAAACTTATTCACTATTCACCATTCTCGTTGTTATGCAAAATATTTGTAATTTAATTAATATCAATTAATTTACTTGATTTTTTTTTGCCTATCGCTCCGTATTAATTATTATTGCTCGATTTGCTTAGAGCGAAAGTAAATAAATAACATGAAATATTATTATTTTGCATTCCTATAATGAATTAACGACATAATGATGCTTGCAATTTTTCATAATGGTTCAAAAATGCCATATCTATCCATCCGCCTATATAATCAACCTCGTCTCATCTCTCCAAAGGCACATTGCGTTTAAAATCATACGAAATTTCTTTTGTTTGCTTAAGTGCAAAAGGGGTAGAAGTAATGGCCGAAAAATTCAACCCGAATGACTCTAAAAAAGAAGAGTATGAAGATGAGGAGCTAGATTTGACGCTTCGACTAGGATGGCCAATGGAGAAAGTAGAGAAGTCTAAGGAGCCCGACACAAAGGCTAATTTCTTAGGCAATGTGGGAGGAGCACAATCTTCGTCTGGAAAGGTATATTTTGTAAATCAGAGTTTCTTACTAGGGTAAATTACATTATATCTTATTGAGATTTAGTAAAATAGTTACAATTCTCTCATGAGATTAGGAAATTGCGTCAGATCTGTTTGTATTTTGTAAAACTATACAATATATTCTCCATCAATTAAAATTTAATAGAGAATATGTCTCACATTTTAAGACTACAACTACGATGTGTGACCGAAGGTGTGTAGTTCAAGTGATTGAATTATCTCTTGGTATGCTAGAGATCAGGGGTTCGATCCCCGATGGGTGTGTGAGTATGTACGTGTGTGGTTAAAAACAAAAACTACAATGGATTTTCGTGTAAAGTTTACATAACAAAAGTTTGCATAACAAAAACTAGATCTAATGCTATTTCTTAACCACAAAGAAGAATTACATTTAGCAGATCGGTTTAGAAGGTACTAATCAACTACTATAGATCGAATCTATCGAATTTTTACGTGGTTAACTGTTTACAGGTTGTTTATATTACTTTGCTCAAGCCGACTAATATCTCTATCTAATTTTTACCTGGTTGACTGTTTACTGGTTGTTTATATTACTTTGCTCAAGCCGACTAATATGTCTATCTAATTTTTACGTGGTTGACTGTTTACACGTTGTTTATATTATTTTGCTCAAGCCAACTAATATGATTATAACTATTTTTAAAATGAGATTTCGCAGATCACAGGACATTCATATGAAACTCCGGAGACTCCTCGTGGATCTACCATAAGGCCAGGGTCTTTTCTGTCATTACTTGGTGTCAATCCTATGGGCTCAACCAATTTACCATTCCAACAAGGGTTTGTGCCCAATCGAGGCATGCCCCAACCTAAAATCGATGTTCATAAGGAGGAAGAGAACAAAATTTGTAATATATGTGGGAGCAATATTACTAATCCTCTTTGGCGTAGAGGCCGTGAAGGACAGGTATCATCTATCCTTCTTTATCGATTAAATTTACAATTATGAGATTAAGGTTGTCTATTCTAATACAATGTGTCTTGATTATGTTTGTAGAACCTTTGCAACACTTGTGCATTGCGTATGTCTTGCTTCAATAAACGCAATTGAGAGGAGTCGGGGTGTTGGTTCGCCAAGTTGTGATGAGATGCCGGATGTTTGCTAATAATGTTTCATAATATTATCGTGTTATTTGGTTTATTTAGTTGAATTTCCTAAGAGCTTATTTGCTTTATCAAGCAACTTAAGCATAAATAATTGTAATAGACAAGAGCATCATAGATGTCATCTTAGACTATATTTTCAATCCGCATTATCTATTTGAACTTGTTGTTAATGATATTTTGGTATTATACTCTTTGTTCGTCCTTTCTATTTTTTTATTTTTTATTTTTACTTTATGACTGTATTATATGATTGTACAGTGACTTCATAAGTAACACAAATGCTTCACACTTACTTAGACGTCACTCGTACGTATATTGGAAAACTTTTTAGTAGATCATACATCATGAAATCATTTAAATATATATTGAATACGTTCGAACAATTATTTGATAAGTACCTTAACTATATACTAAATGTAATTATCCCCTAGGTTAAGAAATAGCATTAGATCTAATTTTCGTTTTGTAAACATTAAACGGAATTGTAATAATATTTTGAGGGGGAATACATAAAGAAAAATATATTTTATTGATATAAATAGTCTAATTAATTTACTTAAACGTCTTCTGAACCCGAGAGTAACACATTTATCATGACAAACTTTTTTAAGAGAATGTATATTCTATTATTCTCATACATATTTTTTTGTTTTCTTAATAAAAATATATTAAAAGTCACATCAAACTATTATCAAAATAAGAATCAAACATACCTTACATTTTTCTTAAAACATTTTAGATTTACTTTTTATTTTTAATTTAAAGTATATTTAAAAAAAAAAAATCACTTATAAAAATTAAGAAAAAAAAAAAATCAACTATTTTTCACTAAAGATCAGTTAAAAAATATTCATGCATGTATTAGATGGTTAATCAAGATCCATTCCATATGGGATGATTTAATAGTACCAGTATGGGTTCAATCAATGTAAAAATAAAAATATATAAACAAATAAAGCATACTTGATGAACCTATGAAACAAAATGCTTGCGTGATGTAAGCAACTGCGAGTTCCTATGTTACAAAAAAAACAACTAAATCTACACACTAAAACAAGAACCATGGAACACGATAAAAGAAGATAAAAACAAACAAATAGACAAGTGGTAAAATTTAATCTAAGAGAAAGAAAGAAAACTTACCAGGCCTGTTTAGGAGCAGTAATAAGGCTCCGAAGACCTTGTAGAAAGATTAAAGAATCGACTTTTTTGCCAATCCCCGGCTTCATCATAAGCCAAAATTGCAGCTCTGTACATACTCGTTCCTGTAGTCGACGTACTTGGTCCAAAGTGGACGAAATTGGGGTATTGCAATGTCGAGCCACGGCTTCATATTCCCGTTGAAGTGTATGACGGCTGCATTCTTGATCTCATCCATGCTTATGCTCGGATTGTATCCCAGCCCCAAAACATGCCACGATTTGTTCAGTGGCTTTGTTGTTGAGTAGAATGTGATCAGCCCCGGAGGTAGCGTTCCTAACTTCCACAATGTCCGGTTCTCATTCTGCAAAAGATCATGTATTATTCAATGCTCGAATCCTTACAAGAATTCGACGTAGAAATGTTAAGATGAGACATCAGATATCCATGATTTTCGTTGTAGAAAATTTTGATAATATTCAACCAAACGAGATAGCTTGTTATATAATGATACTTCCCCTGTCCGCTAACAATAGAACATTTTTCTATTTAGGACGTTCAAAATATTCTAGCGTTTTACATAGAAGTATCAAAATACAAGCATCAGATATTCGACGATTTACATTATAGAAAAAATTGAAATTTAGCTAATATTAAGCAAACATGATCGATCGAGTCTCCAATTGAAGCTGGTTATATAATAATACTCCTTCCGTCCACTAACAATAGAACATTTTACTATTTAGAATGTCGACAAACAATAGACACGTCCTACAATATTAATAAAATTTCTTATCATTATAACTAAAGGTATTTTATTATTACACGTTTATACATTACGTGGTTAAATCTAAAATACTATTATTCATTAATCAGCTTGCAAATAATAAATGTGTATATATACTTAAATGATGGATGAAATAACATATACATCTACATTGTTCTAACAGAGTAGGTCTTAATTTTTTGTTGTCGAAATCAACAATATTCAATCATGGTATCAAGATAATTTGAAGAATTTTTTTGTGACAAAAACGCTAGGTTAGTGAATCCAGCAATTCTAATGCTAAATAATGAAATTGTAATCAGAGTGGACAAAAATTAAAGAACATGTTCTATTGAAGCTAAAACTGAGTAAGAAATTGTTTTTACCATATTCTGCCAGTAGTGGTATTCTTTGGTGCAGTCCTGTCTCCTCCAAGCGTCCAAATCGAAGAAATTCATCCCATAAGCCCAAGCACATGCCTTGGGACTGAATCTGGATTTGATCAAAGGGTGTGAGAAGTTCATGTATTGTGCATAGCGATGAAACGATCCGAAACATGTCTCCACAGCCGCGTTCACTTTTCCATCCATATCCATATCCCAAAGCTCGGTGAGATCTTTCTGGACCACTATGTCATCATCCAAGAACAAAATCTTGTGCAGGTTTGGGTACATTTCAGGCAGATAGAATCTGAGATGATTTAGTATTGACAGATACTTTGGGTTCCTGAACTTCATGTTCGTGGCGTCCTTTGTTGCATTTTCAAGCTTATTCTCAAAGTAGAACTGCAGCAGCTTGGCGGACTCAATCTGTTTCAGCACCGGCACATAAGAAGAATTGAGAAATTTGAAATCCTCAACAGCCTTTATTTCGATATGAGCACCTCTGTAGTCCCTCATCTTGAACATCACCTGCATAGTTCCGAGATTCATCTTATCGGTCACCACATGAAACACATGCTTCCGTGGCTCCTTTGCATTTTCCACTGCAGAGTTAACCACAACCGAAGCAGCAATTACGTTATCAGAGAAAATTGCATAATGGTACAGATTCGGATCCTCGATTTCAGGCTTGGGGAGAATTCCTTCATCTGTGTACTTCTCAGGATTCGCAATTCGCTCTTCCATCAATCTTAAAGCTAAGCAATGCAAGCTCTTCGGAATCGATTTGGCAGCAATCAAGCTTGCAAAAGCACCTTGTCGTTTCAATTTCGACAATTGTTCGTTCAAGGAAAAGATTGTGTCCTTCAATTTATGTATCTTCAGCTGATTATCGTATGATTCTTTTGCCTCAGAAATCACTGCCCTTGTGAGCTTAATTTGGTCCTTCACCTCCTTCTCGAACTGTCTGAGAACAGATTCATCAATTAATTTTGAATCCGAATCATGTAATACCTTATACTTGGAGCTTAATTCAGTGAGATTTTGAGAGAGATAAGAGAATCTCCTCAGGAGCTTCGAGTTTTCGAGCTTGAGTTTCCGAGCATAGGAAGCATAAGCCAAAGCTAAATTTCTGTGATCCTCTGCTTGTTTACGAACTTGATAGATCCTTGACTTGATTGGATCAGATTTCAACGCCAGCATTGATCTCCGAGAAGATCCATAAACACTGCTATGAGAAAAAACCTAAAATCATAGACAAACGAAATGCAAAATTTTCAACAACTTCCGCGAGCATTAATTGATTGTATAGATCACCATAAATACAACATTCATTGCAGCAAAACAGCACATAATTATTCCAATAGAAAAACCTTGCATATGCTATAAAATTATAAATGCATTTGAAAATGAACTATATCCTTTTTCGTTCGAGCATTAATCATCCTATAAGAAACTGATAAAGTGATAGACAATCCAAAAACCACACAGGAGAAAAAAATTCAAACAGAATAAACAAATACAACCAGCAACAACACTTACGATGTCGCCGTCGGCGGAGCCGGCGGGAGAAAGGAGAAACGAGACAGTCATGAAAACCGAAACTATGACGGCCAGGAAACCGACGAAGAATCTGACAGTATAGATGGAGCAGCGCCATGGACGTCCGGCTACTCTAACAGACGCAGTGTTCCGGCGACCTCTAACCGAATTCAAAGCCATTTCCGCTCTGAGTTTGAGAGTGTTCCGTGTGACTCGAGAGAGAATGAGAGAGGCAGCCATGAATTTCTGTAACCGTTGTTTGCAGCAATTGGTTGTACGGTAGAAAACAAAGGGGGAGGGTTACAAATTGTCTCAAATGTACAACTTCCGAAGCGGTTGCCCAATATTATTATCTTTATATATATAAAGTTTTTGTGCCGTTTACGTTGCGCAGATATTAAAGGTACGGATTTTTTTGGGGAAAAAAACAAAACGTAAAACAAAATTAGGGATACGTGTTTTTTTTGTTTTAGTTATGTATTTGTTTTTGCATTTAAATAGTATTTTCTTCCTTCATTTTAAAAATATCGTTTTTTTTTTTTTTACGAAATTTAATAAATGCTCCCTCTGTCCCATATACTATGTCACATTGCCGTCCACGTTACATCTTATTTTCCTTTTTTAAAAAATGATTACATATTTATCTCATTTTAAATTTTTTAATTTATTTTTTAATTTTAATTAAACTAATTAGTTATCTTAATCTTAATTTATAATGATTTATATTATATCGGAAAATTTTTATATTGCCGACAATATCAAATAATTATCGAAATATAAAATTCTATATCAAAATAATTTATCGAAATAAATTCGATAATCTCAAAGATTTTATCGAAATAAATTGGATAATCAATATTAATTTATCGAAATAATTCGATAATCTCAATAATTATAATAAATTTAATCACGACAATTTTTTATTGAAATAAATTCAATAATCAATATTTTTTTATCGAAATTTTTATCGAAATAAATATAATAATCAATTTATTAAAATAATTTTTACAAACACAATAATTTTATGAAATTTAATAATTTTATCGAAATAAATTCGATAATCAATTTATCAAAAATAAATTTGATCATCACAATAATTTTATCGAAATAAATTTGATAATCACAGTAATTTTATCGAAATAAAGTTGATAATCACAGTAACTTTATCGAAATAAATTCGATAATCACGCCGAGTCGAGATAGAACATCTTTCCGTAAAAACGAATACGCCCCGGTAATGCCTCCGGTTTGTGGCGTAACATTACCAAAGATATAACGATATTCATCTCCGAATTAAGTGACACCTCAATATTTCGGAGCTCCAGCGAACTAAAATAAGGGGACTTAAGCTATGTCGGGAAGCTAGGCAAATATAGATTCCGAAGCTTGCCGGAAAATGTGTGCAAGGCACTCCACCCCTTGGAGTTTAAATACTGAGTCGAAACCGTCGGCTTTTAATGGTAGGTAACCGTCGGCCATAATTTTGATAACGTCCGACAATGAATATCATATTTAATTCCGGTCATAAACACCGGTCATCAATATATTATTTGAATTTTAAATTTAAAATAATTAATTATCATATATGCATATAATTATCACACTATCGTAACCACCATGCAACTCACATGCATTTTAACTCACTGAATAATCGGTTCCGAAAATTATGAATTTAATTTAAAATTGAATTCCATGGATTAAATAATTAACTGATTTTCCTACCTAAAAATTATTTTCACTAATATATTTTTAATTATCTACTAATTACACCTCTTTTAAAATACCGTGAATACATGGAGATTTAATTGTTATTACAATTGAAGTCCAACCCATTATGGGTAGAGGAGAGTGAGGTAAAAGAAGTGGTAATAATGATTAATATTCATTCATTACTCTTAAATATCCACTTTTAGTTGGTAGGAGAAAAAGGTTGTATGGGTCCACTTGCGATTTTTTTAAAAATCTTAAAATAAAATTTAAAGAAATAATAATAATATATAAAATAATTATTGACGAATAATATTAGCATTTTTAAAAAATATATAAGTTGGTTTGATTTTGATTTAAATTTAGAGCATTGATATAGTAATTTTTAACTGTATAAATTGAATATTGTTATTTTGTGTTTAAAAAATTAATCAAACAATAAGTAAAGGTATCAATAATTTCCAACTGAAATTTCAATAGCAACATAGCATAGCATAGCATAGCATGTGCCCCCCAACCTAATAATTATGCCAACTTTACCCTCTCAAAAGAATCCCAAGCAACAATACAATTTTTTATTTTATTACTGTATATATATTTTTATATTTTATTAAAAATATGTTCTCTTTTGTTAATATACACTAATTATATTAAATTATTATACAAACATAAATACAATCAGATATACATAGGAATTTTTTTGGTGTGTATGTTTGTTTTAAATTTTCATTATTTTCTAAAATTACTTTTAGGTATAAGTCTCTCTCAATAGAAATATATGATTTTATTCAGCAAAAGTAGTATATTAAAATATATAATTCCTCTCTTAAAAGTTTATTTATTTTTTCAAAAAATATTACAGTGTCTTTGGTTTGTAGTTTATAGTTTTTAATTTTAATTTTAATTTATTTGTTTTCTTAGGTAAAATATGATGTTTTATATATAAATTTTGATATATTTTTATTGAATGACAAGATTGCATGATAATTTTAAAAAATAATGAAAAAGAACTTTGATGCAATAATAAATTATCCTTTTCATCTTATGTTATTTTGATTTTGTTTTGACGTAATAATGTTATTAAATTTGGTTAGACTATATATGGATTAAGGATACGCTATTATATGTTGTGTTAAAAGCAGTCATGCGTTAGAAATTCACATTTTATATATTATTTTCATATATTTTATGAATAGAGTAAATAATATTATTATAGTATTTTGTTTGATTTATTTTAATGTTTATCTTTTATATTTATATTATATTAATATAAATTTTATATTCTAGATTTGTATATTATATTGCAGTATTATTAACACCATACTAAATAATTTTATTCTAACACGAGTTTTGAAGTCAGATAAGCATGCTTGTTTTTTTTTTTTTTTTTTTTTTTTTGTATATTCTTTCCAATATTTTTATTATTTACTTAAATAATTTTCTTTCAAAAATACTACACCATAATTTATTTTCTATACACGTTTAGTTATTATTTTTATTTTTAAAAGAAGCAAGATAAAATACAAAACAAAAATAAAAGCATAGAAATACACATACTAAAATATTTATTTATTTTTATTATGATAAAAGTAATTAATATAAATTATTATTTTCACAAAAAGTTTAGAGCCCACACGATCGAAGGGACCAACACGTGTGAAAATTGAAGATGAACTAACAAAAGGACCAAAAAGGTACAAGTGAAGTGGTCGTGGGATGTCCATCTCTATCATGTTTATTGATACCTTCTCAAAATATAAGTTGATATAAAATTTCATTATAGAAACAAAATTGATATGATATTTTTTAAAAAATAAAAAATAAAAAATTACTGGTTAATAATTTTAAAAATTTATAAATAAAAATAAAATATTAAATTTAATAATTTTGGTATATTGAAAAAAAAATGCAAAAACTCATGGCCAAAAACCTAAGCTAAGCTAAGACTATAGTTGCAAAAATCATCATCATCATCGTCTTCATCATCATCAAACTGGTTATTTCCTCAAATCATGATCAGAAGCAGTAAGAACATATTTACCTGTTGGGAGAAATTTGTTGGGGGAAGAAACTAATATCTATCTCCAGTGTTGTGCACTTTCTTGCTGTGTTTGGTGATCTGATGCAACCATCCAAGTCCTTTAATGGCCTTTGTGATCTTCACTAGATTAGGTCTTCCCATCCCCAAATTCATCTTCCCTGTCGACAGCTTCAGCGCCTGCAAACAGCACAGCTGTCCATCATCATCAATGTCTTCCTGTTCATCTTCTTCTTTCTTAAATTGCCTCCTGCTGTTGTAATAGCTTTCGGCTTCCTTCTTGTTTTTGTCCTTCTTTGATTCTCTTTTAGGTTTAGCTGTCGCCGATTTGCTCGAATCCATCTCATACGCCTCCCATAGCGAATCCATTCCTTCGCCTCCACCGACACTGTGCCGCTCCTCGAATAACTTGCACGCCAGAGTCCTCTTCCATTCCTTCTCCTTCCTCATCGATCCGGATGTCGCCAGGCTGTAGTGATCCGACGCCGGAGAGCTTCCGTTGGTAGATTTCGAATTTGAATTTGAATTCCATCCTTCGTCTTCACAGAGGTAGTCAGATGTAGAACCAGCAATCGTTTGAGAATGAGCTCTGACTAAGGAATTGGAACTGTTCTGGTTCGAATCGCCATTGGAGGAGCTACTACGAACTTTAACAGAAGCTGCCTCGGATCCATTCGCCTCTGGTAATTCTGCCTTTCGTTTTTCAACAACTTTATTGGCATTTGTGCACTTTACCTGCATCGAGTTTTTCTTCTCTTCCACACTGGACGCCATTCGCTCGAACTGATCTAATATCTTCAGGAAATTCTCCAACCTCTTTTCTTCAATTTTAGCACAAGGTTTTTCCGATTTGTTGCAAGTAATTGAGTCTGATTCCACCGCCAAGCCTTCATTTCCATCGCCGTGATCTGAAACCTCCGAAATATGCGCCGACGGACCTTCAACTGGACTCTCCTCCAAAACTTCAGCAATGGACGAACCAAACAGCATCTCAAACAATCCAAACTCCTGAAAACTCTTAAATTCCTCGCTCCGATCATACATTTCTCCCCGGTGCAGTCTATCCGCAACTGACTCATACAAAACCGCCAAATAACCAACTCTGCAGCCATCCAACCCACCAGAGAATTCCTCATCCACAAAACCAACGCAAACCGCCGCCAAAACGAGCAAACTGGTGACAAACAGAGGGTATAGAAACGCCAGAAGCTTCAGAACATACGGAAGCAGGAAAACCAAGTAGCAAAAGTAGAGCAGGCGCGAGCGCACGAAGGAACACACGAAAATCAAGTCGGACACCAAATGATCGACCAAATGCGCCTCCGAAACACAAATTCCGGCCATGATGCTCAGCTAGGGTTTATCGGAGAGGAAATTGAAGAGGAAAACTGAAGGAGAAGTGGAGAAGGAGAGCAGAATCGCAGCAGAGCATGAAGCGCAGTGATGGCGGCGTGACTGAAGGCTGTGAAGAAGAGTGAGAATAATAATTATTCTCTGTATTAAAATTATTAATAAATTTAATGTCAGATATGGTCTAACTAACTAATAAAAGCATAACAATCAAAGGACAAAAAAGTAAATAAATAAATAAAATAAAATAAAAATAAAGATGATATTATGTAAAAATACACTCATTATATTTTGCCACGAGTTTTAACATTATTTTTTTAACAAGAAAAATAATATATAATTAAAAAATATAAAAATATATAAATTTTAATTTAAAACTAAACATACTTCCTCTTTTTTTAATATAATAATCTTGTTTACCATTTTTCTCGTTCCAAAATAATAGTTTTATTTCATAAATAATCTTATTACTATAAAACTATTCATATTTTTTCATTTTTATTACACAATTGTCATTACTTTTTATATTAATACACAAGGACAAAAAATATTTTATTCATATTTTTTACCAATTACCAACTTAATATCAATATTTATTAAATTTCGTACCCAATTCAATTAAGAGATAGGATGAATATATATGTTTTAGATAAATAAATAAAAAGGTAAGTATATTTTTTTTATGATAGAAAACACTATTTTGTTTTATCTGAACCAATCAATAATTACCACGTGTATAATGATTTGTATATTTCCTACTCACATACCTATTTTATTCCAATTTATTTCTCTTAATTTTATTTGTCAATATTTTATTTTATATTTTATTTTATTTTTGTATTATTATCATTAATAAAATTATCATAACAAAAGAATAAGGGGAAAATAATTAAAGATTTTATTGAAATTATTCGGTTTAAAAAATCTGCGAAAAAAAAAAACGGACAAATAAATTGATATCGAATATATAGAGTATTAATTGAACATATTATATTTATATAGGGTATTTAGTGATTTTTTTAATTGTTTTATTTTAATAGTAATTTTAGTACGATATTTTATATAAAAAATATATATATTGTTATATAGGATTGTGATAATTGAATATTTAGAATGGGAGGGAGTAAAATGTTTTGTTTATTTGTTCTCGTTAGGGTCTATTTGGTTTTAATTTTAGTTTTTTTTTTTCTTGAATTTTACATTTGTGTTTGAATTTAATGATATTTAATTTGATGTAATATTATATTAAATAAAATAGTATATTTTTATTAAAAATAATTAATAATTTATTTGGTTATGTTTTAAAATTAATTTGAAATAAAATATTAATTTAAAATTTCGTCTAAATAGTATTTTTTATATAAAAAATAATATATTTTATTTAAAAATAATACAAAATAAATAGTAGTAATCTTAAATTAAAATAACAATATTTAATAATATTTTTTATTGATAATTGTAACAACTAAACAGTAATAAATAAATAAAGGTCATGTTAAATACACCCAAATTGATTTTATATTAGAACAGGAGATTATTTCTTTTAGTTTTATTCGTTTATGATGATACCCTTTTAAGCATCTGTGAAGAAATCATCATCACATCTCATACGTACCATAATATCTATATATATATTTGAAAATAAAAATAAAAAATAAAATAAAATAGTAATAAACATATTTAGTATGTAAAGACAAGTTTGACTATTCTGGCAGACCATATATCCAAATGTATGCATTATGTTTTTCTAAGGTAATTATAGCAATGATGAAAAATTTTACAGCTTGTCTCAATCACAAAAATTAAATTTTAAAACATAAAACTTTGAAATCCTTTGTTGTTTAAAAACTGCATCAGGTTAATCCTCTTCTATTATTAGTTAACGATAATTTTGTAGTCATAAAAATTTCTAAATTACTTTCGAAGTTAAAGTACATACAAAATAATCGCGATTAACTAACAACGTAAAGGAGTTAGATGCATAATTCCTAAAACTACAAGAGACAAGAGAATCTAAAGCAATTTTTACAAATGAATTTTATACCAAAATAAATGAGATTGAAGTTTAGGAAATACTATCTCCATTTCATCTACTATATCCGTTTTTTTTTATTAATATATTTTTAATTATTTATTAATTATATATCTTTTAAATTTTCGTATATAGAGTAAAATAGACATGATATCCTGGAGATGAGGAGAACATAAGAGAGGAGGGTGATTGATGGTGAAATTTAAAGGGCCATTGAAAAAGAGTTAATAGAATAAATAGAATTATTCACATGGGAAACCACTCAAGTGCCACTCAATTGCAATTGCACACCAACCATTTACCACCCCACCCACCCCTCCTCACCTCTTTATGGACTTTCGCTTCCAAAGCCTTTTCCAAATCTAGGGACCCTCCAATGTCCCCTCTATCTATCACCATTTTTATTTATTTTCTTCTACTTTTTTCTTATGAATATGATCATTATGATCTTGTGGGAGCATTCTCTCTTGAGCCCACATTTTCTATTTACCCATTTCTAAACTGCCCATGTGAGAAAGACCATTACACACTGACACATACACTCTCTACTTCACAAGACTTGTCTTGAAACAAAAGTCACATGAATCTATATATACACACAAGATGGGTATTTACAACACATTATTAAACTACAACCAAGAAATGAAAAAACATGATTGCAGTGGTTATGTATAGTGCTAAAAGACAGATAAATAATAATAATAACAATAATAATAGAGCAGCGACAGACACCCCACAGATGAATCATTTATAATCTTCCTTTAGTTTCATTCAATTTCTATGTTGTATAAACATAGTCAGACAGATACATTACCAAACACACAAAAGGTAGCTCACTCATTATCACATAAACCAAGAACTACGGCTCTTTTTTCTATTTCTTTAAACTCTGGTTATGATACAGTACTATTCAATAAATTTGTGATTTTAAAACCATTAATTCTAAACTTTTTCTATTCTCACAAACATGATTTGTTCATATATGGATACTTAGGCTATGGTCACAGTGGGACAAATAGTACATGAGATACATATGAATTGATAACATATGACAATAATTCATATAACATATGCTACAATTGATTTCAGCACAAGAGATATATTCATTAAGCACACCCGTAAAGAATGAATTTTAAGCACATTGTTTCAATTAAAATAACATATGCTATCTATATATTTTTATTACGTTGATTAGGGCAGTTACATTCTTGGATATCTTTGTTGCCATGCTACATTATCAAAGAATCAACAATCATGTTCATATGGTATAATTTGCAATAATCCATGTTCAATTTCAACTTCCAAGTTCAAACCACAGAAATTCTCATTTCAAAACATTTCATAATGATTTTTCAACATAAAGGCTTATTACCACTATCATTTTATTGTTGTAGTTCTTCTTCTTCTTCCCCAAGACAACTCTCATCAATCACTATGGACAAGAAACACATACAATTTTCTAGCAGATTAGATCAAACAGTACTGACTCTGGAACATGAGTTGCATTTAACAATAAGAGTAACCACATACACAAATAGGAAATTAAAATTTTAAAATTTTCGAGATTTTGACTAAAAAATGAATCAACATCTGAAATCGCCATAGCCGCTAATAACAGAATATCAAAAATAGCATAAACGCTAAACATTCTCACACAGCATATGTTCTATTGCGAAGCTCAAACATCAATTGCGCAGTTGGATTACACATTCAAATAAGCAACCAAAACCTATTGTTCGAAATGAAACAAGGCCAGATCAGATAGGCGAAAAATTCCAGATGTAACTTGCGTTACCCAATAATTTTGATGGCGTCCATATATCGGAAACCCTAATTTCTTCGTCTAATCTCGATCCGATAAGCCCTAATTGTCCTGCGGAATTCTTTGCCTTCGTCTAATCTCGATCCGTAAATGCATGATCTGTAACTTAATATGGGCAAACTATTGGGCTTAATCGAGTGGGCTTTTCTTTAAAAGAATTCATGACCCAAAGTCACAATCCACCTGGATTTAATATATATTTTTCAAAGATATAAAAAATTAATATCATCTTCTATTAATTTGTATAAAAAAATTATAAAAATATAAAAATATTTTTAATATTATATACAATGTTGTAAAAATTAGATTTTACTCTTGCATATGAAGTACTGTAACTTACCCAAAAACTATACAAATTCAAAAAAAAATTGTTAGTACAAAAATAAGATTCAATTGACAAACAAACAGGTCGTTAAATAATACGTGGCCGGCGGCTTATTCAGCCAATACCGACGTTTACATCTGTCTCCGACAGCCAATCACTGCTTGCCATCTCAGCACGTCAATTATTGGCTTCGAATCCCGATCCACCTTGCATAAAACTTATGGTTGTGTTTTTGTAGGAAATTTTGGGGAAACTTGAGTTTGATACTGATTATTTTGATTTTAATTTTGAAATAAGTTTGAATTTTGATGTTTATTTTAAGTTTGAGTTTGGTCAGAGTTTGAAAATTTTTATCAATTTAATGGGTATAAATATAATAATATAAATGTATATTAATTTGTATAATTTAATTATAAATTTATATTATATTTATATATTTTTTTTTAAATTTTTATTTATTTATATTATAAATTTTTTTATTATTTACAAAATAATATATATTTTATTAAATTATAATTTTTATAATTCTTTTATATTTATAATAATAATAAAATAAAGACAGACAGCGGACCCCTCTAGTCCAATTTTAGGCTGAATCACTATGCAAATTGAGCTGGACTGCAATTGTGATCCAGCCCAAAACTAGGCCGGAGAAACAGACTCATAGATACTGTTACATAAATTAGTTTTGGACTTTTTTTTAAATAATAAAAAATGAGTATTTAATGTGATAAATACTGGTCATATGTTATACTTCATCTTTTGAGATAATAATATACTTTTTCCGTCCAATCGTACCACGTACACGCTTGTCGTTTTTGTCCGTCCTGCATATCATGTCCATGTTGTCGTTTTTGTCCGTCCCACGTACCATATCACTTTTATTTTTTGAAAAATGATTACACACTTTAATATCATTTTAAACTTTTAAATTTTTTTTTTAAAATTTTAATTAAACTAATTGGTTATCTTAATCTTAATTTATAATTATTTATATTATCGGATAATTAATTTCACTAATACATTCTTAATTATCTACTAATTACACCCCTCCTAAAATACCGCGTCTACCGTGTAGCAGACACCGTATGTGAGACTGAGGGAGTAGTATTCTATTGGTCTCATGTAATTTGAATGTGATTATTGCCTAAGTAAAGTATAATTATTAAGTAATTAAAATATATTAATAAAATAATTATAGATTAAGATTAAGATAATTAAATAATTATAAATTAAGATTAAAATAATTAAATAATTAAATTAAGATTAAAAATATTATAAAATTTAAAATTTGATTAAAACTTATAATTATATTTCAAAAAAGAAAATGACAAATTATGTTAGATGGATGAAAATAAAAAATATGAACAAATTATGTGAAAAATACGAAAAAAAAAAAATAAAAACAAATTATGTAGAATAGAATGAGCAATACATTTGAATGTTTGTAATAAATTAAAAATAATATTCTCGTTGTTTCATCTTATATGTTCAATTTCGATAGAAAAATTTAAATAAGACATAATTAATAAATAATTAAAAAATATGTTAATACAAAGTATATTATATTCTTTTACTTTTCTTACAATACAAATATACATCATATATTAAAATCCGTGCTAAAAAATAAATCTATTTTACCAAAGGGAAGGACTATTATAATAATTATTTGAGTTAATAAGTTTTTGGTCTTCTATATTGTCGATTGTGATTTGTATTAGTTGACTTTTTAAAAAATGGAATAAATTAAGAAATTGTATTAATTCGATAAACAAATTAAATAAGTAATTAGAATTTTATATTATTATTACTTTGATGATTTAAACAGATAACAAATAATATATATTTAAAAATTTCATATTTAATTATTATATATATATATTTTTTAACATAGATTTTGATACAATGTAGAAACAATGCATTTTTATAGGATTTGTACGTTGAACAGTAAAAAAAAATTACAAATTTTATCCAGATTTTAAATGAAACATATATTCATATAAGATTTTCATTCAAAATTTAAATTTAAGTATAAGAATTATTGAATTGTTAACGGTAACTATTTTTATATTCAATATTTAATTAATAATACTTACTTATTCTGTGTAATTATGATATTTAATAACGTTAGTAAAATAGTGCAAACTAATAAACGTGTCAGATTATTTTATTTTTGATATAAGAAATCAACATAGAAGGGTAATAATGTAATTCGAAGGACTTATATTTGACAAGTAAAGGGTATCATTGTAATTTGAGACTTGCATTATTCCATGAAGTTGTGACTTATCGCCAACCTATCGGTATAATAAATGCCGTAGATTCCACAATAAGGGCATTTTAGTCAATCCACGAAATACCCGAAAATTGCATTTGGACTTGGGCCATTTAATGTAGTAGGCTCTACAACGAGGGCATTTACGTCATTTCAGAACGCCCGCCATTAGAGCTCGGGGAACAAAGCTTCCCTGAGGGCATTCACGTCCTTCAAAATCCTCCATAGATAATTCCATCAACCAGCAGTGCAGTGATGAGTGTATCGACTGTCGTCGTCCTCAGTCCCCACCTCCATAGATAAATCCTCTCATCTTTCTCTCTCATTTTGAAATTTATTAGTAACAGTTACAAAAGGTGGTGGTAGATGCATGAGTAAAACACCAACTACCTGTATATCACACGAATCGCCATCCTATTAGCCTCTCCTCTTTCCGTAATCCAAAAATTGTTGGAGCTTCGATTGGTTTTCTTCGCCTCGGTTACCACGCACCATCCGCAACGACTTTTATCCTCCGAAGGTAATCGCCATTAGAAATAATACTGAAATTATAAACAGTTTATCAGAATGCCTTCGATTATGGCGATTTTTGTGTGATTTTTATTTTTTTATTTTTTTTCAAATCTGATTGCAATTGCTATTTCTGTGCGCTTTTGATTATTTCTAGGTTATTGTTTATCCTTTGCCTCCATGAAAGGTGGTAGGTTGGTGGTGGAGTTGACTTCGAAATTTCTGGAAATTTTGGATAAATTAATTTGGGCATTTTTGTAGGCTTGATGAGAATACTTCTCTATGTTTATGTTTGATGAGTTTTATTTTGAATTTATCTCTTCGAACTGTTCTTATCGCCATGTTTGGGATTTGATTGTTTGTGTGATTTTTGGATTGAGTTTAAATTTGTTGATTGGATCATTGGGAAAGAAGTTTGGATTGTGCATGAAGTTCTTCGCGTAAAAAAGCTTTGGTGATTTAGTGTGAAGGAATCACTGACAATGTAGGATTTGGAGAGGGTCTTAATTCTTGATTTTGTGGATTTTTTTCGAGTGTTTTCTGAAGTTAGGATTGAGGTTTTTATGGTTTGTATGTTGCATTGAGAATGGCATTGGTTTGTTGATCTTCGGTTATAAATATGTTGTCAAGAAGTTTTGTTTTAGGAATTTTGGAGAATAGGATTGTTGTCGTGTTTCGTGATTTGAGGTCTTGTCAGTGTTGTGTATTTTGTGTGAAGGAGTAGTTTGTTAAGGTTGCCTTTGTTTGGACAATGTGGGATTCGGAGAGGATCTTAATTCTCGATTTTGTCGAATTCTCAAGTGTTTTGTTTGTGCTGCTAAAGTTAGGATTGAGATCTTTATTGTTTGTCAATATTCCGCTATAAATATGATGTCATGAAGTTTGGGTATTTAGATATGTTTTGGAAGTGTTTTGAAGTTTTGAAAAATTTGGAAATAATAATAAGTAATCGAAAAAAAAGGTATTTGAGCTTACGTAAATAGGTATTGTATATGATACTTTGATAGAAAATAGATTACGATGTAATATTTTAAATGAAAATAGATATTGAATGTTATAAATAGTGTCAAAAGTTTTAGGCAGAGCCTTTGGTTTTGTTGCCCCCAAATACGCTCAATAAAATAGAGATAATCAAACAGCACGAACATAAGCACAAACAGACAGGTTTTAAGGATGTTGGAGAGTATGATTGTCGTCGTTTCTTATCCGTCTTATCCGAAGTTTTGACATGTTTTGTGTATTTTAGGATTGAGATAGCAAGGGAGCGATGGTGAGTATTCGAAGGCGCCGGCTTCTAACAACATGTTCAGGTAAGCTCATTACAGTTTGTTGTGTTGTCATTTTCGCTGTAGTATATGTTGTAATTACATCCGTATCTCTTACATAAATTCCGTAGGACAAAATTCTTTGCTGGTGCCACATCCGCTGACATTCAACAATGGATGCGCTCCCGTGGTCAATAAAGCTTCTGGTGTTTGTCCTCTGCCTTTAAATGACAGTTTGAAGCCAAAAGAAGTAAGCTGCGATTTCGGACATAGGCATTTGCGCGCCTCTCATTAATGTCACGGCCTTCTTTCAGACATGACCGATAAACTGTCTTAACATTATTCAAATGCCGAGTTTGTTATTACTAATATTTTCTCTTTTTCTACGGCGCTAGAAAACCACTACAGAAATGGCGCCGGGCTCGTCAAGCGTGTCTGCATTTAGTCCATCGAAAGAGCATTGCTTCCAGTCGTTCCCTGGTTTGGACATTCGATGTTTCTTGAATATATCTACATACGGACATGCTTATTTCTTTCGGGATTTGTCTTAAAAACTCGGTGTCTATGTTTTTGCACTGTATTTGATTTGATTCATCTATGTTTTTGTCGAAGAGGTTAAACGTAGAAAGCAACACAGGAGGAAGCACGTCGACAACCAAGAACCGTGCATCATGCGAGGGGTCTATTTCAAGAACTTGAAATGGCAGGCTGCCATTAAAGTCGACAAGAAACAGATCCATTTGGGTACCGTTAGCTCTCAAGAAGAGGCTGCGCGATTATACGACAGGTACTACTATATCAAATGTGCGACATTTTTCTTGGTTATTGGCAAAATTTCTTATAGCCTACTGGTGGTTTGAAAAGTCTACACTATACTCATTTATAATTTAGAAACTGCTTGAGCCTCCATCTTATTTTAGAAAATATTCTACAGAATCTACTAGAAATTGGACTAGGTTTCCCGTGTTTAAAAAACATTGCTTTAGAAATTGTGTGAGACTTGCTCGTACTTTATAAAATATTGCACAAAATCTCTTAAAAATTATGTGAGACTTTTATATTTTAAAAAATATTACACAGAATCTGTTAGACATATTTTTTGTGAGTTTTTAAGTATATTTTTACTATTTAAATTCTTTTTTCCTTTCAAAATATCAAAGAAAAAAAATTATTTATTTATTTTTATATTATATTACAAATCTATTTTATATTCAAAACATATCAAATAATTATACAATTTTAAATTTTTACTATTTAAAAATCCAAAAAACTCACAAACAAACACACCCTGTGTGAAACTTCCTCGTATTTTAGAAAATATTGTACATAACCACCTAGAAATTACGTAAGACTTCCTTGTGTTTTAAAAAACATAGCAAAGAAAATTTGTCGTGTTTTAGGGATTGTGTGCAAGGTTTTAAAACCACTAGAGAGCCTCGTGCAGGTTTTAAATAACAAGTAAAAATTATACCGACTTTTCAAACTACAAATATGTTTTCTTTTAGTGTATTGAAAGAGAATCCAATTGCGCAGGGCTGCATTCATGTGTGGGAGGGAGCCGAACTTCGAACTTTCTATGGAGGAAAAGGAGGAGCTTCGAAAAATTAAGTGGGACGAGTTTTTAGCCATTACTCGATCAGCCATCACCAGCAAGAGTAAGCTACATAAATGTTCGATTGTGTATGATCAGCCACACTCTGTCTTTTTCTCCATTTCTGAATTTTGAATCTGCAGAAAGCCATAGACGAGCTGGAGTAGGTTTGCGTGGAAAAGTCGAGGACCATGAATGGGAGGTCGAGGAAGCACAGAATGGTTCTTCAGTCTCGGAGGATGATGAAGCCGCTGCATGGTGATGCCCTCTCAACTTCTCGGCAAGATTTTTAGTTTGATGGATTTGTCGTATATTCTCTTCGTTTATAACAAAAGATACCGAATCTTGTTAGAACATAATGTTGGTTCGCATAAAAGTGTATTTGTCGATGTGACCTTATAGAAGCAAATAGTGTTTTTCATATTGTTCATATATATTTGAACTATGATTTCATCTAAAAGTATAAATTTTAAAAAATATATTATTATATTTTGTTAAATTGACAATGAATTGGCGTAGCATCAGAGGCGGTCGCCGGAGAAGACAACTTGCCGGAACTTTTGCAATCAACTCCGTTAAGCTTCTTTCGAATAAGATAGCTTTCTAGAAATATTTTAAATGAAAAATAATGCTTTTTCAGAAAGAGTATCTTTTGTAAATTGTGGTTAACATTAAAAAATGCTATATATTTATTTTCTACGAGCATGACTACATATATTTATCTCTTACTCCTTATAAAACGAATGGCATTAGTCCCGTGTGAAAACGAAATGATCACCACCGAAATATATATATAAGTAAAATGAAATATTCAATAGCAAAAAATAAATAAACAATTCCTTATATCTAAAACACAGAGATAAAAGTACTGAATGAACAGATGGAAATGCATAAAAAAAGATTTATTTATATTTTTAATCTTAGAAATCTATTCCCAAACATTACCTCAATAATCTATATTTAGGTCACATCCAACACTCAATTCAACTTTCTACTACTCCAAAAACACCTCAAAATCATATCTAATAAAATCATATATATATATATATATGTAAACCCAAAGATATAAAGACATCAATACTGATAATTTCTATTTGGCTACTCAGCACCAAAATCAATTCAATAAAAAAACAAGACAATATGAAACCTTAAAACTTCCAAAAACAGATCTTCAGTCCAAAACTGGCTGAAGTATATATATAATGATCCAACAAGAAACATAAAATCTGTAATCGAAATTTTCAATACTCCCTCTCACTAGATAACATAGTTATTTCATAAGAGATCAAAAGCACTTGAATAACATTCTAAGAAAAGCATTAAGTTTTAGAGAGGTAACCAGGACCTGTTCGATCACTTCTTAGCCTTCTTGGTTCCCCTGCATCGCAATATTTGAGCAGCCCAATTAGATCATATAATCTAACAACAGTGATTATAATAGTTTGGTATCACTTACTGTGATGCAGGTGCAGGAGTTGCTGATGCAGGTGCTGCTGCCGCCTTCACTCCCGGACCCTACAATGGTCGCAAATGGAACATTAGGTTATACATATAATAATTAGAGAATTTATATAAAAAGTGGACAAATTGAAATTTTGTATCTATGTAAATACCTGGGCAAGCCTTTCCTCCCTCCTTGCAATCTTTCTTTCCCTGCTAGCCTTGTTCTTTGCTCGCTTGGCCTCGAACTGATCAGACAATGTCTTCTCCCTAGCCTTTTCAGCCTTGGATTTGTGGATGCTCTCCATCAAAACACGCTTGTTCTTGAAGACATTACCTTTAACTTTCATGTACATATCATGATACATGTGTTTGTCGATCTTCTTTGCCTCCCGATACTTGCGGAGCAAACGCCTAAGCACCCTCATTCTCCTCATCCAAAGGATTTTGGTCGGCAATCTGGCCTCCCTGGTACCCTTACGCTTACCTACGAGCATTAATACGTCTCATGAGGACTGCCGTATTCTCCTTTTAAGGAAATTTCTAGGTTCATACGTCACTTACACGTGTTAGACATAAGTATATAAACATAAGAATTAACACACAGCTACAGTTGGCTAATTTGTCGCTTCCACGTGTTAGAAATAAGTAGATGAAACAAGAACTTAACAGCATAGAGATAATGAAAATCGCCACCAAAGAAACAGATTCATAAACAGTTGTGTGATCTGTCAAGCTACAAGTTTCGACCAATAATAACAGGATCTGTGACGCATAATAACTACCAAACAGGCAAACATCTGAAATCAATACCGTATCCAGAGTGGCGCCCCTTTCTCTTGGCCTCCTTCATTCGGCGGGCACGGGATCGGGAGTGAATCTTGGTGGGCTTTCTTATAATAAACCCATCCTTGACCAATTTCCTGATATTTTGTCCTGTGTACAATCGTAGCTATAATAAGTCCGGGGCACATTGGCATAATCATGTTTCTTAAAAAAATAAACTAACTAAAAAAGCAGGATAATAGCTGCTTGATGAGAAGCATCCAATAAATATAGATGCAGCAATCTAACTGATGCACAGTAAAAAAAGGGTTCAAGAATTAATACTTAATCCCTTGTTCCAAAACCCTAAAAATCGCAGATAAAAAAAGAACCTTAATCACAGATAAAAATGAATTTCTCGTGCATACTCCATCAGCAGCACGTGAATGATTGGATAACGCTACATTTTGGAGCATCTCTAAAAACTGAATGAAATCTAACTCAACAATTATAATAGATGCTTATTTGTAGTGTACAGCAAAATCATCTCCAAGCACAAAACTCAATAAGAAAGTAAATCAAATTCTGAATTTTTTTTAAAAAAATCGTTTTCGACAAGCACACGCTTACAAATAATCATCTTTCAATTTCAAAAATATTAAATCCAAACCAAAAACTTTTTAACCTGTTCCACGAAATAAGTTTTCCAACAAAGAATCATACATCAACATATACGTAATAAAAAGTAAATCTCTCCATTATCAGTAAAAAAATAATAACGAAAAACAGTCAGGCGACTCAGGCGCATCGTAGAAAGTTAAAATCAGAGTACCAAACACAGGAACCAATAGGAAGCGAATACAAATCATACAAGCAGTGCCAAAAGTGAAGATAAGGAAACAGATCGTACGAGAATTGGCCATGGAGATTTCGTTGACCTCATTAGGATCAAGCCAAACCTTTCCCTTGCCGCACTTGAGCACGCTGGCTGCCAGCCGCTTCTGTAGCTTGAGCGACACCATCTCGCTCTCCCTTCCCCTCTTCCGCTTCTCCTCCCACAGAAAAAAACGACGATGTACATGAAATAGCTGAAAATATGAATTTATATCGCTTGATTGCCCTAGGGTTTTGATTTGGGTCTATTGGGCCTCTACTCATATGTGCTGAGTTATTGGGCTTCTTGTTTGGGCCTATAAATAATATCATTAAATGATAATATATTATATATATTATATGGGTGAAAAAAGAGATTTGGTTAAATAGCTGTTTTAAAAATATCTGATCTAAAATTGATCTGTTAGTCTGAAATTTTTTTCAAAAAAAAATTGATTTTAGTCTTTTTAAAAAGTCGAGTCTGACCTATAAACCTATTCAAAAAACTACATAATATTTTTATTTATTTGTAAATTTAGTTAAAAACAAAATAAAGTACATATAAGTATTTAAAATGTATATAAGTTAAAAAATTTTATTTTTTGTAATAAATTTATTATTAATTTTTTTAATAAATATTATTATTAAATAAAAAATTATTTTTAATATATAATAATAAAAAATTATAATAAATAGACCGATTAATTAATTAAAAAGACTATTTTTTTCAGCATGTTTTATCTAGATAAAAAGGTTTTTTAAAACAATTTGACTTTGCAGGATGTGTTTGTTTTGAGATTTGGATTTTGAGACGAGAATAATAAAAATTTTGAATTAAAATAGTCGTATTTTGTGATATAAACAAGTGTTGATTTGATGTTTTAAATGAAAAATTAATTTTTAATATAATATAAAAAATAAAAATTAAATATTTAATTTGATATTTTTTATTCATAAAAAAATTTGATGACCGGTGTAAATTTTGAAAAGTCTCCCAAACACACAACCTAAATAAATCAGGCCAGACCCTATGTAGACCTGGTCGTAGGCCTCCTATTCCCATCCCTGTATCTATACCTGATCCATAGCCACACTCACCTATATCTCCCTTTTCCCTTTTCTTCGTTGGCCGTCGCTTCTACACCGCCGCTGTCGCCGGGTGCTGTTCAGGTCTGGAAAATAAAAAGAGAAGAAAGTAAAAGCTGACTGAACGCTGGTTCACCAGCCGTTCACCCCTCACAGTTTCTGTCTCATCGCCAGCTTATTCATCTACTTCTTTTGGTAAATACTTTCCTCTTTTTCTTTGTAACGAATTTCTCTTCCCCACAATCTCAGGCTCCCCCAGTCGTCTGAGATTTATAATTGGCTGATTTATGGAATAAAGTAGGGAAGAATTATTTGGACAGTCGCTTTTAATTTCATTCATTCTACCTGTAATTTATTGGCTTGTGTTTTGGTGACAGTTTTATTTATAATCAGTGCTTGTTGTGTATATGCATATTGTCTTCTATGTTTGTAGGATGAAGTAATTGATAAGATATGGAGTATTGTATATGTTCATCCTTTTATTTTGAATATGACTACTGATTTAAAAAAATCGATCGATTTCGTAGCAGATAATGGCTTGTTATGTATCTTCAGCGCCCTGTCGAGGATTCCTATTCCCTATCTCACAATCCACCTTGAAACAACAAGTTTTTCCATGTGCAAGTAAAGTATATACCGCCATTACAGCTCATCCTCCCTCCCATTCTTCACTTATCTTCACCAAGAGATGTTACAGTGGTTTTAGTTGCAAGGCTGAAAAGGAATACAAATTTCCCGATCCAATTCCGCAGTTTGCTGATGCTGTGAGCATTTTATTGTATTGTATTGTGTTTTATGAAGTGCTCTTCTTTATAAGTTTGTGTTATTTAGTTGTTGAATATTAATATAGGCTTGTGTGTGAGTAGGAGACGGAGAAATTCGAAAATCATTTGCGGAAGAAGTTGTCGAAGAAAGACATATATGGAGATTATGTAGATGATGTCGTCGGTATCTGTTCGGGGGTAACTACTTGCTTTGTTTCTTCTTTTTGAGTATCTAGTTTTGTTTTTTTGTATTGACCATAGTTCTTGATTGGTTTATGAACAAGAATTCGAAGTAAATTTTGAGTTTTTTGAATTGTTTTGTTAGATTATACTTCTTCAGTCCCAATTCAATGGAGTCTTTTGGCAGACGGAATTGTTTGTCTCGGACAAAACCCTGTTCCACTGTCCCGTACATACAGTGTGTATATATAAAATAGCCCTTTATACATGCACACGTGTGTATATATACACATTATATATGTGGGGATAGGGGAATAGCGTTTGTTTTTGGGACAGGTGATCCCATAGGGTCTTTTGGGGTTTTGTAGTAAATTAAAAATTAATACTAGTATGAAAGTGTGCAATAGGTTTTTGACATTTTTGTTGTAATTGTATATGTAATGGTATGTTTGTAATTTAAGTAAAAATTAAGGGTATTTTGGTATTGGTGTATGTTTACTTTTTCTAAAATAGAAAATGAATACTTTGAAGAATGAGAGACGAAAATGATAGAAATAGCACTTTGAATTGGGACCGAGGGAGTATGTGTTTTTTAACCGATAATGAATATTTGGATTGAAGTTTTGAGCCAATATAAGGATTGACAGACGTTCAAATTTGAATTTTTTCATGGTATTATTATTCTTCTAGATTCGGTGGCTTGTTTTGTATGTAATTAGGTGAATGTGGATGTGAATACGAGCAAGCAAATACTAGCGAGGTTGTTCTTCCTCTGAGAATTTATCATATGTTGGTCGAAAGAAAGCAACTATGTTTGAGAATTTATGTCCATAAAATTTTTCGGATTTAGGTTGTCTACCTATGTAAAAATACATACTTACAAAGTGAGATGATCTTTGAAGTGTCATTTTCGGTTGTGTATAAATAAAGATGAAAATCAAGTTCTTTGAGATTTTGATGTTTGGCTTTGATTTAATGACGTTAATATTCCTGAGGCTACATTGAAGTATATATTATTGTATCGCAGGTATTAAGCGAATTCTTGCACACAGAGTATGGGGGGCCGGGAACATTGCTGGTGAACCCTTTTATCGACATGGCAGATAACATATACGAGACAGGCTTGCCGGGAGGTCCTCAAGCTGCCCGGGCAGCCATTAAATGGGCGCAGGCGCACATTGACGCAGATTGGAAAAACTGGACTGGGGAAAAGTAGAACAATGTAAGAATTCCAGCAAATATATGAACAAAATAACTCTAACTAGCCGTTGTAGTTGTAGTTGCAGCAGGTTTGAACTTGCCGGGGTTTTTGATCTAACATTTTATTCAAATTCCCCGCTGCATAGGCAACCCCGCAGACAACACATGCTATAACAACGTAATATATTGCTGTCTTCGTAATGTAGCTCGTGATTCGCTGCCTCGGTGCCCGTTTAAGACAAGCTTTTGTAGTTGCAAGAATGAAAACTCATGGGTTCAAACACTCGATCTTGTCTGTCGTACATGGTTAGTCTGTCTTTTTAAGTTTATTTTATTTATTTATTTCTTATTATACAACAATTGATTACAAATTAAAATCAAGACTATTATATTTATATATTTTCAATAAATACTATTCGGCTCTAAGGTCTTATTTTCTTTTTATTTGTTGATCTTTAAATATTAATTATTATATCGAAATGCAATATAATTTAAGAAAAAATTACAAAAATATTTTGTGTCTTATGATACTAATAAAAGGACAATTACAATGACGGAAAAGATAAATGTGACTTTAGAGACGGACGAAGGGACAAAAGTTAAATCAACATTCTATTTCAAATCAATTTTTATCTACCACCAAATAGACCTTAATGATTCTCTGTAAAACAATTATAGGAAATCATAATTTTATTCAATCTAAACCATATTCAAATAAAACATCAAGACCAAAAAATAAAATAAAATAAAAAAAGACACCCTCTACTACAATGGATGGCAGGAGTAGTGCATATGATCAATTCTTAAGACACATCTACAAAATCAGCAAGAACCCCTCGCCAGACTACCCAAAGCCATAATGTCTTTTTCCAACAAACTAGCCGTTGCAGTCGCAGCAGGTTCGAACTTGTCGAGCTTCGCCATCAACACTTTGATCAAATCCCCGGCAGCATAGGCAGCCCCGCAGACAATAATCGCTATAATAACATAGTACATTGTAGTCTTAACGATCCGCCGTTTAAGACAACCTTTTATAGTTGCAAGAATGAGAACACATGTAAAAGAAGCTGCCGCGGTTGCGACTATCTTGTTGTGTTTGTTTTCACTCTTGTAGAAGGCGAAGGCGTACACTACCGGAGGTATAAGCCCGAATATGAGAAATGATAGTATGGCGACAAATAAATGGAGTAGAAAGTTACTCCTCCTTCCGAGTAGTTCTTCGTACCGGTCGGTTTGCTCTGATATGTATTCTAAAGAGGCGTCGGTTTTTAAGGCGATTAGCTGTAAATTAGAGCACAAAATATTAGCCATGTATTATAGTAATCCGATTTATCATGTCTTACATTTTAGGTAATGATACTTTGGAAAGTACATGAGTGAGTTAATGATACGAGAGAAAAATTTTGAATAAATTGAGCATGTAGATGTTGATGACGTATATGTAAATAAGTAAAATTAAAGGATATAAATTAAAGAGTTCGAAAAAGTTATTTACTATAAATACAAACTATATATCTGTCTCCTGAGTAGCATTTATTTTTTGCACAAATGAAGTTATATTAGTATTATAAGATAATAAAAGTATTTTTGCTATTTTTTTTTAATTTGTGTTATATTTTGATATAATAATTAATATTTAAAGATAAATACATAAAAAAACAAATGTAATTTTTACAACCGGACGAGATAGTATTTTTTTTTGTAGACAAAAAAATGAAGTATAGATTTGATGGGCAGATGAAGTAAGATTCTTTATTAAAAATGAAAAGATAATTGTTTTTTTATTTTTATGACAATTAAAAAGAAACATAAATTTAGATCATAAAAAATGAGTATTCTTTATTCTTCAAAAATAAAATTACAAAATTCTATATAGAAAAGTTTACTTTAACTGATATTGAACAATATATTGTGATAATAAAACACAACGTATTTGAAGGAGCTAAGGCGAACTATAGAAGTAGTGAAGCACGCGAAATACTCACATCATGACAAAAGATGACGAGGCAACAAACCATCGTTGCAAATCCTATGATAAGCGTGTTTACTGCAACGAACATGGTCGTGTTAGAAATGACAATATTGTATCAATCAATTTAATGATCCAAGAATATTTTGATATCTACATGTCGAATATTTTTAGATGAGATGATCATTTTTAATTTATTGGAAACTGTATTTAGTAAAGTAAATTAAATCCCGCATTACTTAGTGTTCGATAATTAGAATGATGCAAGAAGGCTACGGACATGTCGTGGTGTCGGAGGCGACAGCAGAAAACAACACGCCCGTGCTCATTATCAGCTCCATCAGGCCTCCGTACACTATGGATTTCAGAATCTCTGAGAGTGTAATAACAAAGACAAAACCAGGGAATGAGGAACCATAGGCTTCCGCTTCTGCAATTATTAAATGGTTTCAGTTTTAGGACATACAAAAAATATACCGACATAGTAATCCAACAATTAATGGGATTTGTATCACCTGGTGCTGAAATCGCAGCATCCATTGACAAGGCGACATGGCCGTGTTGACGAGGGCTAACATTGCCATCATCAGAATGAAACGGCCGTGTTGTTCTGTTCTTTCTGTGTAGAATAACCTTAGCTAGTTGGGTATTGCAGTTAAGACAGTACGGAGTGTGTGTCTGAATCATGTGGACTGCCTTCTCGAATACCACTTCTTTATACTCTTCTTCTTCATCTTCTGCAATTTCTTCCCCTTTTATGCCGGTACCTATACTTACAACTTTTTAGCTGTATATTATCAAAAATTAATCGTATGACTTGATGGTAAAAATTTTAAATTATTTATGTTTGATTGTGAGTTCAATTCAATTTGATTTTAAACTGGGTCATGCTTAGCCTCACCTTTCCGCCTAAAATGATTCAGGACCGGGTTGGGCCGGGCCGAGCGAATTGCCATCCTAAATGAGTCAATGTGGATCTTAACCATATAATTATAAGGGAATTTTCTAATTATTAATAAGGAAATAAATAAGGGAAAACTAATATAGGTGTGTTTGTTTTCATGGGATTGAGAAAATTTTGGTTTATATTTGATATTAAAATAATACTTTTTCGATTCCAGAACAATAGTCTTCGTTGTATTGGGCACGAGATTTAAAAAATATTGATATTATATTGATAATAGATAAAAAGAATTGGTAAAAGACATTTTTGCCCTTGTGAGTATATTAGTGAAAAATATAGTGACAATTGTGTAATAATAATGAAAGAGCAAGGTAGTTATATACTGATATGGTTCTATATGGAAATAAGACTATTGTTTTGAGACGGACAAAAATAGTAAATAAACCTATTGTATTGAGACGGGGGAAATATATAATTAGATATTTTGTAAAAAAAAAAAATTATTTTTAAAAAAACGCAAAATTAAAATAGTAAAAATCTAATTTTTGGTAAAAGAAACGTACCCATAATTAATCGTATCAACACCTATAGACTATAGTTGTTAATTGCTCATAGAAAATTAAGCTTGTTAAACAGTACCTGTGATTCTGCTATGGCCATATCTGATGCTGCTGCCATCACTGTTTAAGCTTCCATAAAATTCGGAACTGTTGCTTGTCCGAAATCCTTTTGTCCAAAATTATTACTATTACTTTTGTAAAAATCTAAGTTTATAGAAACGAATCAGATATATATCTATATTTATATATATATATATATATATGAGCAGTTGAAGTTCTTAATTACCTTCCGGCAGATACACCACCGTGACGGCCTCCTCCTCCGCCTCTTCCGCCGCAGCAAATCGGCCGGACATGACTTTCACTACGCCGTCTGCACCACCGGCGAACAATAGCTAGTTAGGTCAACATAAATAGAGTCCAGTTTCAGATCACTGCATCCGTTGGATGCTCTAATAGAATCAACGGCCGTGATCAAATTTGATAATATAAATATGAATGATATAATAATATATGAATTTTGAATTAATTTTTAATATAATATAAAAAAAATAAATATTTAATTTTAATATAAAAAATATCCAAAATTGTGAAAACAAGCTTAGTTGTATTTACGCGTTTAATTTGGCGTCATGTTTTCGAGATGTCAGCTAATAATCGACAAGATTTGTTAGAATTATTAATAATTGATGTAGGCAGTAGATGCCTCGTATCTTCCTGGCTATCCACTTTAATGCCCTCATCTGCTCGTTACCTACGAAATAAATAAATTGAATTTATTGTACACTTGGCTGTGACTTGATGTTGGGGGAAGAAAATTTGGATAATATTTAAAAACAAATTCGTGCGGACTAAGTTCAAAGCGGACAATATTATATTGAGTTGCCACAATCTCAACATTGGAATCAGAGTCTGGTTCGATGATTAAGTGGATTGGATGGTTGTAGGCATTGGTTTTGGTGGTGGGCTCGCCCTCGTGACCTGCGGATAAGTCTCCTAGCAGTGCAACGGGTCCCTTTGTTACATGCGGTACAAGGTGGGTAGGAAAGACCCATTAGTTTGAGAGGAGGCTTGTGTCGAAAGTCTCTTGGCAGTGTTGAGTTTATCCCGATTGAGGTGATCAGACAGCAAGTATGACATGCGGTACAAAGATAAATAGGGAAGAGTCCCAAGTAAACTCTACTAGTAGGCCTACTTGGCCCAATCCCAACACTTGATAAAAAAATAAAAAATAAAAAATTGTATTTAGACCTAAAAATAAGATTAATTTGTTTATTCCTTTTTAAAAATCACTTTTCATTGTTTAAACTTTGGCGTAATAGAAGATGCAATAACCCAGTGATGTATTCAACCATAATACTCAAGAAGTCCATAAAAACTCACGAAAATGTCTTTTAAGTTTGAAAATATTGGGACTAAGAGGCCCAAAAAACCTATAAAAATAGTCACTCTAGAGTAAGAAATTTATGGAGGAATAAAATTTGGGAGAGGGGGACGACCAACTCTAAGAAAATATAGGACATTATTTACTTACTTTTCTTTTTCCATCATTTTTTAAAAATAATATAGAATTCCGTAGCAACTAATTTTTGGATGTATTCTGGATAAATTTTCAAATGAATCTAATTGTTTGCAAACTAAGCATGATAAAAGACAATTTTTCTTTCTTTTTATTTATACTATTTCTTTTATACAAAGTCAGGCTTTTTGTTGAGACACAGGAGAACTTATATTATTAGTTTTTTTACTAGCTTACAAAACACCGATGGCCTAAAAGTCGATTTTTATCAATAACAAATCACATTCATTCGAAAAATCGTGCTCGATTTGACGAGTACGAATTTTTCGACACATATACGTCGAACAACATAAATAACTCAACTCACTCAAACAACAAAACATCAAAAACATTACAAACATAAGTAGATATACAAACCATGCTAGTTTAGTAAGAGCCCCAAGCCCTAGTACCCGAAACCATACCCGGTCCGAGCAAGCCAGCCGGCGTAGTCGAAGGCGCGAACCACCCAAACCGATCGATCAACATTTCAATCAAATCCCCTGCGGCATACGCAACACCCGAGGCCCCAATCGACAAAGTTGCGTAGTACATTATGGTTTTGACGTAGTCGCTCATTGTCTGCGCCCGTTGCACATAAGCTTTTGCTGCAGCAAGAACGAGAATACACACAAACGAAACTATGGCGACCACGAGCATCGTGTAGTCCTTGTTGTTGGTCTCTTTAAAGGCGAATCCGTAAACTATCGGAGGTATAAGCCCGAAAATTAAAAATGATAGCGTCGCGAGCGATGAATGGAGTAGAAAATTGTCCCTTTTTCCGAGTTGTTCTTCGTATTGGTCTACTTGTTGCTCCGAGCTCTCTCGAGGGATGTCTTTTTTTAAGTCGAGAAGCTGTAAGATTTGCGTAAAATTAAGTTGCGAAGAAAAGCGCGCGATGGAAGAGGTGTGGAATAGGATGTGGAATGAGGTTACTTACGTTGTTTCCAAATGCGATGAGGCTGCTGAACATCGTCGCCAAGCCGATGCAGATTATGTTCACTACAACATAAATGGTCGTTCAATATGTTAGATAGTTATCTTACGCTCCCTCACATGCAAGATGAATTTACGTCACATACGAATTTTGAATATAGACAATTTACGTCCTACTCTTATAATATATTAAATGATTATCTCACTTAAAAATTTAAGCTTATAAAGATATGTATCATTTGATTACGTATTATGTAATCGATCAACAAAATGTAATGAAACGAAACGTACGCGTAGTGGCGTCTGCAGCCGCGGCAGATGAAACGACGCTCAAGCTCGCGATAAGCTCCATTAGACCTCCGTAGACGATGCATTTCACAATCTCCACCGATGTCGAGTGTTCGGCAACATCGATGCTCCCTGGTAAAGATATCGTTTTTTTTAAGAACCGTAAGTATTTTCGACACATGGTGTAGTGTAATTTTCGAGTAAAAATGGTTTCGTTGATCGATTTACCTGTTTCATCCGGAAAATCGATCGTGACGTCTCCACTTGGCGCAGATTCGACCGGTTCACTCGTCGCGCCGCTTAATTTCCCCTCACCGGCGCTAGGGAGAAGACCGGCGCCGATTGATGTTGCACCTATGGCGCCGATGACGGGTTTTTCGTTGTTATTGAGTTTGATCATTTGATATGTTGAAAGACTATATAATAAGCCGATAATGCTGCATATTGTTAAGTGAAACAATCATCTAAAACAGGAATTACTACACACCTGGCTCAGTTGGAGGACTCCTGTCAGTGATATGAGACGGCGCGGAAGGTTCCCGATTCCTCTGGATAGCTCTAAACCATCCGAAAATATTGCAACTAGTTTCCGCACCCTTCACGCCGCGTTCCGGCTTTCTTTCGGGGGTCGTAACACTCGGTTCTTTCCCATTTCCTCCGAAGATACGGAAAGGATTCAGACAGTCCCCTATTCGAAAAAAAAATATCGGCACGATGAGCGTGATTGAGACTCGTATATTAGTCATAGTCATTACATTGCAAAAAGAAATGATAATAATAATTATATATTTATATATAATCTTGATTTGAAAAATTTGTACTATAAATTATACTACTAGACGTTCTTCTGGTTCCAAAAATATTGAATGAATCAATTTTTAAGAAATTCTGTGCAATATCTTCTGTAACTTTTGAAATCTCGGATAAATTAAATTTAAGGTAATATATACTTACCCGATGGGATGAAAATGCTGAAGCATGAGAGGCATCCGAGCAAGTCGACGGGATCCTTGCGCGCCTTGCCTCGGGGCTTTTTTCGGCGTAGGACAACCTTAGTAATCTGGTGGCTGCAGTTAGGACAGTAGGGAGTGTGTGAGTGGAGCTTGTCGACGGCCCTCTCGAATTCGAGCTCGACGACTTCTTCTTCGTCGTCGTCATCATCGCTTTCTTTGCCTGCATTTTCGATGGTCACGATCTCTTTTTGTGGCGATTTTGATGTGGAAGCATTGAGGCCTGAGAGGATTTTGTCTTTGAGATCTCCGAGGTTTTGATCGTTGAGGACAGAAGTTATCAGTTCGGGGACATACACGTTGCCCTCTATGATGCTTTTGTTTTTATTACCTGCTAAAAACAAACATGTATTTGGGTATGTTTCGAATTTTGTATAAATTAACGCGTGACAATAATTTATATTCCCTGTAAATTATGGATAAAAAATATGAGTGAAAGACTTTATTGACGGTGTGAGTGTATTAGCAGTGACATTTGTGTAATAATAATGAAAAAATATGGATGATTTTATAGTGATATAAATATTTATGAAAATGACACTAATGTTTGTTTTTGGGACGGACAAAAATAGTAAACAAGAGTATGAGATATACTATCATTGAACTCAATAGATAATATATATATATATATATATATATAAACAATATATTTATAAAAGGTATGAACTTACAATGCATGTCTTGTCAATTCTATGTTAATTGAAATAATGTATTATCTGTTTATTTTACATGTGCTGATTAGCTCTAATTAGTAGTTTAAATAGTTTGATTGTTTTTTTTTTTTCTTTATCAAAATAAAATTGTCTATTTCTAACATATGTGTTTATTTGTACAAACAATTTGGATTAGTATTTGTAATTAATTAATTAATTGACTGACCTCTGAAGTTGCTATGAATATGTGAAGTTTGATGTTTATGATCGACCCAAAGATTTCCAAATTTGTATGACCAAATGCAATGGTGGCATTTCCACAATCCTTCAAACAAAAATGTATCCCTTTTTAATTTTTAAATTTTATAATATATTTTATATATTTTCTACACATTTTTATTATGTATATGTATTTTTTAAGTGATAAATTAATCATTTGGTCTCAACTACTGTATTTGAGTTATTGTAGATTCAAAAATTTATAAGAAATATAATTAGTAAATAATTAAAAATATATTAGTAAAAATAATTATTCTATAGATGATTATAGATTAAAATTAATATAATTAATTAGTTAAATTAAAATTTTTAAAATAGATTAAAATATATAATATTTTTATAAAAAATGTGAAATAATATGTGGAATGAGACTATGATCCAAGCAATTATTTCAAATGTAATCTCAAGTTTACATGTTTTTATTTTGGGATGTCCAATTACAAAGTTTATATTTCATTAAATACCTTATTTTTTTCCACAAATACCCTTACTTTACATCACATTATTATTTTTACAAAAAAAAAAAAGTAAGGGCAAAAATGTCATTACACTACTTTTAACTACGCCAAAAAGTAAATGTAATCCTTGTAAATGGAGGGAGGGAGTATATTATACGTACTTTATTCTAACACCAAAGAATTTTACGTAAGAAACAAAATAATAATATTTTATGTATTTTTTGTAAAATAAAAGAATATAGTATATAATTTAACTTAAATGACCCCTTTTTTAAAGTTAGGTTTAATTTGAGGAATGAGACTACGATCCAAGCAATTATTTGAGACATCATTAAATCGGAAAGAAACAAACACAAGGTTACAAAACAAAGGTCAAAAATAGCAATTATCTTATGATCGTGTTCTGCTCTGATTTTTAAATTAAGTCAGATTTTATGATGTAAACCTAATATAAAATTTCACGTCAATCTTAACTTTGATTAAATTTATTTAAATTAATTTCAGAAGTGCTTAGAAAAATTATGTTTTTTAGGTTTTGGTTTTTGTTGTATTTTATGTGAAATATTAATTTATTTAATGTTTTGTATGTAAAATTTATAATTTTATTTTTTACTGAATAGAACGAAATTATACAATATTGAAAATGTTCAAATAGGTACATAAAATTCATATTGCACTACAAATAGGCATATAAGTTGTGTTCTCTTTGCAGTTGTTTTTTTTTAATTTTTAAATATGCAATTCTAATTCTAAATAAAAGATTTTTTCTAACAAAATATCACGTACTATATTATTTAAACAAAAAATCTAAATACAAAAATTGAAAGAAAAAAAACTTTTATAATTGTTTAGCCACTACACACTTGTTAACATATAATCATAAAAAATTAGTAAAATATATTAATATATACGTGTGAGACTGTGCCAACTTATGATCTAAATTTGACCTAATTTTTTTTATAAACGAGTAGTTTAAATCCAAATTTACAAAATGTTTATATAATTTGACCTAATAAAATTGCTCTTTCTGATACCTAATAATAAAAACAATTTAAACTATAAACATTAAATAAAGAAATCATTATGGAACATTATTCTAGTAGAATAAACACAATATGGCTATTTATTTGTATTTTCAAGCAAAATTTTATATTTAAAATTTATTTTTATATAAAAAAAAATATCATTAAAAAGAATTAAACTAATTAAATGAAGTTCAATATAATTCTTACCTTCATTCTCGTCAAAGTATACACTCTCTTCCAACGCGCCGCCGTCGCCATTTTCGACGCCGTTGATAGTTGCAGCGGCGGTGGCCGGCGGCTTTTCCGGCAACACCACATGGCGGTCGGTAACCGCCATAATTAAGGCGTCGCCGGCGACAGTACCAAGCAAGTTGGTAATCGGAGCACCGTCGATAGGCGTCTGCTCCGCCACCACCACACGGGGGTCGATCACTTCCGCCATGGTGTCGCCGCCGCCGGAAAATACTTATAGGAATGTTTACGGCGACCGGACAATACTTGAGAGAATGTTTACAAGCACACTATACGTATATGTGTGTATATATAATTATAGTCCAGTAGGTACGGATCGATCACCACCGTTGATCGGGGCTGCTGGATCAACGGCTGTGATGAAGTTGACCTGATGCACATGTTTATTTTAGGGTCTCCTTCCCGTGTTTACTTGTATTACTATTCGTATATTCTTAATAAATAAATAGTTATATCGTATTCATTAATTTTTTTATTTGAAATATTATATTGTATAGTATATATATATATATTTTTATCTTGGAATTCCAAACAAATCAAATACCAAATAAAATTGACACACAAATTAACAAATTTTTGTGTTCTTTTTATGCTTTTTTAAAATAAAATAATTATTGAATATGATATTTTTATATCGAAAATATGTGTTTTGAAGTATTTTGGGTGTGTTTGTTTTTCTAAAATAATATGAAGAAGATTTTCTTATGTGATCATGTGAAGTATGAAAACTTGTCTAAACATTATAAAAATATTGAATATGTGTGATATATTAATATTTTTTAAAAAATTGTATTTCTATTTTATTTTTTTTTTTTTAAGAACGCACCCTTTGTTTTTTTAGAGTATGGTGAAAATATTTTTTTTTAAAAAAAAATCAAAATCAAAAGAAGCTAATTAATCATTATTTTTGTGTTTTTTCAATTTTTACAATATGCACTCTATAGTGAATAACTCCTTTTTTATTTCCATTCAAAACCATTGCGTCCAAAACTTATCTTCACTAATATATAAAATCAAATTATATCTACAATATAAGGGTACATTTTTTTTGTATTTTATTCAATATTTTATTTATCTTAAACCCTAATTAAGCCTCTCTTTTTTTTTTTCTTTTTTTTTTTTCTCCTTTAGGGGAATAAGGTACAAGTTTAGTAGTGAAATCATCAACTCCCCGATTTTTCGATCGGGTAGTTCGGTTTCTATTATGTCTATTTTCCATTCTTCTTATCCTATTTGTATTCCAAGTGTATCCAAACTATTTTTATTTTTTAAATATCAAAATACAAAATACAAAAGAACACACCTAGCGAATTCACACTTAATCAATTTTTTTTCTCAAAACTATTGAGTTTGTGTTTTTTCTTTTTATCATTAAATTACTCATTATTCTAAAAATATCAACTTTCATGTTTATTTTTTATAAAAAAATAATACATTTAATAATTATTTATTTTTGAATATATATTAAAAAAAAAAAAAGAAGGAAGGAAGAAACAACAAAAGAACAAACCCTAATTATGTAGTAATAATAAGATAGCTAGAAAGCACTAATATTCAATAATGCTAAAGACGTGGTATTTTTATTGTTTATATAATTAAGTCCAGTTATGTCCATCTGTCATTTAATTAATTAAATAATAGTTCAATGTATATAAATTTTTCACGGACGGCTGTTCTAGTACTAAATTCGACAATATAATGCAACCAATACATAAAATATAATTCAGTAACATATAAAATAGTCTATACAATACATCAATTCCTATAATTGAATCCATTGCATAAAATATATAGAAATAACACATTTTAAAAATATAAACTGACATCATATTGTCAAAATTAATACAGTACATACTATATTCATTCAAATCTTACATAGGAAGTATATATTTTATATGTTGTCAATAAATAAATTTAAATCAATACCCTAACCATGTTATGTTAGTCAAATTATTTTGTCTTAATATTTTAACCAAAAGATTATGTTCCCACAGTATTTTAGATATTATCTTGTAAGAAATTGGTATATTTTGAACGTATTAATTGATTTGCGCGTAGCTGTCTAATAATAATAATAATAATGATAATAATAAATAGCTGTCAGTTTCTTGTTACAATGTGAATGAAATAAATAAATAAATAATAATAAATGTCTGGAGAGTTTGTTGAATATTAGTTGTGCACTGCATTTATGTCTATTTTATTTTGTTTTTTATTTTTGAATTTGAAAATATGAATCTGCAAATTATTAGTAGTAGGATGTGCTTAGATAGTGGTGATGATTTATTTATTTATTTATTTATGTATTTTCAGATATATTCTCTACGCCTTTTATTTTCTCTCACTCCCGGTAATAATTTTGTTGGTAAAAACTATATATTGTTTATTTTTTGAAAGTTGACTTTCCAGAAGGAATTATTTTAAAGTCATTACTCTTTATCTTTAGAGTGAACATTGCCATTGCTATATGTTGCTGTGTAGTCGAATATGCCACGATAAGCTTATAGTGTGTTTATACGTGTTATAATTTCTTATAAATATTAATAAAAATTATAAATTATATATTAACTCGATATATATTTATTTATAAAGTTAAAAGTTTTAATACAATATTATTTTTAAACTAACGGTACAATTTTTTATATCTAATATAAAAAAATAAAATATATCTAAGCATTTTTATTAAGATATATCTATCATTGTAAATTTCGATGTGTTTGCTTCTATTTTAGTTTTTGTTTGGATTTGTGTTTACCCAACCTATTTTACTTACAAAATTCTAACAAATATTACTAACAAATATAATATATATATGTTAATAATAAAAAATAATATATATATTTTTTTATATTAGTGGTACAATTCTTCATACATAACATTAGAGAAACATATTCATCTGAAAATAAAACGAATCTACTTTTTAAATTTTCTATATTTAATATATGGAAATAGAAGATGGATATCATGCTGATAGAGTCAAATTAACCTTATATTGATTTAAGTCGATCAATATATTTCATAAAACTTTGATTACCGTGTTGATTTGACTTAATGAGCCTATATTTATATAAAAAAATACAGCATATGGGGTAGCACATCTTAATGTAATATATAATATTATTTCCGTTCATTAAAATTAGTTCAGTTGGGCTCAGCGCGTGAATTAGAAAAAATGAATATTTTATTGAAAATGTGATAGATAGTTGGAGGTATTTTTGAAAATTTAGTTAAAAAAGTAAAGCAAATGAAGAGATAACGTAATAAAATTAGTGGTATTTGTTGTAGATAAGTGTTGAAGGGAGAGTAATAATTAAATATTAATTTATTGACTTTACCAAAATTAATAATAAGATAAATTTAGTGGACTGACTAAAAGGAAAAGTGATAATAAATTTGGGGGACGAATAAAGTATATATTTTGATAATACATTATATAATTATATGTAGCACAATATATTATGATTCCAACGTAATCAACAAATTATACAACACAATACAATACATAACTACACAACAATTGTTAATATATAGTATACATTATATGAATTCATGTATCACAAAATATTGTTATTTTAGCACAATAAATAGATTATATAACATAGTATAATATATAACTCACACAACACATGTTTCTATATAACATATCACAAACTTCTGTTTTATAATGAAATGCATGTTAGTGTACTAATTGAATATTGATTTGGATGTATATATTTTTTTATGTTAGACATAAAAAACCGTGTTTGTTGATTTGACTCAGTTAGCGGTTAGCACCTTAACCATAGTCTATATATAAATATTTGAATTTTCATTGCATCAAATAACAATTATAATCTAAAAAATATTTGAATCAATGCATTTTTTATGTTAGACATCAAAAATTGTATTAGTAATATAAAAAAAATAATATTTTGTAGATGAATAGAATATATTATATATATATATATTATATTTTTAATACTTCCCCTTCCTATAACAAAGTATCCATTAAATATTTGTGTTGTTGTACTTAAGATTAAAATATCTTTATTGTATAATTTTTTGTATAAATATTATTATATTAGTATTATAAGATACTAATAGAAATATTTTTGTCATTTTCTCTTAATTTATAATAAGTATATTTTGATATAATAATTAATATTCAAATATTAATATACAAAAAGTAAATGAATACTTAGTTACGGTACAAATAAAGTAATATTTATGGAGAATTGTACAATCCAAAAATAATTTGGGTAAACAAACTCAATATGCTTAACATTAGTGTGTTCGACTATAGGTAATTTGGATTTGAATAATAACATTTTGAATTAAAATGATTATTTAAGGTGATATAAATATAAAATTAATCTTATATAATAATACAAATAAATATTTAATTTGATATTCTTCCATTTTTTTTTTTTTATAAATAGTATATGATTGACTATATTCACACCAATGTAGACTCTCTTATGTCATTCATTAGAATGTTTGTCTTTGTTCACACATTTTGAAAATAGCCACGGTGTGCTAATGTTTTCAATGATTATTTTTTTATTAATTTATATTATTACATAGGGTGTGTTTGTTTGAGATTTTGGATTTTGTGTTGGGATTTGAATAGTAAAGGTGTATTTGTTTGGGGATTGGATTTTAAATACACTATTCATCCCATTTTTTCCCCTAAAAAATATTAAATCAAAACCTATTTTTTACTTTTTATATTATACTAAAAATAAATTTTACATTCAAAACATTACATCAATTCTTATTTATATCATATCATACAACTATTCAAATTTCAATTCAAAATCCAAACTCCCAAACAAACGCACCCTAAAAGTTTTGAATTTGAATAGTTGTATGATGTGATATAAATAAGAATTGATGTAATGTTTTGAATGTAAAATTTATTTTTAGTATAATATAAAAAGTAAAAAATAAGTATTTGATTTGATGTTTTTAGGAAAAAGTTTTTGTGAAAATAGTGAAAATTCCACAAAATCCTTCAAACAAACACAAACTAAATATATAATTTTCATTTTCAAATTCAAAATTTCAAGATACTATATTGATTATATTTTAAATAAAATAAATAAATAAATATTTGGGTTATACACAAAATAAATACCAAAATAGGCCAAATTGGACCACATCGCACATTGTAAAAAATCAATCATTCTCTAGATCGGTTAATCTTTAAAATCAGCTGCCTCTCCATCAATTGTCTTCACATTGTACAATCAAATAAGCGCATATTATAAAAAGCGAAGAATGCAGTCAGTCAGCCACTCCTTGCCTATTATACAGGAGTATTATTATTATATTTATTATTATTATTAGAAATACTTATTCGCTCCAACTTTGTAATTTGTAAATTGGACGATCTTAATCTAAAGGTAATAGTTATAAACACTTTTCTTTTATTAGTGGAAGACTATGAAACGGTTATCGGTAGTTATTTTATTTCTTTACGAATATACGAATTATAATATAAAAATGCACTGAATCATCAACAAGAAATCTACATAAATAAGATTTTTCGATCCCCTCATAGTATAATTTTTTTTTCCTTTTCAATATATTTTATAATACGAATGATTACTTTTGTATTTCTTGTTTATGATCGAATATTGTTCGCAAATATATCCTATGATTTGTGTGCTAATATGGTTTTCGAAAGCCAACATTTAGATATGACTATTTTCAGTCAGACAACAATTTGGTCGCTCCTGTAATTAATCGACAGTATTATTCGTATAAACGTGTTAATACCAAGATTGAATTATGGCTATTCTCAATCAAATTTTGATGAATTCAACTGGGTAGATTATTGGATGGTGATTACAACGATTCACGATCATATTATAGTAATTCTATTGATCCTACAATTAATAATTACCACTATAACTAATCGTCATTAGATCGTTGCATCAGGTGTTCCGGCGGAATATTGTCACTACCATGGGTTATTGCATAAGCTAAAAAATCACGATTCGTATATTTATATGATTATTTGTATTTTAATGTCTATTCTTCAAAACTTCCTACTAGTGAGTTTATTTGAATTTATGTTTTGTTTTAATATTTTAAAATTTTAATTTTTCTTGAGGTATAAATACATGTTGAATGTAATTGTTTAAGTGCTTAATATTATGTTTTTAGATGAAGTATATATAGATTGAGTAGTGAAAAATTAAAAATAAAAGTAAAGGGTTTAAAATTGTGATGAAAATATTGTCATAATGTTATGCTCTTATATAAAATTAGTTATATTGGTATAAAAATAATAAAATCAAATTACTTCAAAAACTTTATAACATGAAATGAAAAAAAAGAAAACAAAAACAAAAGAATCAACCTCATTAATGGTCGGAGATTCAAAAAGTAGTAATTGCAAGTTTCACAAAAAAAAAAAAATGTTTACAAAAACTTTCAAATTCTTTTCCTATTTATTTTTCTAAATTTGATTCTATTTTCTCGAACTTGTGTTTTTACGTGCATTAATTTAAACTTGTTTTGTACTGTAAAAAATATATTTATTAATACAATAGATTTGAATTTTTAAATATTTCTATAAATGTTTACAAATAGAAACAATAGATTATTACTAATATATTTCAAAATTTAAAGGGTTTGTTTCAAAAACCTATTCACTAAACTAGTTTTCCTATGTGAATTATATTATTCTAAACTTATTTGTGCTAAAAAAAAATGTACCTCAAGTATATTTTTTAATAATCATCCAAACAATATATTTGAAAAATATTTCAAATAATTCTATAAATATTAGTCAACCAAAAAAAATTTAAAATTACTAATATATTTCAAATTTGAATAAATGTTTGTTTACCAGTATATTCTATATTCTCTAACTAGTACTACGTGCATTTTTCTAAGCTTGTTCCGTGCTATCTCAAAAATTTATTTTTTTAATAACTATCCAAGCAATACATTTGAAAAGCTATATTTCAAATACTTAAAAAAATCTTACATAATTCATGCAATAAATTTAAATCACTAATCTATTTCAAAATTTAAACATCTATGTACTTACCTTATTTCAATTTCTATTTCTGCACTATCCATAATATAAATTTCCTTATAAAACAACACATTCAACAATCTAAAACAATTAGCTAAAATACTTTCAAAAACATAAAACATAAACCTATGAAAAACTAAATCCATCCGAACAAAGCCTAGTCGACATCAAAATAACTAAAACAAAGCATCCAATCATGTAAGCAAAAACAGACCAAAAATTTAACATCCAAAATATGTGAAGTTCAATATGAGTGAAGGATTGTGAATGTTTGTGATCATGCAATCAACACAAGAAGACAAAACCTTCAAAACGATTATAGTTTATGGCGGGGTCGAAAGGTGTATCGAGTTCATGGAGAAAACAGGATGTAAGAAACCGGAGCCCCAAAAGAATTGAGCGATCCAATCGCCAACCTTATTATTGTTAAAATTATTCTGTCCATCTCCCCCATGGACAGCAGCAACCCTCCATCAGCATCGCCACCAGAACGATCGGGTACCTGCGAAAATCGAAAAAAACAAAAAACAGACAACATTTAGCCATGTTTTTAATCAGACGAGCGCGCAAATAACGAGTCGGGGAAGAAGATGGAGATGCTGACCTCAGTTGTTTTTGGTGGCCGGAAGGTAGACCCGGATGAGGTCCCTCTGGATCGTTCGTTTCCTACAAGACGGGCATTTGGTTTGCACAGAGATGGCAGCTTTGATGCAGGCCCGGCAGAAGATGTGCCCGCACTTGGTCGTCGTCTCCTCGACGAACGGGCCCATGCAGATCGGGCACTTGAATGCGACCTCCGGTGGCGGCGGCGGCGGCGGTGGTGGCGGCGGCGGCGGCGGAGCAGCCTTGCTCTGAAATTCAAATACAGGAAAATGGTGAGCTTCAATACTAACATTAAAAAATCTAAACGTCAAAAAATAATCGCAAAGGATTGACACTAGAAAACAATCATATAGTGCAGTTTCTATCGCAACAATCCGAAATAAAGTTCTAACAATCACAAGAACTTGAATTAAACTAAAAAATCAACATGGTTTGATCGATGGAAAACATGATTGGAGAATATGGTTGAGGTGATCGAAGGCGACCGTTTTATAATTGGATGTGCAATTCAAGATTCATTTTTATGCATATGAAGCTAAACTGAGCAGCAGTTTATTACCGCAGAATTTCCGGAGCCTTCGAGATTGATATAAACTTCACAGTTGATAACAGGTTGGATCTCAGGAGCCCTTCTCCTCTTGTTTTCCCTTTCCTCTGCATATCAAAACACAGCATCAGCAAACGACGATATGCTAAAATTAAGAAAGGAGCATTGCGAAAGAGAGTAAAACTTGCAACTCAACATTCTTCAATAACAACATTTCTTGATTTTGGATATCACTTCCAAATAGGAAAAAGAAAATGTCGAAAAATATATTTATAAACCCCCGCACATCACCAGCAAACAGTTTTTTCATTTGTATATAGAATTCGATTTAGCTAAATTCTCTTGGATACAACTTATCGAAAACTCTTGTCTATATAATGAACAAAATCAATGAGTGTGTGGCACCATTTTACAACAAAGATAACGATAAAGTAAACTCTTGTCGAAGAACTAATGAGGTTGAAACAAGAAAAGGGAAAGAGTGGTAGAATTACCAGCTTCCAAATCAACGACAGTAGGAGATGCACGGTTCCTTCTGGCGTTGTTTTTGGCCTGAAACAGAAATGTTCAATGTGCATAACATCTATAATACCACTCGAACAAATAATTTTGGATCAAGAAAAAGAAATTATGGAATGTGCATACCTGTGCAAATGCAGTTGGCGTTGAAACAACGACGTCGTCATCTTCTACAGCAGTCGGTGGAGGAGGCGCGACTCCTCCTTGACTTGGTCCCCCGGCCTGCCCAGCCTGCCTTTCCTCTTCATCTGGTGGCGGCAGGCAATTCAGGTCAAAATCGAAAGGCGGCTTCCAGTCGGCATCCGATGTAGGCATTGGGACTCGATGTGGAGTGCTCATGATGAATCGGATTGAAGATTGTCGAATCTGCAAGAATCATTCAAAGAAAAATTTAGAAACATGTCATAGAAGGTTATTGTTCTAAGAAAGCATATTGAAGAAAAATCACTAAAGCTTCCAAATTAAATACGTCGACAAGAAATGCGATGAATGTGCTCATACTTTGCCATAGAATGCACTCATTACTTTCGTGTGCAAACACCATGTAATCGTCAACTAGAAAAAACGGTAAACCATAAACTCAAAAAGGGGGACAGCATTCAAAGCTCAGATTAATTGATCGATCGCAATTATTCGAATCTTAAGTTACTTGTAAAGGTAAGTACGACAAATCCTCGGAGTAAAGATGAGAATCTAGGATCGTTAGAATATCGGGGCCCACAAGGCGTCACTTCCTCAGCTCGATCATTAATTTCAATGCCTAGTTTATCATCTAGAGCATCAATCATCAATCACCGATCCCTTTGCATTCGCCACGCGGCATTTCAAGTGCTTTTTACATGGTATTAAAGACATGAGCCAGTAAGATACGGAGAAACGACAAAAACCGTTAAAGGATCCTTCGACTTTATGACAGAAATCGCATAATCTACGACGATCCAAGTGAAATCTACAATCTAAAAAAGGTAGAAAGATGTGTAGATAACTCAGATCTGCTACACCATTCATCCCATCAATGGATCATTCAACCAGCTCTTAGCTACAATGATGATTAGATTTGATTACACACACACCATCAAAAACTTGTCGATGATTGCCATCCAAATCGAAGATGATGATTTGAAAACGAAGCAAAGCACAGATTGATTATACATAACACTTGACACAATCAACCCCTTGGAAAATACCATATGAACGACAAGCTACAACAAGCTTTCATCCATGTCTTCCTCCACTCAATACCACATGAGCAAGGTCACTGCTAGCTAATCAAAATAGGCATTTTGTTCAACAACCACCATGAAATCGCAGAATCAATCAATCTAGAAGAACAAGCCATAGATTAAGAACAAGAAAAACAACTAATTGAAAGGAAATCCACAGCTCAAAACCACTAAAATCAAAGCGAAAGCCAAACCCTGGGCAAAACAACAGTTCCATTAATCCATTAAACAATCCCCAATCCCTATAAAAAAACCAGCAGCACCACGCCCACACAAAACGCTATAATCAGAGCTACATACGAAAATCCGCCCAAATAAACAGCATAATCAATGTAAACGAGAGAGTCTCACCCACACGAACGACACGGAAAATCAGCGCCGATCAGATTGAACTGGAAGCTCCTTCCCTCGATTAGCTAGGAACCGAAAGAAACCAGTTAATTGAGCGGCATTGGGAGGAGACGAAAGGGTTTTGCTCTTCAAATTGTGTTTGCCCACAATGAAGCACAGACGAGGCGACTGCTGCTCCTATATATACACGCAGAAGTGAATTTGCCCCTCAGCGAAGAGTACATCGGCGTTGTGAAGAAGCGACGGGAAAGACGAAGGACACGTTTCACGTCCAATTTTACACGTAATATGGCCGTTTCGTTTCCCGGTCCCGGACCCCAACATTTTACCCTTCGTGACCGCCGCCGCTACACCTCTCCGGAGTCCAAGTCCCTGGACCTCGACTTTCTTAATTATGGATTTGAAAAAAAATTAAATATTTGCCGGCAATAAATATTTAGGAAGCATATTTGAATAATTTCGTTTTTTTAATTTACTTTTTTAGGTGTGTTGTTGTAATTAAAATTAGTGGATAAAAAAAAAGTTAATTGTATATTTTTTATTGGTTCTTTTATAAAATTAAATGTACTTTCTTTTAAAAAAAATATATGTTATTCAATTTTTTCATATTTTAAAATTAAAAAAAAATCAAAATATTAGTAAATATGAAAAAAGATTTTTCACATAAAATTGTGTAAATATCTACCTGTATATTTAATATAAATGTTTTGGTAGGAAAAATTATTACAATATAACAGCAACAATAAATGCACCTAACTAAATAATTATTTAAAATTTATTTAATTTTATTTTCTTGTAAAATTTTATTTTTTATAAAATAAGATTTATACACAGTAAGTATTTAAAATATATAGAATATTATACATAAATTTTATTACTAGTATTACAAAAAAAAATTACATCTTATATATATACGATTTTGAATATTTGATAGAATAACTTTTATATATATAAAGATATTTTGCTAATATTATATTGAATCATATAATAAAATTTATAGTATATAATATTTTTATAATATTTACGTAATATTTTATATTACGATAAATATAATTATAAAATTTATACAAAAGTAATATAAATTATTAATATCAAATTTAATCTATAGGTAGAATTAAAACAATAAGTAAACTAAGATTGATAGAATGATATATATAATTTATAGTTGTATTTAAAAATTTTATAAATCTAATTTTCTAATATTGTTTGAATAAATATATATATATATATGTCAAAATTTATTATAATAAATTTGTTATATTTCAATTCTGAAGTTATATATTTTATTTAATTAGACTCCGATCATTCGTCCAAATTTGGAAATTTCAATAAATATGAATAATGTTTTTTTTTTCTAAAAATTTGAATTTATTTAATTGCTTTATATTTTTATTTTTATTTTTTTTTCTTTTTAAAAGAAGACATTATCGTATGGTACATATGTTTTTATTTAATATTATAAAATTATTTGAACAATTGAGTCAACGTCTCTATTAAAACTCTATCGGGTCAAGTTTGCATAAAATATATATATATATTAAATTTTATTCAAGTGGGTCCCATACCAAATCCAATTGGTACCGAGGCCCACACTAATTTATTAATGGCAACAAAATCTATAATGGAATATTGAAATTAATAATTAGTTGGGCTAAACAAACTAATAAATATATATGGATGAGAGGTTGTGGTTGGTTTTTTATTGTTTAATTTATTAGTTCGGTAAAATTATATAGAAAATTATACTATAAATTTAGTTGGAGAGATTAAAAAATAATAATATTATAATATTAAATCGAGATACATAAAAAGTAATGCGAGGATATTATAGAAAATTTATTAAATAATTAATAAAAATATAGACAAGTAAAAAAAATAATGATAAATTAGTTATTATTTATTAAAATAAGAGAATAAAATTTTAAATAGATAAATTATGAACTATAAATAAATTATGTATAAGGTTAACAAACAATAAAAAATAAATAGTTATGTAATTTTGACGGACGAAGTTAATATTTGTTGAAGTCTTATATTCGATTTAATATGATTTATCACTCTCAACTCAATATATTATTTTTGGAGTGTTTAATATAATTTTATAATTTTGCTCTTTAAAATATAAAGAAAATAAATATTTTTGTAAAAAGTTACAGAGATTTTTTTATTTAGATATAATTATTTTTAGAAAAAATTGTTTTGGTAATTTCGCACCTGATCTTCTTATCATTTTAATTTAATAATTGAAATGTGAATTCATTCGGTCATAGAACTAAAAAAAAATTGGCATATTTAGGCTCCGCGTCCGGAGTCGCTCACGTACCGCTAGATAGAACCACCGGACCTGAGGTGAGCGCCTTTATGGACATCCAACCATTACACATGTTTTATTTTATTTTTATTTATTTATTTTATAATTTTGAGTTTTGCAAATGGGTCCAATTGGACCCATGAACAAAAATCAATCACATAAATCTTAAAAACAAATGTGTATCGTGTTCTTCACTTAGTTTGAGCCCTAATCGAAAGCAGTGAGTCTCTTCCTTCTTCGCGAGTGGGAGATCGGCGTTCGCCACCATGGCCAGCGTGGTTAGGACTTTACGATTTGAGAGTGACATTTATTACTCTAGGATTAGAATGTCGGTCTCAAAGATTTTATACTTTTACAATATAGATTTTTTATAATATAAAATAAATTTTGAGTGCGAGTATCATATTATGTAGAATGTCATCTACATCGACAATGACAGGCTTCAGCGAGTGTTTGTATTGACGAAATATTGTTATTCAAACTTTCTGAACGAATAAAAACCCTGATCAGGGGTTCAACTCTGGTGCACAATATCGAGTAAGTACCATCGTGTTCTTCACCTAGTTCGAGCCCTAATCGAAAACAGTGAGTCTCTTCCTTCTTCGCGAGTGGGAGATCGACGTCCGTCCACCATGACTGGCGTGGTTTAGGAATTTACAATTTGAGAGTGACATTAATTACTCGAAACAAACAAAGTGAGGTATGTGTTACTCGGTGTGTTTGTTTGGGGGTTTGCATTTTTAGTTGGGATTTGAATAGTAAAAATTTTGAATTTGAATAGTTGTATGATGTGATATAAATAGTTGTTGATGTGATGTTTTGAATGTAAAATTGATTTTTAGTATAATATAAAAAATGAAAAAGAGGTGTTTGATTTGATGTTTTTTGGGGGAAAAAATTGGATGAATAGTGTAAATCTAATTCAATCCCCCAAACAAACACACCTATTAGAATGTCGGTCTCAAAGATTTTATACCTTTACAATATAGATTTCTTACAATATGAAATAAATTTTGAGCGCGAGTATTATATTATGTAGAATGTCATCTTCATCGACAATGACAAGTTTCAACGAGTGTTTGTGTGGATGAAATACTATTATTCAAACTTTCTGAACGAATGAAAACTTTGGTCAGAGGTTCAACTCTTGTGCACAAATATCAAGTAAGTACCATCGTGTTCTTCATCTAGTCTGAGCCCTAATTGAAATAAATTTTGAGCGCGAGTATCATATTAAGTAGAATGTCATCTTCATCGACAGGCTTCAACGAGTATTTGTGTGGATGAAATACTGTTATTCAAACTTTCTGAATGAATAAAAACCCTGGTCAGAGGTTCAACTCTTGTGCATAATATCGAGTAAGTACCATCGTGTTCTTCATCTAGTTCGAGCCCTAATCGAAAACAATGAGTTGGCTCCACAGGTCAACACGAGTCCTTTCATCGCGCTTCTGTCCTCACTCACGCGCACCATAAGAGACTTCTCAGGGGGTCACCTATCCTCAAATTGGTCTAGGGCAAACACGCTTAACTCCAGAGTTCTTTCAATAGGACTTCTAAAAATGAATGTGGATATTGTTGATATAAGTAGTCTATTCAATCAATTTAACCTCTAATCAACTTCGGATGACCTAATATCGACTCATCCATATACGGAAGTTGGCCAAGCAACGACTCAACTCCGGGGGTATCACAGCGTACTCGTGCAAAAGTCATCATCCCTGTATTATTAAGGAAATTAAATGAGAAAGAATCCCATATTGAAGTTGAAAGACCAAACTTGAAGGTTGTGGAGTATCATTGCCGTCTTGTGTGTTCTACTATCAGTTGTATGTCTTTACTGTGAAGGTGTATTTTATTTCTTAAGTTGTCAGCTAATGTAGTTTGTTTGTTATTTCTTTATTTCGATAGTATGTGCACTGAACGTACACTTGTATGTTGGTTTGGACGATTAGGTCGTCTATCGGCATTTCCGTATGTTAAAAGATGGCAAATGGTTTAATCTATTGTTATGTAAGCGTTTTGGTCATTTCTCCGAATTGTGTAATCAACTGATATGTAATCATTTTGGTTATTCCTTCGAACGGTGAAATCTACTGTTATGTTATGTAATTGTCCCTATCATTCCTCTTAATGGTGTAATTGGTTGTATTTAAACGTTTTGGGCATTTGAAATTAAATAACATGTATTTTTTAGGATATTCTTCGTAGTGTCTTTATTGAAACTGTTAACAAGCACGCATACACAATCATGATAGGAAACACGAAGCAAATTCCAACTTATAATTTCATACATATGAAACAGATATAAAAGTAGTTCACGAATGCACACAAAATCCGGCATAATCACATAGATTATTCTCGTTGTTTAATTACCTATATAATCCTACATACCAAAAGTAGAACCATCGACCACAAACACTAGTTCATGAAAGCACACTAACATGACTATATAACAAAAAGTAAGATCAAGCAACATACAGTGGCCACTGTAGGAAACAATCCACGTCATCGTACTAACAAAAAGTAAAACAATTCACAATATGCAGCTTTCAACATTCAGTCACTTCTTCTTTGGATGTCTCTTTCATCTTGGTTTGTCTTTGAAATCATTTGTATATTTTTCCGACTCCTCGATAAGGCGTTTCAACTCCAATGCCCTAACAGTTGCTGGCATTTCAGACCATGGGAGAACTACTGGCGTGGTTGATTTTTTCGCACTGTTATAGCCTTGCTCGAACATCGAAGGACCATGGATAGGCTTCAGTGATACATCTTCAATTTTTTCCTTTTCCTTGGGTAAGGACTGACAAAGTAAAATCTAACAACAAAATAGATTATTCTTACACAAGAATGATTCCTACCCAAAAGTTATAAACACAAAAGAATGTTACGAACCTCCACTGTCGGTTCGTGAGTGGCCCAACAATCAAGTCAGTTGCAATTGGAGGTTTAGATACAATTACACTTTTCTTTTCCGTGGTTCTTGTCTCGATGGCAATGAAAGTGGACATGACAAATCCGATAGTTCCTGCTCACGTGTTATAAAAAATGCAAGTCAGGTTTAGTTTGACATTCTGTAGACTCAGGCTCAAAATAATATTTTGGGATATATATATATATATATATATAAGCATTGGAAACTATACAACCAAAATTTTCAATCTAATTACACCTATTATTAGGTGTGTTCTTATTATATCTTATAATTTTTTATTTTCACTACTTTTTTAAGAAATATTAAGGGTATGTTTTTTTTTTTTTTATGAATTTGGAAAAAATTTGGTTTGAATTTGGTATTTAATAATGTATAATGAGATGTTTTATAAGAAAAAAATATATATTTTTTTCCGAGAAACGCAGAGTCCATATAATAAAAACTTTGATTTAAAGTTTAAAGAAACACTCTCTAAAAATTTGATCTTTTATTAAAAGGTAAATAATATTTTATTTATAAACAATGAAATTATACAGTAAACTTAAAAAATTAAAATCATTGTCACTTAATAAAAATCGAGGGAATAATTTATAATTATATTCTATATTGAAGTACATGATTCAACTATCATAACTAATCCAACAGTTTATTTTGATTTAAAATGTTATATTTATTCAATATATTATATTAAAATTATATTTCATTTATTTTTTTAATCATCATTATAACTAATTAAAATAATAAATAATTGTATGTACGGTATAAATTTAAATTTGAATTGGGTAATCAATATTCTTATGTCAAAATTCTAAAGAAATATATATATTTGTATTAATAGAGTGGGTTGGTTTGTTTAGTTTTTTATTTAATATTTTTTTTGTAATGTGAGAGATAGAAATTACGTTAGTAATATAAAAAATTAGTAATATTTTATATTAAATATTAATTTTAATGAAAACATAAAATATATATATTAAAAATCAATAAAAAAGAAAATTGAAGGAACAAATCCGAAATATTTTCAGAGAAATAATAGAGTATGAATTAGTTGATAGTAATATTTATCCCAAAATGCTTACCTCAAGAGTCAACTCCAAAGCATCGTTGACTTTGGATTGTGTCGTGTGGTCCCAATGATTGACTTCACTCATAATTAAGAACCATATAAGAAAGTCACTAGCACATACATTTACAAATGTGTTATATAATCTGCAAATTGATTTAAATTTTTATTCAAATAATATTTTAATATAATAGTATTTAAAAAGGTATATATTTTTTAAAAAATTATTTGTGAAATAAATAGTAATTTCTTTAAATAAAACACAACCACATTTTAAATATGTTTTTTAAAATAAAACATTTTAAATGTGTTAAAGGCAATATCATAAATGAAATTATATTTAATTAATAATAACTTTTAAAAAAGAAAGAAACATGTAGACATGCCTAACCGACAAAAATGTATGTTTCAATGATTTACTGTTGACAAATTTGAATCTAAAATTATTTCAATATTTATTTCTTCGGTCAATTTTTAATGTATTTATTTTATTATTTTACTACTATTCATATTCAATATATTTATTTTATTTAGTAATTATATTCCTCCATTATATGAAAATTACTCTCACATATTGCAAAAAAAAATATCATGAAAAAATAAATAAGTTTAGTGGTAAAAAAGTTTTTTTTTTATAATTATTTTATTATATGATTACCAATAAAATATGAATATTATATTTTGTCTCATAAAACATTATATACATAATTCTTTTACTATTTCTAAAATTTTCTACAATTTCAAAACTTTCAATATATGATTATATACGTAATATTTTAGCTACATCATAATAATATAAAGTAGATTCTGTCCTACCGGAACACCATAGCCCAAATGACCAACCGGCCCGAACCTAAAGTAGAATAATAACTATAGCAGGCCGGGCCGATCTCTACTTGTGGATACATTAATTTTGGCCCAGTTAAAATATATAGTATTGTACATTAATTTTTTATTTGTGTTCTGTCCGTAATTTTCTTAAAAATAATAGATATTTTTTTTTAAAAAAAAAAATGACAATTATATAGTAATACAATAAAATAAAACATCTAAATTAACATACCTGTCATGTATTCAACCATTTCTCTTCAATTACAAATAATTTCCATTCACCTACTATTTTTGCTTACCAAAAATTTCTCTAAAGCAGCATATACTAATAATAATATTGCTATTATCTGAAAATCATATGAAATAATTTTGAAATTCAAAATTTTCAAATATTAAAAAAGAAATAAAAAATTCAAATCTCTCTCTTATCCATCGGTGAAAAAAGAAAACGATAATAAAAATAAAATCACCTCTCATCAAAAATTAATTTAAAGTACAAATTGTACAATTCCCAAATCTTGACCAACCCCTCCAACCCACAGCCCGAGAAAACTCTGTAGTAGTGTCTGAAAAATTCTGCAATCCAAATCGACAACCCAAACATGCTTCTTCATCACTGATACTCGCCCAATTTCACCAAATACCCATTTTACAGCGAAAAGATTTGATCTTTTTTTATGCTCCGGCTTCTCAATTTACTGCCTTGAATAAACCCTAATTTGATTTGATTTTATACTGGTGTTCATGCCTTCTTTTTTAATCGAACCCTTTTTCCCTGTAAAGTAAAACCCACCAAACTAATCCCAAAATCGCACTCCATTAATTTGGACTTTGAAGTAACCAACAGCCTGAGGAAGAAGAAAAGTGGAAAAGGGCACTCCATACCATAGAAAGTTCTCTGGAGAGTACACTTTACTGTCGTTAGCTAATTTTGCAGATCTGTGAGTGTGTTTTAAGAGAAGGGTTTTGGTTTCTCCTCAACTAAACTATCAATTGTTCAGTAACCATCGATAAAAGAGGATTCAAGATTCTTCATTTTTCTTTTCCATAGCTTCTGCAATTGCTGTTGTTTTTAGTTTCCAAATGGATAGAAGAAAAGGGTTGGTAGTGTAGCAACTAAGATCATCAATTTTCTCAATTTTCCTTGTATGTTTTTTTGTTTCTTGGCTTGGCATTGAAGTGAAAAAGGAAAGATATCGATTAGGGAAGGATGATTCCATTGTTCTTTTTGGTGGTGTGTGGTGAGGGTGTGGTGGCATTTCTTCTAATGGTGAAGATAGGGCCATTGAGGGATTTGGTGATAAAGGGTTTGGATCAAGTGAAAATGAGAAGGGCCACAGTGACAACCATTTCTGGCACTATATTTGTGATTCTGTTGTCGGATTTGTTCAGTATGCTTAAGATTCAGAATAAGGGTGCTAAGCATGGAACTATGACACCTATGGATCAGGTTCTTTGGAGGACCAATTTGTTGGAGGCTACACTTATGGGTAGGTATCCATTTTGCTCTTATGTTTTTTGTTTGTTTGTTTCTTTCTTGATAGCTGCTGTGTTTATTTTGTGCTTCTAAATGATTTATTGTTGCTGTTTTATGGATTATGTGTTGGTTTTCGACATTTTTGTGAACTGATTTAGAGGCATTGACATGAAAGTTAGATGTAGAAACAAGAAATTACTTCCCTATGATGTGAATTGTGAGGCTAATCTGTGTGTATAGTCATAAGCAAGAAATTGTAGTAAATAGAGTTGTGTATATTATAGGTTTTGAAGAAGTTGATTCAATCGGGATCTCTTTTGTGTTAATTACATGGTATTCGGTGATATATGCAATTTCCAGCACAACTTTGCCGGAAAGTGCTCGGCTTTTGGGTTCTGCGTTGTCAAGCTTCAACTGTGCTTATTCCTCTGAAAGTTGCTCTTGCGAATGCTCAAATCGAACACTTCTTTTCTCTGCTAATTTTTATATATTTAGGAGTTCTATGTAAGTTTTGCTCAAGCATGTAATATTTAGTTCCCTTTCAGCGTTTCTTTTCATTAAGGTATCAAGATTGTATTAGTTTCTCTAAAAATGTGTTGATATTTTACAAATCTTCTCCATCTCAGTTGTTTTTCATTTTCTTGACGATAACAGTCACAGTTGATGGTTCGGTGCAGCCAATCTTTGTTGTTCGAGTTTAAATGTGATTGAATTGAACTTGTATAATTCTTCAGGTTTTTCTCTGTTTCTCGGATTCTTGATCGACCGGATGCACCATTACATTCAAAAGCTGATCAAACTAAGGGGCAATACCGGAGCTTCAAAGCAAGTAGTCGAAAGTCTTGAAAAGGAGAAATCGGAGCTGAAGGAGAAGGAAGAAAAGGCTACCGGGGATGTTAAGCGACTGCAAAAGGAAGTTTCTAGATTGACCGAGACTTTGAACAAGCTTAAGGCGGAGTCAACCGAGAAAGACAAGAAAGTCGAGACTGCAGAAGCCCACGTCGCTTCCCTGCAGAAACAGGCTGCGGATTTGCTTCTTGAATATGACAGACTTTTGGAAGAGAACCAAAATCTTCAGCTTGGATTCCGAGGTTGAGAGTAAACTTTTTTAAAGACAAATGACAGACAATGAAGGCGTGTTTGTTGTGGAGAACCGTCGATTACTGGTTTGGATTGGCCAGGGATTGCTGGATGGTTTTGATCCATGACATTTTGTTTTGATCGATCAAACTTTTAGATTTTCTTGATGCTAATCAGTTCAATTGAAACTCATGCTGTTTTCTTGCTGCAGGACAAGACCTGATAGAACAGAGTAAAGTAGATTTGTCTCTTTCGTCATGAAAATTAAGGAAAATGTAGAACAAACACAATTGCAAGATTAAAACTAGAAGAAATGTTAACACATGTATAGGCTGAGCGTAAAGAGCAAGGTTTAAAGGTGTCGGGGAGAGGTTTATAAATAGCAAAGGATAATGCCAGTGAATCAAAACCATTGAGTTAAAACAAACACAAACCATCTACATATTTTCAATGCAAATATTTGGTAATGTAACATGAAACTGCGGGCAAAATATAGTATCCGGAAGGATTGTTAAGATAGAAGGCAAGCCTGTCGATTCCAAGGATTTCAAACTATTAAAAACGATCCGAAAAGCCGAACCCCTGTCTGGATTTAGTCATTTGATTTTGATTCCAATGCCAAAAGTATCTTCTTTCTTGGACCCTGAAAAGAAAATAGCAAATGCCATGAAGATTGATGCACTAACAGTTGGAAACTTGGAACCGATTCAAGAATTTAAGAAAAATTATATCAAGCACAAGTACTATATTTTTTCGTCTATCCAGACAAAAAGACGAGATACACGTTTAGTTTCACAATTGAAGTCTAAACATTTATCTTCACATAAGAGTTCAAGCATGTCAAACAATAAAATGAAAAAGAACACTGCAATAAGTGATAGACCAATCGTTGAGAGGCTAGTCAAACACCATTTATATGCTGTGCCATTTTAAACATAATCAATCTTATTGTTCACAGTGTATCAATTTTTGTCAGTTGATATCTACACTTCATTTCAATTGAAACTCGCAGAATATTCAAGTTACATGAGAGGTAAAGTGTAAATGTAGCCTCTAATTCATTGACGAATACAAGTTACAGACATGAACTAAACTATCCCTAGTTAAGATATCCTTGAAATGGTTAATTTTGGGTGAGATTCAAGCATGCATCTTTAAATTGATAGAATACCATCGGACAAGGTCCTACAGACTGGCGTTTAGGGAACACTGATATGGTCATTAATACCAGCCAAGAAAAGATGGATTTGGCAGGCAAACACAAAAGGATTTAAAAATACCTAAATCCATTTTCCCTAAAAGAAAGGAGGGGGTAAGGATGACTTGATGACAATGAACAATAACTTATAACACATAAAGATAAGTGAAGCATGACTCGATGAAATATTCGTGAGCAAGATTTTTATGAGGGTAACAGATATAATTCACATAGGAGAAGAAAAGCACCGGCGATCATGTATGTGAAAGTGTTAGTAGTTGTAAGAAAGCAAAAGAGACATTAAGACTACTCCTTTGCATTTTCAATCTTATTTTTGTACTATGTGCACTAAGTATTATTATTATTATTATAAAAAAATTCAATCAGCTATCTATTAATCAAAATATTACATTTACAACATATTTTCTATTCAAATATTACATCAAACAATTTCCGTTAAAAACATCAAATCAAAAAATATTTTTAATTCAATTTTTTTACTATTCCCAAAAGACAAGGAACACACACTAAATTAAGAGAAAACAAAGGTGAAGCACAAGTAAAAGAAAATATGGAAGAGAATTCAGCGAGTGAGTCTTATTGAGGAATACTTACCATTGGAATTCCTAAAGCTTTAAGATCTTCATCACTCATGTGAATCAGGGCGGTCATATCAACCTGCAATATTACAGAACATGCTTGTTGCATCCCTAAAAATCTAGGTATTAAACTATTGAAAAAATATTACAAAAACAACATATTAAACATACTTCTTCAGCCTGAAATGTAATTGAATATTTCTCGAGACCCAAGGAATGCAGGAATTTATCCACAGACTCAACCTGCATAAACACATAAGTAACTGCTGAAGACGGTAATATCACATGTATCCAATTTAAAATAATAAAATAGAATGCATCACTGCTCTGTCCTCAGGAAAAATACCACTGAAGGGTGCAATACATGCATCACAAAAAAGGGGCAAAAGGAGAACAGAGAAAGAGAAAGTATTAGAAAAATAACAGAAAAAAGAGATCAGGTTATTGTAGTTTTCTAACCTTCTGCTGAGCCCTTTCCTTTGATACTGAGCCCGTGGCATTTTCTTCTAGAGCTGGAGCTTGGGCTATGACACTCTTCCTCGTTGGTTTGTTGACTTCAACTGCAGACCTTGGCCTTGGAGGTGGAGGTTTGGACTCAACAGGTTGTGAATACAATGTGCCTGAGAGTTTCTCACGTAAATCCCTTGCACCTCCAGTAACAGATCCCCTCATGCTTTGCTCGTTACTCTTTCTTTGAAGCTTCAGACGAAGATCTCTTACACCAACCCTAGAATCTTTGCAGTTTATAAAGACACATCAGACACTTTGCATCCAAACTGGATTCTGTAATAACAAAGTATCATCTAAAGATCTTATATAGTAGTGAAATTTTGCTTGAAACAAGCTATACTTGAAACCCGTCGTCCTTCGTCTTCAAACAAATCATGTTGCCATTTGTCATCATCCTCTCTCTGTCTACATAAAAAATCAGATTTGCTAACATAAGGACCCCTCCCAATGAAATCTCCCAGTCAGTTCATCCATCAGAAATTTGGCTTTCTACGACCCCCAATTGAACAGTCATTCACATAAAGTCTTAAATAAATCCTCCTGAGCATTTTTAGCGCTCCAAATGCAAGTTGTTGGTTATTTAAATTTACTATCGAGTTAAAACATTGAAATATATATACACGCACATTATGTATACAACAATAATATCCCCAAACTCCAAACTTCATTCACAATCTATAATATGGAATTCAATTGGAAGAATTTAAACTGCGGCGGTAACATCATTAGAATCTCTTCAAGTTAGTAAATGGCATAGCTCATACCAAAAGTTTCAGATATTGATGTTCAAGCACCTTTACTGCGCCAACTAAAAGGATCTAATCAGTTGTCTCGTAAGGTAGGTACGATAGACTATATCACTTTTTTTCTTAAAAGAAAATTTAAGAACATGTCAGTCTCGGATCAAAACCTAGAAGGCAGAGCTAGACGCATTTACTGAAGATATATAGTCGGACTTTATTACACAAGGAAGAAACACAACAAGTGCATAAAGCAAAAGAAAGCGAACCTCTTGCCGGAGATAGGTCTGCGGCGGGCGGAGGTGAAGGCAGAACCTCCGTCGAGGCGGTCCTTAACGGATCGATTAGCTTGAGCCTCCAATTGATCGGCGTACATGGTATGACGATTGACCAATGGCAAACCCTAACCCCAATTCAATTCGAATCAGCTAATCAAGGGTTTTCAGCAGAGAATTGAACGATTTTCTCCCGATACGGATGTAATTATAGAAGAGAAAGAACATAACCGAAAAATATAATATAATAATAAATGGCCATATAAAGGGGGATTTTTGTACGCATCACAAATTTACGGTATACAAAAATATCACGATTTTCTTTGATATATAAATATTTTATTAAAATACAAAAAGCAAAAAAAAACCTAACAATAAATAAGTAAATAAAATATATAAACAGAACTTTAAATAAAAAAAATTAATCTATATTTAAACTCTATTCACTTCAATTTTTCTAAAATTTATTCGCTATATAACACTTTGATATTAAATTTTTAAAAAATATAACAAAAATTTAAATTTGAACCGAATATATTAAATAGTCGAGACTACGTTAAAGTGTCCAGATATGCTAAAGCGTTGATAGGGTTTAGTCCAACAAGTGCGTGTTTAACAAATTATACATACATTGAGAACGCCTATATTCAAACACTTACTAATAAATCACCATTTCAATTCTCTGATCTAATTTAGAAGCAATTCAGCAATCGGCTACATATACATATATAGCTTATGCCGAAAAAAGTCCAAAGAATGGATTTGTGAGAGCATTCTGCAGCTCAGTCCAAGCTAGCTTCAGTGTGCTCATATCGAGTTTTTCATCGGGTAGCACCAAAAATTTATCTCCCTCGACTCTCTGAAACCCACAGAGCTCAAGAAACTCGATCCCTCTTTCATATATCCCTACTCTTTCCTGTTGGGAAATGGAGCAATTACACAAAGAACACCTTGTAAATGAATCCAACAAGATCACACTGCCCTTATTGATTTTTAGAGGATATCGTAGCATAATTTGTGTGCGCTCATTAGGAGAAGGACCTAACCTGAAATGTTGGATTGCTGAGTCGGATCTTCCTGAACTTCCTTTCATCTGGGCTGTTGATAATATTTCTCACGTAAATCAAGAGAGTTTGGAATGACCGTGCAGCTTTAGCATCTTTGTTCTAATATGGCGAATGAATTGATGTTAGGGACTGATGCCTATATATGTATTAAGTATTTTGGGTGTGTGGTTAAGCAAAGAAATTACTGCAGTAGATTTGAAGTTTGGTACCTTGTTTTGTAGCTTAATAGATCTTAAACATTCTCCCATGCGATCCCTGACTGTATAAGGGTTTGCACGATCGACCTGCTGCAAACAATGGATTAAGAGCCACATGGTAATCCATACCTAGTTGGATGGAACGGATAGAATGAAAGATAAACTAGTTTTTTTCTTTTTTTGATAAAAAAAAAATAATAATAATAAATAAATAAAAATTGCATCCACTTTCAATGGAAAAACTATTAGCCTCTCTTTTCCTAAATTTTCCATCAGAATTCATAATTTAGCCACATTAGTGAGGATGTGAGGAAGTGCCAAAAGATGGTACCTTCGGTGATTTCGGGAATACCATATCAGTTTTCACAGGCACAGGCTCTTCCGTAGGCAATCCATGCATCCCCCGCCTTTCTAACTACCACATATTAAGAAATAGCAAGTAAGTTTTACCCGTTTCAAAAGTAGTTTAGAAAGTTTGAACCCGAAGAAAATAGAGGATAGATAGGGAGCTGGTCAGGAAAATTCTACGTAAACAGGTTATTTGCAATATAATCACTCTTAGATGCTACTAGCATATGTGCACTGCCCAATCTTTACATGAAACATAAAACCAGCCGCTGTAATCATTAAACCAGGAATGTACCAATGATTCAGATGTACCTTGTCTTGCAGCAGTTTCTGGCGAATTCTTTCTCGTGCTCGTCTCTCTTCCTCTTTCTCTGCTTTTCTTTGATCTAGATACCTGAAGAGATATCAAACAGCATGAAAAAATTCCATGGGTGAATAAGCATTGAAAAGTACAAAGAGGGATTATAAGTAATATAATGGAATATATGTTTACCTTTTCCTTTCACTCTCCTCCATTGCTCGTCTAGCCTCCATCAATTCTTTACCCGCTCGAATCCTTTCCTACGAGTAGAAAAAATCCCATGACATGATACACAATAGACATCAGCTACGAGGAAATGTTTTGGGTCTGATCCACAGCTACTATATTGCAAAATAAAAGTAAACGACTAATGCAGTTTTAAACTATTTTAACTGAAACATACTGATAGTAAGATTCCATGATAGTATTATCACATCAAATCTTATTATGACTACTGGGCATCAAAATGAGAGAAATGAAGATTTATTGGAGGGTATGAGAAGCGCCAAGTTTTGCTGCATTGATTGAAGAACATAACATTACCTTCTCTCTTTCTCTTTCTAGTTTCTCCTCTTGATCTGCTCGTCTTTTTCGTGCTTCATTCCTATTACCAGAGAAATTTACAATATGAAGGGGTATCCGGAGAGGAAAATCACTGTTTAAGTAAAGATGTCAGAAAAGGTTTTCCTGAACATTTGTTATGTTAGTCATAGCAAATAGAGAGAATGAAAACAAGTATATAGCCTTCAGACGAAGGCACCAAAAGCTGCCCCATAAAGAGTTGAAGAAACAAACCTTAGCTCATGAGCTTTCAACATAACTTGTTCGGAGGCATGAAAGGAGTTAGATCCTCCAATATAGATGTTCACCTCCTGAGTCTGAGTCTGGCAGTTGCATGTGAAGCAGAGTTGTCAAATGATACAATTGCACATATGACAAAAAACAGGTTGTTGAATTGAAGGAAAAATGCTCGTTCATAGGAACCTAATGTAAAGCTCACAGTCTATGACATAAAGAAAATTATATTTAAATTCCCATGAAAATGAAGCAGGCCAACCATTTGCTTTTCGTGTGCAGCTGCACTAGTATCATACTCATGGTCAGCAAGCCAATTCACAGCAGCCTCGATGGTCGAATTCCCTATATAAGTTAATGAATGGCTTTTGAAGTAATTAAAATCAACGTGCAAAACAAAACACTAGATTTGATGGGGAAAAAAAAGGCAAAATACTAGCTATTATATATTTTTTTCAATGGTAGGAATAACTTCATGCAAAAAGATACAATACACAATTAGTTAAATCACATAAAATTGAATAAGATTGAAATTTCTACGAAGTAAAATGTGAGAGTATTCAAAATTTTCAAAAACTTCTTAATCAGACAAAAGAATGTAATAGCATGGAAACTCTGAGGTCAGAAATAAGATTTTAGCATGAAAGTATATTAAAGTTTTACCAGAATAAATTGCCTTCTCAGCTAGGGCCCTGGAGAATCCCATTTCTTCAAGTGCACCAAGCAGTCTCTCATCTACCTCCATTTTCCAAAGTTGAATGATACTAACCCGGAAAATCAAGAATTTTTCTGCAGCTTTGGGGGAAAAAAAAAAGCAAGATGAATATCAGACTACCTTTGAAGAGGATTTGGTGTATGAGATCCAATTGAAGCAGCCATGTGAAGCATCAGGATGCCGATTCCTTGCCCCACTTGTTAAGCAACTAGGGTTCCTTCCAATATCTTAATGCTTTCTTCCAATATCTCCTACCTTCTGTTTGCCTTTGAGCTCTGGATTGTTCTCTCCAATTCCCCATTGTCATACCTTGACTCTGAGGTAACTGAACTTTGTGTTGCTAACATCAGTTAACGCTAGTGTTGATGAAAAGAATAGGAAATAATCGACAGCCTTCACAAGAGTCTCTCATATTTTGACAAGTCAATAGTTTAATCAAAATCAATTCATGAATACAAGATTGGAGTAGAGAAATAACAAAACATTTTATATGAGCTGCTAACCCATACTCTTCAAGATACAGTATCATACATGGGAAATGGCTGCCATGCATGGTCATTGAAAATAATACTGCCAAGCAATAGCAACGCCGGCCACAATCGCGACTTTCAGTATGACCTTATAATTTCTGGAAGATTTTGAAGGTGGTGATTGCGACGGTTTTGGTGGCTCCCATGGTTTCCCTTGCAGCTTGGCAAGAAGTTTTGACAACATCAAAGTCAGTGGCCCAGGCTTCTTTCCTGATGAAACCAGAGGTAGTTTTGGTAGATCAGGACAGGCAATGAGACCAAGAAGGTGAAAAAGTATGCAAGTCATCACACAATTGAATAGCAACAATTTGACCTAACTTTTACATTTCAATATTCAGTTGAACTAGAAATAAATCTTTTACAAATGAGTGCATCCACTTAATGGACTGCTGATAGTTTTTCATGTATTCATGTGAAACTCATACTATACTTTGAGAATGTCTGCATTCAAGCGTAGAGAACTGTCAAAAAATATGGATTTAAAGTTTATGACAATCTGTAAAAAGAATATGATTAGATCACGCCAAACAAATGCTTGATTAAGTTAAGTGAATGCCACACAGTTTATAAGAACGGCTCACCTTTTCCTCTTAGAAGTCTTTCTTCCTCACCAACACGTCTCCGTAGGGCATTGAGCAGCGATCCAAAGTACAAAGCAAAAACTGTGCAAGTGATTGTTATCACATTGTAAGGCATACTAAAATCGGGAGTTGTCAAAGGCACTAGTAGTACTTCCGTGTAAGAGAGAACAGGGATCTCTTCCTGTAAGGAATGCAAATTATTTAAGTCAATGCAGAGAACTTTAAAGATCATTAAAAAGGGTTCAGGGTACTTTGATCAATACCTGCAATTTGGACAATAAGGGTACTTGTAAGGAATTATCAGTGAAGCTCATGTTTGCAAGGAAACCAGAGAAGTGTACTACTGCAGATGGAATGTCAAAACCCTGATTGGCATCTGGAGGGTATTCATCAATATGAAGAAAACCCTGTTGAAACAGTACAAAGAAATATGAGGAGAAAAAAAACGACACAAGGTAGAATTACATTAGCATCTTTAAAGCTTCATAAAAGAGACCAATTAAAGAAACAAGACCCACTCTTAGTTTGACTAAATGCACAAATAATGCAAAACAAGAAAAGTTAGCAACTGTTCAATCAGTTTTAAAATGACCTGCTCAGCAATATAATAAAACATTGTATTAAACATCTAGTAGTGAATGCTCCTACCTATTCGCAACCAACCTCCATGTATGCTACACAAAGTCTATCTCCTAACGCAAAGAAAATTAAAAAGTAGGCATAGGATACCTTATCAAATTCCAAAGTCAATGCAGCTGTTTTAACACTACAAGGTAATCTCAAAATTATTTCTATCACTCCAGGAGAGACCTTGTCTTCAGAAGGCGAAACATGTATTTTCTCTATGCTATCCATTGTAGATTGAAGTTTTCCATCTAAGAACATTTCCAAGGTATGGTAATAGACCTTGACATACCAAGGAACAACTTGGAAAATGCCAACTCTCAACCAACATTGTTTCCCATTGTTATCAGATATCTCAACACTATTGCTCTTGGTAGATTTCATTGAGATAGCCATAGCTCCCCTCTCATTCCCACTACCCAATAGGAATCTACTAACGTGCAAGGGTGCTTGCTGACAAGACCAGACTACTGGCACTTTCCACCTTAAACCCAAATTGAATTGTTCAGACCTGCTGTAGTCAATGGGAAATTCAAAGAAGATAGAGCCCTGCTCTGGCGAGTAAACTTCTTTTACAACCCTTTTAGGTTGATGTGATAATTCAAATAGAGGGTTATTCTGTGTGCCCTGCACAACAGGATTCCCTTTCTTATAATCATCGCTATTTTTCTCCAATTCATTAATTTCTGATACTAATTTCTGGTCGAGCTGGATGTACACATTGCTAGAATTAGACAAGGAACACTTCCCACCAACTGCTCTGCCAAATAATGAGCTCAGGGACCAACTTGATGGTGATATTTTTTCAGAAACAGTGACTGGTTGAAGAACAATTGTAAGGGTTTGTTCGAGTACAATCCCTGTATCCAGCTCAGATGGATCAAACTCATCCGATTTCAAATGCAGCCTCTGGGAATGATAATACCCCCTGTATATTGAAGGTCTATTCATCAGTGAAGCCAGCCCAGCTTTGTCGCGACAAGGAAGCAACTTCAACCAGGGTGTGAGATTCTCAGTGCAAACAGCTTCACGAGGCAACGTACCATAACGTAGTTTTCCTGAAAACGATTGAAAACTCCACTGAGGAGCAGCGTAACTAGTTGAATGCTCCAAGAAATTGATGGAGGCACAGAAGAGCCCTGAAAGTGCATGAGTTAGATTCTTCCAAGAATCATCAACCTGATGATGAGGAACATCAAACTCAGCCCATAATTCCACTCCAGGAGGCTTTGCATTCTTATTTGATATGGGGTCATAGCCTCCCCAGCGCTCGTAATTCCAGCGACCTTGAGTAAAAGAAAGCTCCATTTCTCGGACTTGGAATTTATGAACCTGATAATTCAGTAATAGACAAATAGTAATATATTACTGCTGAAAGCTAGAGATCTCCACGTACACAAAAAACTGTAGAAAAGAACAATAAAGTCTAAACTAATACTCGATTCAATCGTGTTTGGATCCACCTTTAATTAGTTAACACATTAGAGAGTTGAATGCGAGAGAATCCAACATAAATCAATTATATCAAATATAAATGAGGCATGGGAGAAATGACAGAAGAGGACAACTGACTCAAACCTTATTAATTGTCTCAATTGCACTTAGGCCCACCATTAAGTTAAGCCATCGGAGCACTTAATGGCAGCATGGATCGCGGATTAAAACAATAACACGTGTGCACGTGCTAACTTACTAAACAAGATCCTAAACAGTTGGTGTGTAAAACATGTATAACGAGCTATTTACTTAAAAATTACAATACAATGTCCACTATAAAAGTTCACTTTCCAAGTTCAAACCACCACATCTCAAAGCTAGAAAATCTATAGTCTAGATGCTTCAATGATCACCAATTTTGGAATATACACTGATATTTCATTCAAGAAGGCAATCCCAAACGTGTTCAGATCAAAACTCAATAATTCAAAGGCTTCAATTCATTTCATCTACTAATGTTCACAAATTTCAACACATCTGTAAACCATAATGTGGAAACCACAGTTTAATACACACACATGCTTTCTGAACAAGAACAACATCGAAAGTTTCAGTTAAAAATAATCAAACAATAAGCAATTTGTTACATAAAGATGAGAACGGAGAACATAATGAACATCGGTTTCAATAGAACATCCCCAGCAATTAAAGTAATACTAAACACAATAAAATTGCTCAAAGTGATAATTTACCAGCTGATAAATGGATTTAGGGAAGAGGTGATGGTGGCGACCATAGGTCCGAGTCGGTGGCACTGTGCTCTGAAAATGGAAATGAGCCAACACCTTCCGATCGGGCAATGGCCTCAGCAGCAGCGCCTCAGTAAACTCCTCGTCCACTTGTCTTACTTCCTCCGCGTTTGCCCTAGATTCAGATGCAGAAACTAGCAGCCAAAACAACAAAACCCAGGACTTTATGCACCTCATTTGTTCAGCACCTCCAAATTAGGGGTACGCACTATAGAAACGCAATTCTTCAATTAGGAAGCCAGGCTAAAACCACTTTCCGCTGGACTGCCGGATTTAAATCGGTGGTACCGGTTCCAACCGGAAACGCCGTCGAACCGAAACCGATTTTTTACACACTCCGGTTTCGGCTCCTACCTTCACGAACCGTGACCCGCCGGCGGCTCATCGTTTTTTAAAAAATATATATATATTGGTGAGAGCATACCCGATTATTTGTGGGCTTCCTTTTGAGCCTAAACCCAAATGCAAAAGCCCATTACTTAAAAACTAATAAATAAATAAAATAATATTATGGTGAAATTTATGGCCTCACATTAGCCATTTTTCTATTTTTATTTTTTAGAAAAATTGGAAGCATGGGAATTTAATTGAAGCCACAAATTTGATAGTGCCAACAACAAAAAGTAAGAAAATTAATATACTACTAATAAATTAATGTCGGTGGTTCTGTGGCATCTTCTTCCCACTGAGAAAACATTCCGGCCATGGCGTGCAACGTGGTGGCGGTGCCGCATCCCGGCCGCGGCCACGTCAACGCCATGCTCAACCTCAGCAGGCTGCTTGCCTCTTCCGCGGAAGGCAAACTTCTCATAACGTTTGTAGTAACGGAGGAATGGCTAGGGTTATTAAGCTCGGAGGAGAAGCCTCCCACCATTCGCTTCGCCACCATCCCCAATGTGCTGCCGTCGGAGATTGGTCGCGACGCCGACATGGCGAGCTTCTTCGGTTCTGTTCAGACGAAGATGGAAGAGCCATTCGAGATGCTGCTCGACCGCCTCGACGCGCCGGTCAGTTTAATCATCGCCGATACGTTCTTAAACTGGCCGGTCGAGTTAGGCGATCGGAGGAATATCCCGGTGGCGCTGCTGTGGCCAATGTCTACTTACGTTTTCTCGATATTATACCATTTTGATCTACTCGTCCGCCATGGCCATTACCCTTTCGTGTTATCTGGTGAGTCCAAATTATTAGTAACCGCCAATGATTCAATTTCTTCACCATTTTTGTGATAAACCGTAGACAATAACGGATTTGATCATTCTCGATCCAGAGAGAGGAGAAGAGCGATTGGATTACATACCTGGAATCCAATCGATTCGCCTCGCGGATATTCCGGCGCCGGCGCGTTTGGAGGATTCACGCCTGCTCGATCGGATCCTTCCAGTTTTCCGTAATGTATCGAGGGCGAAATACTTGCTGTTCAATTGCATCAACGAGCTCGAATCCGAAGCCATAGATGCACTCAAGCAGGAACTCAAATCACAAATTTACACACTAGGCCCCATAATTCCTCACGTAAATCTTCAGAAACCTTCTTCTTCCCCAAACACTTACTCCGACTGGTTAGACTCGCAACCTCGAAGCTCTGTCCTGTACCTCTCATTAGGAAGCTACATCTCTGTTTCGTCGGCTCAAATGGACGAAATCGCCGACGGTCTCCGGGAGAGCGGAGTGAGGTTCCTGTGGGTGGCGCGTGAAGATGCGACGCGACTGCAGGAGAGATGTGGAGACGCCGGAAAAGTCGTGCAGTGGTGCGAGCAACTGAGAGTGCTCTGCCACACCGCAATCGGAGGATTCTGGACGCACTGTGGGTGGAATTCTACAGTGGAAGCGATGTACGCCGGCGTGCCGATGATTGCTTTTCCTTTGAGCGCCGACCAGCCGACTAATCGGAAACTTATAGTGGAGGATTGGAAGATCGGGTGGAACGCGTGGGGAGCGGCGGGAGCGGCGGGGGAAGGTAAGGTGTTGAGTAGCAGGGAGATTTGCAGGCTTGTTAGGAAGTTGATGGACATGGAAGGCGTCGAGAGGAAGGAGACGATGGGGAGAGTTGCAGAGGTGCAGAAGGCTTGTTTGGCTGCGTTTTCCGATGGAGGTTCTTCTACAGCCAATCTTTCTGCTTTCCTCACTCATCTCACTGCACAACAACACGTCTCAGTATGATTATTATCTGTGGACTTCCATTGGGCCTAAAGCCCAAATTCATAAGCCTATTATTTAAACCTAAAACTCTAATGGGCCTGCTATAGCCCAAACAAGTATTTATTTATTTAAATATAAAATATAAATAAATACTAATAAATATGGTGAAATGTTGGCCTCACATTAAATTCTGACAGTCAGTCGTCTATGCGAACTGATAATGTATTATTTTACAGAGTCAAGTGGTCGCTGAAAATGACTTGTCCTGAGCCAGACCATTAGGTGGCAAGCAAACAACACTGATAGAACAAATATTTATGACAATAAGGCTAAAAATACAAGCAATTTTGTTGTACACAGTATGACGATTGACAACTAAATGTCTGCACTGCACTCATATAAAATATACTAATAAACAAACAACATACCCAGTAACACATACATACATACATACATACATAATTTAATTGCAGAAATGTTAATGCTCATAGTAAAAAATTGCCAAATGATTCTTACAAACCTAAACTCTGCACTAGGCCATCTTCCAAGTCAAAAGGGCAAAAGGGCTTTAAAGTGAGAAATAATGAATGCACTTTTTTCCATGTTCTTTGATTAAATGATTTATAAGGAATCCAATATTTTCTTTTTAGGAGTGAACAGATTCATGGGGCAATGTGAAGAAGATGATGAAAATGATGGTGTTAGAAAATATCAAGAACTTCCAGAATGTGGTTATTGCAGAGGGGGCAATTGCCCCTTTGGGACCACAGCTCCCGGGAGCACAATCGGCAGAAGGTGTGCCCGCAGGGGATGAACGCCGCCCCTTTGTGCCTCTCCATACATACGCAGCAATTGTTGTATGCGGCGCCGCTGCCGGAGATCTCATCCTCCTCCGCCTCGTCAGCGTCGATCTCCTCGATGTTGTCGCGCATCACGTAGACTGAATCGTCGGTACCTAATTGCCAGTCGTTTTCCGCTAATAACGCCATTAAGGACGTTCTCACCGGCGGCGGCGGCAGTTGCTCCGCCAGCGCCTCCACGGCGCCGGCGCTGCGTCGGATTCCGGCTACAGCCTGCTCGAACCTTCCACTGGTGATTCCGCCCGCTTCGTGGCTCGAATCGCCCCCCAAAATGGGAACCCTAACATTAGCAGCGGCGGTTACGCCGGACTGAGAAGATTCTCCGGGATCGCCGGAGCGGCGAGTCATAATGACCATGCGATGGTTGTTGCCTCTGTGACGGAGGCGGATCTTGTCCCTCAATTGCCGCCAGCTCCGCCTGCCGTCTCTCCGGCCGCCCCCGCCCCCAATTTGGTCCTCGCGAATAACGTCCAACAGCGTCCGCGACGACTCGACGCTCCGGCGCGGCACATCCGGCGGCGGCGGCGGAGACGGTCCTGTCCTATCGGTGAGCACCGCCAGTAAAGTCACGCCGGAACGGTTGCTCCGGCTTCCACTCCCATTCGAGGAAGCGGTCTGGCCAAAATTACTATGACGATCTTCGTCTCCGATTCTCAGAAAATCTCTCAGATAATGCGAATCCAGCTTAACACCGGCGCCGCAGATATCCATCCGCCGTAGAACTACAAGCACTGTTAATTACTAAATTAAAAAAACGAAATCAATACCTTACAATTGACGGAGTGGGAGGGATTCGAAGCTCCTCTCTCGAAACCCGAGGATAACATCTTAAAATCGAAGCAATTAAGCAATGAGATGTGGAAAAACAAGGATCAAAATGGAAGAGAGAGATCACAGATGCGAGCAATGAGGAAGATTGGGGAAGATGATCCAATTCCCAGGGGGGCTCCTCTCCTGCCTTGTCTTCTGGAAGCTCAAACTCATAGGGGAGTTAGTTTGTTGAGGTTGAACTGCACATATAAATTATGCACATATATAAATTATTTAATATATTTTATTTTTGGTAGGTATAATCATTTATAAATATTATTTTAAAAATACAGTATTCACAAAGTAATACAAATAATATTAACATAGTATATAATTTATTCTTTTTTTTTTTAAAAAAAAGTCAATAATTAGATATATAATAATATTTTTTATATTACTAATACTAATATAATTTTTCATATGTAATATAAAATACACATTGATTTAAAAAAACAAATTAATATTTTGATTTAATTTAAGACACTAGAACTCTAAATTGACTCCATCCATGGTATTTATTATTCAGCAGCATTTATATATAGTGAGTTTAGTTTATATATTATACATTATTTTTCTTGGCAATCGGTTATAAATAATTACCTAATTAAATACCTACTCAACAAATCCATGATACACATATATATATATAATAGAATAAAATTATTGTATTGTTATTTTAATATGCAGTTGTTATTCAGTATTTCAAATATCAAGACGAGGCAGCGATCATACTCTTTTTTTTACTCGAAATTCAATAGCAGATCATGGATAGATCTGCACCCTTCATGAAGTAGGGCCCACATAAACGAGCGGCTTGGATTCGCCCACCGCATGCCTAATTTCAGCTACTCAAGACTTAGGTGTCGGGAGTCGAGCTAAATTAAGTTAAGCAAATAGCATTTCAACCCTCACGCGCTCTTTAAATTACCTTTTTGTTTTTAATTTTATTTTCTCAATAAAAACTACTCCCTTATTTCGGGATTTGGTATTTTAAGGTATTAAAATTTAGTAAATTGATGATGATGATAGTGTATTATAACATTATATTATTTGTTTTTATATAAATACTATTGGCTGTCTTTACTTATAATATTTTAATTTTGAATTTTAGTTATGAATAATAAAATTTTGAATTAAAATAATTATTTAATATGATATAAATACATATTAATACGATGTTTTGAATCAAAATAAAATTTTAATATAATATAATAAATAAATAATAGAAGTTCGATTTGATATTTTCGGTAGAGAAAAAAAGTTACAAATAGTAAAATTAGACTAAACACCCTACAAGTAAACAGATCCATTGTTTATAATTTTAAAATTAAAATTAAAATATATATTTAAATATTTTAAAATTTATATTTTAATAGAAAATATATACATTTTGTACATAATTTTAAATTTAAATAAAAAATATTTACTTTATTAAGAAAAAAAATATAAATAAAAAATTTTGAATCCTACATAGTGTATGATATATTCTTTTCATCGAAAAATAAATATTTACGTTATAAAAATTATATAATAAATATGATAATGTGCAATGAGTTATACATACTTTAAAAATATAAAATTAATAATTGATGATTAAAAATAAAAAATAGCAAAATATATACCTATGAAGAAGTATACGTTATAAATTAATTTGTATTTATTAAATAAAAGAATAATTTAAATGAATATAATTGCATTAAAGAAAGCAAAAATCCCCACTAATTCCTTATATTTTTGCTTATAGTAAATGCCCACATCCTTGTTTAATTAATTACTTTATTTGATGACAAGTAAATGCTACATTTATCTATGTTTAAAAATTATTTTTAATACTACTTATTTAGATAAATATTTTTTAAAAAATACTCCATCATATTAAATTCCATACTATGTCATAAAAAATACATCAAATATTTGTAATTTTTTACTGTGTCGATTTTTTCAAAAAATTTAATTTTAAAGTTTGATTTAATTTTTTATCTTGATTTTTTTGTTTGAACAAAGACAGCAGAAAAATAATTTATTTTTAGAAGAATTAATAAAATCTATAAAAATCAACAAAATAATACAAAAATCTTGACCATTTTCAATATCTATTCATAATATTTTTATTCACTTTTTCTTTTTTTCTACTATAATATTAAATCATGAAACAGTTGACAGTTCTTTGTTTTATAAGTATTAATCAGCTAATTAATAATATTATTTTAATATAAAAATAAAATAAGTAGAAAATAAATATGAATTGTTACACGTATATATATTAATTAGTACTTTCTATATTGGTAAAAATGGATGAATTTTCAAATCTTAATGGACAGTCATTATTATTATTCTTCTTCATGCAAAATTATTTTCTTGTATTTCTTTTCTACAATTGGGATATTCTTTTTCTTTCATTTATGATTAGTTTCAACCAAACTATGGCTATTTATTTATGGAATGGTCATACAATCAACGTTGGCGATTGTGATTATAACAATTACGGTCATATCACTACACGGATTCAAATCTATGCACTGAGGCTAGTGAGAAAAGCAGAAAGATTGGCCGTAGAAGAACCTCCATCGGAAAACGCAGCCAAACACGCCTTCTGCACCTCTGCAACTCTCCCCACCATCTCCTTCCTCTCGCCGCCTTCCATGTCCATCAACTTCCTCACAAGCCTGCAAATCTCCCTGCTCCTCAGCAACTTCCCTTCCCCCGCCGCTCCCCACCCGATCTTCCAATCCTCCACTATAAGTTTCCGATTAGTCGGCTGGTCGGCGCTCAAAGGAAAAGCAATCATCGGCACGCCGGCGTACATCGCTTCCACTGTAGAATTCCACCCACAGTGCGTCCAGAATCCTCCGATTGCGGTGTGGCAGAGCACTCTCAGTTGCTCGCACCACTGCACGACTTTTCCGGCGTCTCCACATCTCTCCTGCAGTCGCGTCGCATCTTCACGCGCCACCCACAGGAACCTCACTCCGCTCTCCCGGAGACCGTCGGCGATTTCGTCCATTTGAGCCGACGAAACAGAGATGTAGCTTCCTAATGAGAGGTACAGGACAGAGCTTCGAGGTTGCGAGTCTAACCAGTCGGAGTAAGTGTTTGGGGAAGAAGAAGGTTTCTGAAGATTTACGTGAGGAATTATGGGGCCTAGTGTGTAAATTTGTGATTTGAGTTCCTGCTTGAGTGCATCTATGGCTTCGGATTCGAGCTCGTTGATGCAATTGAACAGCAAGTATTTCGCCCTCGATACATTACGGAAAACTGGAAGGATCCGATCGAGCAGGCGTGAATCCTCCAAACGCGCCGGCGCCGGAATATCCGCGAGGCGAATCGATTGGATTCCAGGTATGTAATCCAATCGCTCTTCTCCTCTCTCTGGATCGAGAATGATCAAATCCGTTATTGTCTACGGTTTATCACAAAAATGGTGAAGAAATTGAATCATTGGCGGTTACTAATAATTTGGACTCACCAGATAACACGAAAGGGTAATGGCCATGGCGGACGAGTAGATCAAAATGGTATAATATCGAGAAAACGTAAGTAGACATTGGCCACAGCAGCGCCACCGGGATATTCCTCCGATCGCCTAACTCGACCGGCCAGTTTAAGAACGTATCGGCGATGATTAAACTGACCGGCGCGTCGAGGCGGTCGAGCAGCATCTCGAATGGCTCTTCCATCTTCGTCTGAACAGAAGTGATGAAGTTGAGCATGTCAGCGCCGCGACCGATCTCCGACGGCAATACGTTGGGGATGGTGGCGAAGCGAATGGTGGCAAGAAGCTTCTCCTCGGTCTCTTGTAAGTACCCTAACCATTCTTCGGTGACTACAAACGTGATGAGGAGATTGCCCTGCGAGGAACGGACGAGGAGCTTGCAGAGGTTGATCATGGCGTTGACGTGGCCGCGGCCGGGGTAGGGCACCGCCACCACGTTGCTCGCCGTCGCCGCCATGGCCGAATGGAACCTGTTTTCTAGGATTCAGCTCAATTGCAGTAGGCTTCTGCAAATAGGTATATATTATATGTAGTATATAATTAGTTGCAAATCACAGAGCCAACCCACGTTAAGTAATTAGTTTATTTTCTTGTTATTGGAGATAGAAAAGATTCTTTATTTGAACAATCAAATAAAATAGAAATAACTATTTGATTAAGTATTGGATATATAAATGTTTAGCTGATTTAATTAGCTGATTGAACTACTAGCTGATTCAACCAACGGTTTGATATTAGGTGTTTATACGTAAAATAACCAACGGTTTGATATTAGGTGTTTATACGTAAAATGACAATCGAGGATTTTTTTTTTTTTCTAATATATTCAATTATGTTCTTTTGATTTTAAAATGTTTGAAATTTTTTGTTATTAGCTATTGAAAATTGTAAAAGTATTTATTTTTATAATAGCTAGAGTTAAAAAAGTAATATATTTTTATTCAAATATATAAATAGTTTTTTATTCAAATTATGTAAAATATAAAATAATAAAACTTTTGTGTATATATTTATTATGTTAGTTATCCATTAGTTCATTATATTTATAATTTTCAATAAATTTAATCTATTTAATTTATTTTTAGTATAAAATTTATATAATATAATTTTAATACAAAAATAAATTATTAATATTTATATTTTCTATTTTATGTTGATTTTAATATATTTATATATTTTACAATTAAAATAATTTATATATAAAAATTAATTATTTTAAATTTATAAAAGTAAAACTATAATATAATAAAATATTCTAATATAATTAATAAATAATGAAAATATATTTATTTGTATAAAATGCATAATAAAAAAACGTTAGATAAGTTAGTTTTTTTACTGATCAAACATCTAAAAAATGTTCAATAAACTAAAAGCTTTTAAAAAAATAATTTGCCAAATACCCTCCAAATCTAAATAAATATACATTTAAATAGAAACATATCGAATATGTTCATCCAATCAAAATAAAATACATATTTTTTAATTAGTATTATAAGAAATAGTATATATACTTATTTATGGAATATGTATTATATTTATAATACAAAATGCCATTTCTTATATTTAATATTCCATATAACATTAAAAATAATTTAAATTAAATAATGCAGTGTCTTCATGGAGAGACACGCTCTTCACGTGTTTAGGGTTTGTTGCTATTCTTAAACTAATAAATTTTAATGAATTTTTGTTTGTTTAGTGTTTTATTTTGAAAAATTTATAATTAATATATATTTGTTTGTTTAATCCAAAGCCAAAGAAATACACTTATAATTAATATATATTTGTTTGTTTAAACAAAAAATATATTTTTTATTTTTTAGTAAATATAACTTTATTATGTACTACATAAATGTTCTCAAAATTATACATATTTACATCGTACCATTATATTAATTTATATAAAAAATAAATTTAGGTATTTACTTAAGAGAGAAATGTAAATAAAATTGTACAAGTAGATCCCATTTAAACAAAATTTAGTGAAATATTTGAGATGAAAAAGATGAGAGCATAACATCAAGCACTCCAATTTGTAATCAAATATGTTCATTTAATATTTTATTCATTCTCTAAAATCATTATTAAAAAAATAAATATTGATAAAAACTAAAAAAACACAAAACATCATTCTCACTGTGATGCTTTCAAAATTATCATATAAATGATCACTTTTCTTCATTTTTATTATATTTTAAATTTTAAATTTTATAATTTATAATTTAAATTAAATTATTTTATTTTAATTTATAAATATTTTTATTTGCGTGTGATCCAAACTCTAACAATCATGTTTGCTTTGCAATAAAATCATGCAGGAAAGCAGAAAGATTGGCCGTAGAAGAACCTCCATCGGAAAACGCAGCCAAACACGCCTTCTGCACCTCTGCAACTCTCCCCACCATCTCCTTCCTCTCGCCGCCTTCCATGTCCATCAACTTCCTCACAAGCCTGCAAATCTCCCTGCTCCTCAGCAACTTCCCTTCCCCCGCCGCTCCCCACGCGTTCCACCCGATCTTCCAATCCTCCACTATAAGTTTCCGATTAGTCGGCTGGTCGGCGCTCAAAGGAAAAGCAATCATCGGCACACCGGCGTACATCGCTTCCACTGTAGAATTCCACCCACAGTGCGTCCAGAATCCTCCGATTGCGGTGTGGCAGAGCACTCTCAGTTGCTCGCACCACTGCACTATCTTCCCGGCGTCTCCACATCTCTCCTGCAGTCGCGTCGCATCTTCACGCGCCACCCATAGGAACCTCACTCCGCTCTCCCGGAGACCGTCGGCGATTTCGTCCATTTGAGCCGACGAAACAGAGACGTAGCTTCCTAATGAGAGGTACAGGACAGAGCTTCGAGGTTGCGAGTCTAACCAGTCGGAGTAAGTGTTTGGGAAGGAAAAAGGTTTCTGAAGATTTAGTTGAGGAATTATGGGGCCTAACGTGTAGATTTGTGATTTGAATTCCTGTTTGAGTGCGTCTATGGCTTCAGATTCGAGCTCGTCCATGCTATTGAACAGCAAGTATTTCGCCCTCGATACATTGCTGAAAACTAAACGGATCCGATCGAGCAGACGCGGATCCTTCAAACGCGTCGCCGCCGGAAAATCCGCGAGGCGAATCGATTGGATTCCAGGTATGTAATCCAATCGCTCTTCTCCTCTCTCTGAATCGAATTGAGAATTATCGAATCAGTTTATTTTCTAGGGTTTATCACAAAAAATGGCGAAGAAATTGAATCACTGGCGGTTACTACTAATTTGGACTTACCAGATAACACGAAAGGGTAATGGCCATGGCGGACGAGGAGCTCAAAATGGTGTTGTATGGTAAAAACCGAAGCAGGCATCGGCCATAGGAGCGCCACCGGAATGTTCCTCCGTTCTCCTAACTCGATCGGCCAGTTTAATAACGTATCGGCGATTATTATCCTGGCCGGCGCGGCGAGGCGGTCGAGCAGCATCTCGAATGGCTCTTCCATCTTCGTCTGAACAGAAGTGATGAAGCTGAGCATGTCGGCGCCGCGACCGATCTCCGACGGCAATACGTTGGGGATGGTGGCCAAGCGAATGACGGCAGGAAGCTTCTCCTCGGTCTCTTGTAAGTAACCTAGCCATTCCTCGGTGACTACAAACGTGATGAGGAGATTGCCCTGCGAGGAATGGACGAGGAGCTTGCAGAGGTTGATCATGGCGTTGACGTGGCCGCGGCCGGGATAGGGCACCGCCACCACGTTGCACGCCGCCGCCGCCGCCATGGCCGGATGGATCGGAATGGAATCTGTTTTTGAAGATGCAGCTCAAGTGCAACAGTCGTCTGCAAATAGTCAAGAGTTTGTATATAGATATATAATTATTGCAAATCACAGAGCCAACCGACGTTAATTAATTAGTTTATTTTCTTGTTATTGGAGATAGAAAATAAAATTCTTTATTGGAGCTATCAATAGAATACAAATAGTGGATATTAAAAAATATTATATTTTAATTATAGTTGATTGTATTTTATTAAATGATAAATTTACTTTTTCATTTTATTTGTAATAAAAATGTATTTGTATAAATAAGGATAATTGAAAATACATTTATACTGAATAGTGGGATAAATAATTATTAAATAAAAAAATTTAATTCTTGTAAATGAATATTTAAAAATAGAAAGTGCAAGTTTGTTAAAGAAAAAAATAGAAAGTATAAATTTGTTGAAAGAAGGAAGAAGTATTTAATTTAATATATATGTAAAAATATTACATTTTGTAAGAAGAGTTTAAAATTTGTTAAAAATGATGGAAGAAGTTGAGAACTACAAAAAGTTAACCGATAAATCATCATTTCAAACTTAGTGTGTTGATTTTCTAAGTTTTCATGTCACAATAAGAAAATTTAAACATACAAATTATAATGTAATATATACTTAATTAAAAATATATTTCAAATATTTTAAACCTTATAATAAATTATATTTAATATGAATAACTATTTTGCAAATAGTTTTTTTTTTTTTTTTAAATATCTATAATACAAACAAATATAGTATATATAATTAATATTTATTTATTTATTTAAAAAAACGATAAATAAAATATAACAAATAGAATACCACTTTTATAGAAAAGATACCGAGTAGCAAGCACTCCAATTTCTAACAAAACATGTTCGTTCACTTAATATTTTATTTCTATATTATTCGCTAATTACATTATCAAAAACATATGATCTATAATATAAAACATATAAACATAATAATAAACAAAAATACACAAAGTCAGTTCTCTATAATACTTTTATGATTACCATTCTTCTTGTTAACAATTCCCATAGTCATTCATTCCTCAGCTGTTGAATATAATGGAAATAAATACCGTATAAGCAAATCCATAACATCAAATCAAATCCAAATGGGAATATTTTTAATTGTTTGTACAATCTAAAAGGAACTCAAATTATAGAGACAAGAAGAGAACCAAGTACCATTTGTTGAACCTAAACTTTGTGCTAAGGAGTTGTAATAAGCATTTAGATGATTCCTAAGTGTAATCAATTTTGATCATGAAAGGTAAGAAAGTAGGATCAGATAATAAATTTTATGCAAATTAGAGTAACCTGTGGCATGGCAGTAGATAATTTCAGCTTTCATCATGCTCCATTACCATCTTCCAACAAGCCCAGCTGAGAAAAACACACACATCCACAGTTAAAACTTGAAAGAATCAACGTGAGAATATAAATCTGAAATTTTCTATTTCAATAATAAGAATACATACATATTTTTAATGATATACAAATCGTTTAAATAAGACAATAATCCTATAAATCTCTTGAATAAGATAACTACCATATATTGTTTCTGAATATATTTTGATATTTTAGAAATCAAGAAGCAGCAGAAGCTGTTCATCATGCATAATCTAGGCATTCAAGAAAAATCATTTAGGGATACAACAAACAAAAAACAAAAAACCAACCCCATCACTATACAACTGTCCGGCTGGGGATGGAAAGCATGGGTTTTACACTGGAAGAAACACGATTACGATTGAAACCAAGAAACAGATCTTACCACCAAAACTATACTACACCGAAACTCAATATACTATAACCATGTACCAACCAAAATAGTAGTTCATAGATGCCTCCCAACGTTTTGCAATGCTTACTGCACGCACAGCACGAATATCACTACTTGAATTTATCTTATGCATATCTACCATAACAATAGCACCATGTCTCTAAACCAAAAGCAAATCAAATCTAGGACCTGAATGCATTCATCATTCTAGTTATTTTTCTTAGAAATGAATAAGGTCAAGTACGAATTCTAGATACATTTTGCAAGTAGGTGTGACTTCTATGTTTGTCACCTACTATAAATTTAGAGCAGAGAACCAAATCCACATTGCACACATTACCAAAGAAATGCAAAACACAATCAAAACAAACATTGAACACAAGATCAAAACCGAAGAACAGAGCAAAGCACAATCCACTACACAAAACTAGAGAATAGAGACAAGACATAATCAATGCAAGAACAGAGAGAAATGCAAAGCACACTTCACCCACATTTGTACACGGCCAAAACCAGAGAACAAAGAAGAAATGCAAAATACAATCCACTATAAAAAATCAGAGAGAACAGAATGAAAAGCACAGAGAAGAAAATGCAAAACAGATCAGAGCAATGCGTTAAACAGACCTCTCCTCACTCAGCCGCTGAATGTGATGCAAGCCATGGCAGACATTTAGAACTGTGATTCCAAACAAGTAGTAATCTGGGATCTTCAAAGTTCAAAACTTGAAGCAAACAATAACAAGCATGATCACCAATATCACAACAAATGTCAAATTACATGCCAGATTTTCGTAACATGTTACCACCTGTAATTTGTTCCAAATTTGGCAATATGAAGACTTCTAGAAACACAATGCCAATCTCGAGAAAGACAAAAGCACAAGCATTTGTGATTGCATCTATATAGATCAGAACAGGAAAAAGAACAAAACCACATAGGACAAACGAACGTAGACCAATATTTCATTCAATAAAAGATCAAATACAAAGGGAAAACTTGTTCGTAAACAACTACCAAACAACATGAAGCAAAAACCTTAGGAGATCACAAAAGATTTCAGATTCATTGATGTCGGAGTTGTTACGTCAGCAGTTGCCACAATTATTATCCCATAACAAAACAACAATCAAGCAATCACATTTTTAAGTCTCTTGATCCATCTTTACTTTCTTATGCGCTCCAAACGCCCTACCAATGGTATCGACAATCTTTCTTTGTGCTTCAAGAATCATGTCCATTTTCTTCTTCTCCATCTCCATACGATACCTCTCTGTCTCCCGCATCATTTCAATCTTCTTATTCTCCATTCTCATAAATGTATCTGCAAAACCGCTAATTTCTGCTGCCAACTCAGTTCCAACACCACCTCCCCCGACCCCCACCTGCGGCCTTTCCTCCACCAAATCATCCAAAGAATCATCGTTGTCGTCATCATCGTTGTCATCATCATCATCATCATTATCAATCTCATCCCCAACATAATACTGCTTTCGCTTCCCATTCATTGCTCCTCTCATCATGCTAGCATCCCTAATGCTACCCCCACCAACTCCCCTATCCATTGTGCCCAAATTTCTACTCCTATTCCCACTCTTTGCATTGCTGCGTACTATGTTATTAATACTTTTGGACTTACTTTTTGCCATGGCCTCCACACTATATCCTCCTGCATTCCATTCCTCATCACTCTCATCAGACACATCACCACTGCCACGATAATTGCTGTTGTAATAGTAATCTGCAGAATTAGCATATGAATTACCATAACCATGGGTAAAGCTGTTGCTATGATTACCATTACTAGCAGCAACGTTTGGGGAAGACTTAACCACAGCAATTGGACGCGCATTGAGAGGCATCGGACCGCGCTCCATCTGATCCATGTATTCAAAATACTGCCATGAATTAGGGTAGGGCTTCTTCAGCTCGGAACGATACCGTTTTCGGAGCTTCTCTATCTTGTGGCGGCACTGTGTGGAGGTTTTAGATGGCTCGTCCAAGCCGCAGCGTGCGGCGACGGTGACGGCGACTTCCTCCCACTGGAAAGCCTTCAGTTGCCCCTTCTTGAGAGAGTACCATTTCTCTTGGTAGGCTTGAATTAGGGCTAGGGTTTCCTGGTGCGTCCAAGGGAAGGGCGGCAGCTTTTTCGGGGGGGAAAGGGGTTTAGACCCCTGCGGAGGTAGGAGGAGGAGCTTCTGATTCGGCGAGGGGGAGGGGGAGGCGGAGAGACGAGACGGCGGCGGAAGGGGGAGGAGAGGCGGTGGCGGGGAGGCAGAGCGTGATGGAGAGGGGGAAGAGGCCATGGGTATGTTAGATTTGATTGGTCAACTCGAGAGAAGATTAGAGGAATTTAAAGGAATGAGAGGCGGCGGTGGCGGTGGCGGTGGCGGTGCGGCGGAGGTCGGCGGTGAGATAGTAGAGTAGGCCAGTAGGGGTTTACAGAGAGGAGCCCTGTACGTGTAGTGTGATCGAGGTGGAGTACAAAATGCCTCCGGTATTGTTTCCTGCAGTTACATGCAGTTATAAGAAGGCATGTTTGTGTCGTGTTTTTCAATAGGTTCTCTGACTCTGTGTTCATAATTAGTACATAATTTAAAAAAAAAAAACTAACTTATTAGTCCAAGATAGCAACTGATCATAGTCATGTCAATTGTCAAATAGAACATATAACAAAGCGAACTGTACAAACTGGACATGCTTCACTTGAAACTCAGGAACCATAAAATATTAAATACATGGGAAAATTGCATGGCATCCCTACATGCTTCATAATGAAAATCTTCAGATCACAGATCAACAATCTCATATAGGAATAGTTGAAGATTCTTGTAATGAAAACACCAATGTAGCTGGGAAATGAGGATACCAATTCAAGGCGGCCGGGCTGTCTTCGGAATTAACGAACATTAGGTGTGCCGTGAAGAGGTACTAATTCGAAGCCAACTTCTTTTACTGCCCTGCATTGTAATGCAAACATTCAGCACACATAGTGCCATCGATATAAGGAATGATCTACTGAAATGAGTAAAAACCAATTAGCATTCCGCAGTGAACACTGACCCTTGAATTGATCTCTTTCAAATTCTCCAAGGATTCGGAAAGCTCTACTTGTTTGGATGTTGCTTCGCGTAGAGCCTAGCAGGGATATTCAGATATTCTAATCACGAATCGTTAAGAGATAACCAGCAGACAATCGGAAGGAAACCATTTGTTGAAGTGAGAATTAGCAAAGCTTGAATTGGATTTACCTTTTTGGTCTTTTGCAAGTCGTACTCAATAGATTTTATTCGGCTCATGTACTCGCGCAGTATGTCATCTTTGTCTGGTGGCATTTTTGCAGGTTTTTTAAGAACTTCGGTTACCATATCTTCCAAATGCTGCAACTTATGGCAACATGGATTGAGAAGCTCGTTGCTACTTTGCTGTGTAGTATCTAGCTGAGGACTTGAACTGGAGAATGGAGGTCCTTGATGAATGTCTTCTACTCCATTGACGTTTGCTGTCTTGAAAAATAATTTAAGAAGCCAACCGAGCAAAGAGCATAAGCATGCGACTAGTCTGAATATGACATCTGTGCCAGCAGTTGTGACAGATCCCCTTGGTAGCCTACGTTCAGGTACCCTAGTCAAGTTTGCTGCAAGATCTGAATAAGAGTATTTTCAGATAAACATGATCCCTACTTCACCTCAACTATTGGTTATTCACTATCCTATAATAACAATATTCATCCTTTTGGTGAGTGTTGATTGATTCTATGAACTGCAAGTCTCTAAACAGTTTTTATCACTTTCCACCTTCACAGAAACGCCAACACTTTTCTGTATCCGTGCAAAGGCCATATGTTGGTGCCAATCAATTAACAGAGAAGGTATTGTTCTTACACAATATTAGATGCAATTTGCAGTCATTTATAAGATGCATCATCTTTCCAGTATGCTAGAATGGTGACAAGGAATTTGATTAGACGGACACTATATGTGAACTTACTTACTTGATGGAAAATGATTTTCAACTTCAACCCCATGCCCTGGTTGTACTGTTGATACTGTATCCTGCATAAAAATAAAACACACCAAATAAATACATAGAAGCTGTTGATTCTGGTATGAGTTTTCAGAAAACTCAAGCTAAGCTCAACCTCAGTATCATCTGTCAGTCGAGAGAAAATTAAAGCAAAACACCTCACACCCACTATATATTAAGTAGATAGAAGAAAGCTCAATCTGAAATTCTACGGCATGAACATATGTTTTCACAAATGCAAATTTCTTTCAACTTTAATACAAGGAAAATCATGGATTATCATTATTTCAGTTCCAATTAGCAAACCTACGAAGAAGTGCAAACATGAATATGATTTAATAGAGTGGAGCTTAACAAAGCACAATTCATATAATGTCCAAACCATTATATTTTTATCAGCATTATCTATACAAATCAAAATTGTTTACAATCCTGACAAACCTTTGCTTAATGCATGTTGAACTTGCCTACTTCATCTTGCACTCTGTCTAGTTTAAACTCACATCAACTTTGAATTTTAAAATTATGATGCTGTGCATGCTTACTTACATCACTGCAATGTGCTGCTGCTTCCAAGGTTCTGTCAGAGGAGTGTCTCACCCAAGAAAGTGGGACACTTTTACCCCTTGGGTCCTGTATAAGAAACCATCTATTGCTCAAAAGTCTAGTTATCCTGAAGTGACTACGGAATAATGGTCATCAGCTTTAGATTACCTGTAACTCAATTTGTTTGATTTCGAAACCACCATCACTAGAGTCGCTGCACTGAAAAGTTCAACCAAGTTGTGAGAAGCATTTAACTAACTTTCTTAGCATGAGATGTGAAATACAAAACCACAAAAACAGGGCACTAACATTAATATTTTTTTGTCAACATTTTTGCCTTGAAAGCAATTACCTTAAATAGAAAATCACCACTCCCTGAAAAGCTTCCAATATTTCTTTGGAAGATTGATTCACTATTATGTAAACCATGTACCAGCTGCAAGTGCGAGTGGGAAGTAAGCCTGGTTAAATGCAAACAGAATATAGAAATTGTGCAACAATAATTCCCTTTATATTGCATATTGCTATGAATAAATATAATTTTCACCTTCATTATTTGCGAATCATGCCAGGGTCCTTTGTTAGATCTAAGACACCCGCCTTGATTTTTACAAAAACATGATCCACCAAGAAAATCTGGCAGTTGACTATGGAAGGAAAAGATTAAGACGACGAAATATTCTTAAAGCTGAAATTTGTCCACACTTTCAGAGAGAAGAAAGATCTGCACCTAGCGTCTATGATTTCCAACAGCTTATTCTGAAATTTAGTACCTAATACCTGTAAGAGACTAACATAGTTAGTAATATTGGTGCTTTATTTACTCCTTAAAATCTTGACTGCTTTTAAAAAAAAAAATGTGGATCCCTTACATGTATTTTCGATGTTGTCCTTGGGTCAAGAAAGCCTTTTGCTGAATTCCAGAGACACTTGAAACCACCGCCAGCATTGACAATAAACATATGATGCAATGTCTAGACAGATTGAGAAAACGTATTCAATACAATAAACCAAGAAAAGAACAAGTACATCTACATTTTCTCAGGAAAATGATGCAAACTTACCTCAGGGTAGTTGTTTCCATCTATTCTCTGCATGCGCATAACTAGATCATGAGCAACTTTTCCAAAACTCATCCAGTTCTGCACAAGAGAAATAAGAACATCAAATATATAAAATGATAAACTTCATGTTACAATGAAACTTGTATGGAATAAACCGTCTAAAGAAACAGAAGGAATATATATCTAGTTTGGCATACCAGGCCATGTACATCCAGAATTGTTGTAGTTGAATCAATGTGCCGCTTGGCTGCAATTGAACAAGCTGGAAACTTTTCTGCAAACAACTTTTCAAAACCTTGAATATGATATTTTAGGAACCTATCCACAGTGGTAACATTCATAAGATTGCTTGGTTCAATTTTTCCTAATCTCTCAATGTAGACAGGTCGCCCTTCTTTATCTACACCATGGTAACCATGGGGATAAAAGCGCTGAACCTCTTCAAATTCTCTGTAATGAAAATCCTGATGGCAAAGTTGGAAACAATTTCCAAATACGTGATTAAACATGCATAGCACACGTTCATCAAAAACCTATATACTCTTAACAAAAGAAAATAAGGTTGAAAGATGTTCCAATCATTTGATGGAAGAAGATACCTGAATGATAGAGTCTACTCCATTCATTTTCCGCCAGTTCAACATTTCTGCCCACATATGAACTGTTTTATCTAGGTCAAATTTCCTAGCTTTCAGGAATCTGCAACACAACATTTCTTTAACCGATGATATCCAAATAAGAACATGTTTGTTTTGTAAGATGTAAGATGGTTTCAATTATAATGTGAGTTATTGAGTAGCCCAAAATTGATTTCAGAAGCCAGGAAAGGCATATCCTGTCTGATCCGACAAGAAATTAATCATGTAAAGCCACCTATAGCTACACCTTCCTACATATAACCAAAGAAGAATTCTACTGATTACAGAAAGCTTGTATCAGTAAGACGAAAAAGGAAGGAAGTTGAATTCAATTATACAAGCCCTGTTATTGTTGTTGAGTAAAAAAAGTAAATAATGAAGATTTTTCAACCAATTAGTATCACTAGTTTTATGCTCTGCACTACTTTTAGATTTGAGCTCACATTTCGACTTTCCATAGTTCGTTATTTCTCCAATAGTCAGCAGAGAACCAATAAAAACCTAACTCAACAAAATAAAAGTATATATATTAGGTGTATTCAAGATTGTGCCCACAATTATTTTCCAAGTTAGTAAGACTCAGATAAGTATCCACATGTCTGCAGTTTTCATTCATTTGTCATGAAATTTGGAATAATAGCATAATGCATTTGGCATCCTCCATATTCTGGGTTTCTTCAGTGGAGTCCCTCCCTACTAGTTGTGACAATTTTCATTACACAACAAGCTGACTCCCTATGGTACCTTCCTCTAATAATGACTCAGAATATAAGAGCTACCAAAAGCGGACATATTTTCATGCTGAAAACATAAAATTTATTTGATAGAGTAATGCTTAATATGGATGAATACCTTAACAGAGTGTGGTAATCATCGTGCCTTGCTGGAAGCATGTCTCTATCAATCAAAACCTGTCGAAATGCCTCCACTGCCTTCTCTTCCTTTTTGTTTGGTATTTCCATAGAAATAGAAGCGAACTTGCAATTCGACATCGGCCTACTGCGATTCCTCACATTATGTGTAGTGCTTGTTGGACCAGTCATCCCCCTTCTTCTCAGTGATCTCAACCTACGCCTTCTCTTCTCATCCTCAGAAAATGGGTCATGCTCATGATCAGGTCTTCTCAGCTTTTCATCCTCCCTAATCAGAACTAGTTCTGATGATCAAAATTCAACACAACTCACAGGATTAAAGAAATCACATAGAAGATAACCTAGAAATGGACTGAACACCATTTTTGTCACAAGTTTTTTCATGGCTAAACTTTAAACAACTTGAAAATACCTGGCATTGATTTTCCAGTACTTCAACAGTCAGCCAGCAGAGAATCTGTGAGTGTTGTAGTTTGGTAAATAGAAATAGAATGAAACAATACTACACCCGACTTCGTTAATACAGCAATGATTTAAATGAAAGCATACGACAAAGAATTTATTAGCTCAATTCTGAAGCCAATATTTTGCAAATCCAGAAAAGAAAACTTAGCTGTGAAACAAAGATTACATAAAATCATCAGGATTCTCAAACAAGATTTGTTTGCCATTGGGCACTACAAAAGATAAGTACGCAAAATCTCGAAAAAGCTCTGATGGAACACCATTCAGACCATCCAGTACAATTTTCACGATTAAAGTAAACCAACACCAACACGTTCACGAGGCGAATTAAAAAGCACCACAGAAAGCACTAAAGAGAAAAGCAAGATTCAATGAATCATCGCCAGAACAAAATCGCACTCGATCAGAAATTCACTTCACATACCTTTCCACCAACCGTAGCATCCAAATTCCGAGTGCGATCCGCGACGATCACGTTTCTTCCCCTTCGCCTAAGCGCAAACAGAATAATTCCGCTTACGCAAGCACGTTCCAGTGCTCAATCCCGGTAGATTCTGCCTGCGAATGCGACTGGGAATATTACAAGGAGATATTACCAGATCACTCGGCTACACAAATCGCCATTCCGGTGAAAGCATCTCAGCTCCTGAAAAAAGTACTGTTACATAATAAACATACAACGAAGAGAATTTCTACGATTCCTGTTGATGGAAAGAAACGGCGTCGTTTCCCAAGAGCGTTGGCAATATTATAGTGACGTCCAGGCTGCAGACACGGCAATGGATCCGTTACGGCGCTTTCGTAACGCCGGCTAATGTACGGTGACCTTTTGCCTTTGGACGACTAGTCGGTGATTTATAAAAAAAAACGAAACTGCCGTCACCGTCACCGTCACCGTGACACGGACGAGGAGGGAAGGGAGGTAGGAAGTTGAACGGTCTTCTGGATCTTATATCAAGTAAGTTGCGTCGAATAAAGCTCCTGGGATCAAAGATCCTCGATACCTAAAAATAAATTGAATTAACATTTTTTAAAAATTATTATATCTTATATTTATTTATTTTTACAAAATATCAACGAAATTACACTAAGAATAAGAATAATATTTAGTCATATTTTCAAAATAATATACTATCTTTGTCCACTTTATAAATATATATTTATCTTTTTAAATAAAATTTAATAAATATCATACTTTTTTATTTTTCAAAATAATATATTTATCTTTGTCCACTTTATAAATATGTATATTTATTTTTTAAAAAATTTAATAAATATTATACTATTTTTTTATATTTTTAAGTAAATTTTTTAATATTAATATTATATTGATTTGTAATTTTAAAAAAAAATATTAATATTGTATAAAAATAATAATTATAAATTGTAAGTGTATTTTATATATTGAGTTTCCAGTAAAATTATTAAATTAAAAAACAATGTTCTTATTTTGGTATCGATTAAAATAAAAAAAAATTGACACTTATTATTATATACACGATAAGATATACATTGTCTTATTTATAAAAATATGTTAACTTGATTAAATTAATACGGTAATTAAAATAGATGAATATATATATTTTGGAAAAATATATATTCTCTTTATCGCAATCACTATAATTATTTTGTCATTTAAATTTGTTCAACTTAAATGCATTATCATTAAAAAATAAAAATTTAGAGAACAAAATTCCCTTTTTATCCTTCAATACTTCTTCTTCCGTCTAACTCATGTATTCGATTTACCGTAGATAGTGAAATATAAGATAAATATAATTGTTTAATAATTAAAAATATATTAATAAAAATAGTTATTTTATAATATAAATAATTATAAATTAAAATAAAAATAAAAATAAACTAATTAAAATTTTTAAAAAATATAAATTAAAAAATATAAAATAAAATTACAATCCTTCTACCGTTCTACATAAGAAACCAGTATGTGTAATCATTTTTTAAAAAATAAAAATGATATGAACAGAAATGATAATATAAACACAATAAATGGAAAGGAAGAGTAATATATTAAACTTCACTATAAAAAAAATAAATAGTTATATTTATGCCTAACATAGAGAATATATTGATTAAAAAGAAAAGCTAAAAAATTCAATGCTCAATTTATTGGAGTTGTATTATTCAATAATAATAATAATAATAATCTATTTTTATTTTATTTTTCTTATGTTTTATTCAATCACGAAAGCATATTCATGATTTAGATGGTAAGGTTGTGGATGTTCTAGAAACACAGCGAAAAAGACACCCATCTCTAACTGACTACGTGGATCCATGTTATGTTCTTCTAGACCGGCAGGCTCAACTTAATTATAATACAAGTGGTAAGTACCCTCTCAAATTATTTAAATTTACAATCTACTTGCTATTTATAGTACTTTTCATGCACAATAACGGAATTGTAACATAAATAATTATTTATTTTAGTAACTTTGATAAAAATATTTGAGTTATCACTAATTCAATTACTTTTGTGTTGAATAAGTTGAGTCAAAATTCTCTAATTATTTTAACAATTCTGTTGATGTTCATAGTAGTTGGGCAACATATAATTAATAAAATATATATATATATTTTAAATTTATTTAGAAACTCTAAGGTATAAAAAATAATTTCATAAATTTGGAGTTGAAATCTATGTAATTAATAATTGATTCACTCACTTAGTATTTTTAAATTAAATAATTCCCTATAAATATTATTAAAAATATATATATATAATACATAGACATATTTAGACAATATATATAATATATATTATTTATTCACAATAAATAAACAACTAAATATCGAATATTATTATTTTTTATATAAAAAATAATTACATCTAAAAACACAATATAAACAAATCTAATATTAATTTTCAATTAATTCAATAAATAGTGACTTATTGATAATAAAAAATAAATAAATAAATAAATCATATGGCCATCTTATTATACTAATTACATCGCTTTTTCATATATTTGTCACATCTTTTAATATGCAATTTAAAATAATACATTATGAGGATCATATTTGCTTGTTATCAATACCACATTGATTTGATTATAAATTTTTTGATTAATATTTAACATATTAAGTTTTAATTTTTTTTTCAAATATAATATACAAAATTAATGTTATTAATTTTTGTTAATTAAATGTCATATAATCAACTTTTATTTAATTTTTGAATTGTCCCCATCATTATAGCCTATAATTTTAAAATGTAAATCAATCAACGGTTTATATATATATATATATATAATGTTAAATGGACTATGTAAATATTTTTGGTTTCAGAAATTGCAATAAATCCATATATTGTGTGGTTTTATTTGACACGCTGCTAGTTGTCTAACGTGGCGACAAATTGATCCAACGGCTTGGAATGTTTTAAAGAAAAGCATATACCACCATGCGATTCGCCCCGGCTAACCATATCCCACGTGGATCTGGGCCCCACCCGACCCGTGCCCTTTTCAACCTCCTTCACTGAATGACCTACACTGCAGTCACAGACCATCATCCATGGCGGTTCTCAGCAATGGGCCTCCGGTTTTGATTCTAACGCAGCCGCCCAATAAGCATCCGAACCATTGCCACTTGAGTCTTGGTTTTTCCGTTCTCCGTCCGAGACATTTTTCTAGGACTGCCAGACTCTTAGTCGAATTATCCAACTCTCGGTACAGCTTTTGGTTCTTAGACGAATTAGGCGATTTAACGTGAATGTTCTTATTCTGGATTTTTATCGATTTGAACTCGTTCTAGTTCTAGTTACGGTCATCCTGCTGTGCGAATTATATATATATATATATATATCAAGGCAACAAGGTAATTGAGTGCATTCAGATGATTAGAGAGATATGCTGGCATGGCTAGTTCTGAAGTTCATCTGTATTGTAACCGTGTGTGCACTTTTTAGATTTAATTAGCTATCAAGAGATAGAATTATTGGAATTGGAACTGGAACTGGATGCGCATTTTCGTTTTAGTTCTTTTGGCCTTAAACACGAAGATGTTGAAATCAGTTAGCAAGCAGCTGCTTCTTGTTTCCTGTTATATATGTATATTTGCCAACTTCTACACAATCACCATGTTATCCAGAGGGATGACGCATTGAGTTCAATGCAATGCAGGATCAAAAGCTTTGAACGTGATGGTACAGACAGCTCTGATGCCGCCAAATCCAAAATTATACCAGAGGATCAAAATCATGCTTCTGATAGTTCATCAGGGAGATTAGATAACACAACTGCTAGTAATGGAAACTCATTTCTGGCAAAATTAGGAATACTTCTAGGAATAGCTGCCTTTTTTACGTTCTTATCTGTTAAGTTGAGGCTGCCAAGTCAGGGATCGTCGCTTGGGATTCAGTTTTTGTCAGATGCCTCGGCCACTTCCCCTTTGGCATCACCTGCTGGTGCTTTTAGCTTCCGGGCATTTGGACATAGAGTTATACTTCCTGAATATGCCCCTGGGTAAGGTTTAATCTGACTTTCATGATTCCCTTATTCTTGAGCTGCATTTTGTTCATTGGAGCTTGGGAATTTATCTTCCTCGATACAGATGGGTATACTTTTGGTTGCTGATGGCCGCTGGATGTGGACTTTTTATCAGTGAGGAGGCATTGAATATATGGGTCTGTCCTTTGTGCTGGTATTTTAAATCACAAGCTTCTATGCATTTACATCTCTGCATTTATGATACAAATCTTCCACTTTTATCATGGCGTCCAAATGATGTAGGTTGGCATCACCTTGGCACGACTACTGTCTCTAGATGGGACGTGGCAATCTCTTGTTGATTCATTTTCTAGGAATGCTCCGTACATCATATCCACTGTTGTATGGGTGTATTGGTTAGTGCTTGGCATTTTGTCGTGTTATGTGGATCAAAATATCTTGGCAAACCATTTTGGATCTTATTATGGCTTCCACCAATCATTGTAACTATTGATTGTTATGAAAAGTTTAGCTTCCTTGCCATCATTTCCTTGACTGCTTGAAAAGCTTACATGTTTGAGTGTTTCTACATTTACTTGTCTAGCTTACTTCATGTGAATGTCTCCAGGGGGGTTTGTATCAGTGACATGATACCGTTTTACCTCGGGAAACTTTTTAAACAATCTGGAGCTTCTGATGATGTTTGTTCAAAGGTTTGTACATCTGAATTATATTGGACCTACTGCATATAATGGCCCTGATTTTCCGAGCTATGTAATTTTCAATGATTTCTGTAGTTGGGGATTGGCAGAGAGAAAGCCATGGAAATAACAAGCAAAGTACAGAAATACGGAAATCTTAGTGGCTTTGGTTAGTGCTACTGACTACTGAGCTATGATTCCTCCATGTTACTCTAAACAATCATCGACTTCTGTATGATAATTCGATTTTCCGCATATGTGCATGGGAAAGAATTCGGATCCAAAATTTTTTATTAATTGCCAAATATTGGTTTTAGCATTGCTCTTTTTGTTTCCTTTAACCATAACATTTTGTAATTTACTTTGAAATGCATTTTACAAACTTCACTGATCTTTTACTTGCAATTCATGCATGCAGTGGAACGGTTTTCTCTTGGAGTAAGAAATCCTACTGCTTTTCTTGCTGGAGCAATGGTAAGTAATTGTATTGTACGGTTGTAGCCATTTCAAGTTGCTGTCTTCCTTCCTGTTAAATGTTGATTACTATTGGGTGTGCATCAATTTACCTCCAATTAGAGCTTGCCAAATATGTTGATCTTTTGATCATGGGTAAAATTTCTAATCGAGATTATTGGAGCAGCAGGAGCTGAAATATCTATGTAGATAGATAATCACTCCATTTTGTTGCAGGATATATCGCCGGAGTGCTTCTTTGCCGGCGTCTGCTGTGGTGGACTGTTAACTCTTCCAATACAGGTACTCGAAACAGGACATGATTATCAATTAAATGAGTGAACTCACATCCTAAACTTTGAGTCTTGATAAGAAAATATTGCAATCCTTTCCACCATTTCTGATATTTTTGAGTAGCAGAAGTTGCTTTTCCTCCCATGTTGCCTATATATCATAAAAGACTACATTTTTGAAAGATCATTACATGAGATGCACCTGGAAATTGTTTGTAACTTACTTGAATAATACATATTTTTACCTCAAATGCAATGCAGTTGGCAATCGGTTTCCTGCTGAGAGAACGCCCCGTCTTCGCCGTTGCAACTGTTGCAACTGCAGTGGTATGTATGCCTTTCTTCAGCCATGGTAACTAGAATGATTTTCATAAAGGATATTACAGTGGCCATGTTTACTACATTGGATTATAAATATGCTAAGGATTGAATAATCCCATGTAGTAATATTTACAGGGTATCTGGACAGTGTTTCCCTACGCTGTGGCTGCTTTGACAGCAGCATTTCTCTATCTGAGGCGTCGCTATTCAACTTAGCTTGGCTCTATTTATCCGAAGTAAGTCATCAAACTATGCTCTCTGGGCACATGAAAATTTTATATTTTATTTTTAAAATATTATATAGAATATGTATCATCTATTCAAAAAGATTACATACAATACTTAAGTGTTGAGTTATAAAATTTTATATTTTATTTTTAGAAATGTCAGGATTAGTATTGAGTTATTCACTGGGCTGGGCTTCTGGAGATTGGTCCTGACCATAATGGGCTTGCCATCGGTCCAGGTCTCTCAGCCCATTTAAGAATAATAATAAAATAAATGAATTTATAGTCTTGTTCTATCACCCTAACTTAAATTAGATCGGACTGAGCCTGCAATGGTTCAACGAAGATACTAATAGTAAATTAATAGTATTGAACAGGTAATTCTGTGAGATGATATATGTATGTTATGGATGTGCTCTTTTTAGTGGGAATTTTTTTTTTTTTTTTTTTTTTTTTTTTTTTTTTTGTGTGTGTGTGTGTGTGTGTGCGTTAAAAAGAAATTAGAAGATTGTATAATAATAATAGTAATAATTTAAAAAGAAATTATCGAATAATTTAGTAAACATCAAAATTGGGGTATTATCAATTGTAATAGCCCAATAAATATGGACTGTCTGTGTTGTGATCAAAGCAACAATTTATAATTTAGAGTTTAGAAAGAGAGAGAGAGCCGTTGGTTCCAAGAAATGCTTATGTATTCTTTTTGCCAAAATAAAACATATATTTTCAAAAAAATTAATCTAAAACATATATTAATTATTTTTATTTTACATTCATAATTTTTTATATTTCATATAAAAGATATATATTGAAACAATTTCACAGAAGAATTAGACAATGTTCAAGAAAATAGAGATAGCTTTAGTTGTATATGGTCTGGTGTGGGTGGGGACACTCACTTACATTCACATGTTTCAACCAACATTTTATTTATTTATTATTGTTATTATTTTATCAACAAACATTATGGTAGTTGAATTTCATTTTATTTTTTCCCTTTATTGATAGAGAGAGAGAGAGGGTACACTACATCCACCCCACCCACATCGGAAGAGCTGACAGGTCCCAACTACCAATGAGCAACAATTAATTTAATTACCTAATATTCAGGCTCAATTTATATTGACAAATTTTAATTTTTAACATTTGATTAAATACCGAGGGATGTATTTGATTTTTAGATTTTTTGTTTTCTAAAAAAATTAATTAAATATCTATTTATTTATATTATACTATATTTGAAAACATTGTATTCATACTTGTTTAAATCGAGTCAAATAATTTTATCATTTTAAAATTCAAATCCAAGCTCTAAACTTTAGGCCAACAGCTTTTTCTAATCTCCAGACTCCATATGCTTAGGTAGAGGTTAGATTATTTTTTCTTTATTTTTTTAAGGGTAGAGGCTAGATATGATTTTTTAAATTCTTCTAGGATTTTGGAAATTTTAGATAAAATTAAATATTTAATTTAATATTTTGTAAAAAAATTATTATTACTATTGCTGTAAGATGAAAAAATAATGACTTTGTATGTTTAGTGTTTTGATTTGAACTTTTTTTTAAAAAATTTTTATTTTAAATGTGAGTAAATATTATTTGTGATAAAATATTGATTTGATTTTGAATATTTTATAAAAATATTAGTAGATTTTGAATAAAGTAAAATTTTAACTAATTTAGATTAAATTAAGATTATGTATATTGTAGCTTATTTGAGGGAGACACGTCCAAGATACAATCCATTTCATTATCAATCTTTCTTTCTTGCACTTATTTTCCTTATTAGCTTCCCTGCATGTTATTTTCTTTATTTTGCTTATTTTTGTCCATCTTTTTTTACTTTTCTTTCTTCTTCTTCTTTTTTTTTTTTTTTTTTTTTCGTTTCTTGCTTCTTTCTTCAATTTTATTTTTTTGAATGCGGCTGTCGATTTTTGAAAAACAATTAACAATTAAAGAAAAAAAAGAAAAAAAAGGTAATAAATATTCCACATTAGTAATGAGTAAATTTAAAGAATAACCTAAAAATGTGAAAATGAATTTACTAGATGAGGAGAGTACAGAAATAAACCTAAAAGTTTAATTTAATATTTTTTAAAAAAATAAATAAATAGTAAAGGTACTGAGGAAAAATCAATCAAAGATATCCTAAAATACCTCTAGTCGGACTATTTAGAAGAGGAAGGAGTATAATATTATAAATATATTATCCCGTCACAGTGAGATGTACTTATTATATTATTTGACTCTTGTTTTTTAAAAAAGATATATTTTTTATTCTTATAAAATATCACATTATATATTCTTTTAATATTAAATTTATCAAAAATAAAATAAAATAAATAAACCCAATTTTTGAATGCAAATATAAATATATAAAAGTAAAAGAGTGTAAAAGTTATTTTATTTTTGACATTAGTGTCATTAAAAGGTTTGACCACTGTCTTTCCTTCTTTCAAATGTCCTCTTCTGCGTTAAAGATATATATATTTATATAGAGAGAGATATTAAGGCAATGGGTGGTCATTGATTCGTTCGTTCATTCCTCATGCAACGCGAGGCAGGAGGTGCTGTTATTTAGTTGGGGCTTGAATTTTGAATTTGCTTTTTTAATTAAAAAACATAAATTTTAAAAATTTATAATATGATATAAATAAATATTAATATATTTTTTTAATATAAATTTAACTTTAAGTATAATACTCATTCCGTTTCATAACTAAAAATATAGTATTTTTTTTAATACGATTTTCATATATATTATCTTGAAAAAAAATAAAAATAAAAACCTTAATAAAATTTATACAACTATAAATAAAAAATAAAAAATAAATAAATTTTAAATAGGTAGTGTAAACTAATAAATTATTAATAATAAATTATGATAGTATTTTATTATTTTTATATTAATAGTATTATAGATATTTTATAAATATAAATCAATACGTATGATTATAAAAAATTTCGAATATGTATTTAAATATTTTTAGTATTGTATCACTTTAAATTATAAAATATATGAATATAATATAAAAAATAAATATATTTATTTATAATTAATTTAAACTTGTTTTATAACTGAAAAATTTTAGATAAAAATATTAAAAAATAATAAAAATAAAAGAATTTTTGAGTGAATTATAATTAATAATTTAATTAAATTAATTTATATTTTTTAATTATATTTAAAATAACTAAATTATTAAAAATAAAAAATATTATTTTTTCTAAAACGGACAAAAAAATTAAAAAATAAGAAACAAAATCATCTGTGTATGACAGATAGAGTAATATATTATATATATAATGAATACAAATAATCTGAAAATGAAAATAAAAATGGGAAAGAAAAAGTGCATGAAAACAAGGGAAAGACTACACTAAACACTACTACTACAGTCTACAGAAGGTTTGAATATGGCTGCGTGAGCTGCGTGGGAGGGAGTAGGGAGCGATATGTGGTGTACACAAACACCGCCCACAGCGTAACACCCCCCGCCACCCACCCACCCACCCACAGATATATATATATATATATATTCAGCCAGCAGTCCACCACACGCCTCCTAACCCTCATCAATACCCTCTGCTTTCTTTCTTCCTACCCACCCTCTTCTTCATCTGCATCTACCTACTCCTTCTTCTTCTTCTTCTTCATTTCTTTGCGCCATTCATTCATTCACTCCGCCATCGGAATCATGGCCAAGGTCTTCACGATGCAAGAGGTTTCCCAGCACACCTCCAGGGAGGATTGCTGGCTGCTTATCGACGGCAAGGTTATGACTTACGTTATTTCCATTTCAATTTTGTAATTCCAATTCCAATTCAATCAATCCTCTGTCTCTTCAACAATTGCGGTTCGTCGATTACGTTTTTCAAGCTTTTTGTGTTGGTTGGATCAATTTTGCGTCTCAATTTGAATATATGTTGTTGCTACTTGCTAGTGCTCCCTTCCCTGTTTGGATTTCAGAAGCAGAATTCAGATCTAGATAGAATTCCAACTGCACAAAGAGAAACAGTAGTATATATGGCTGACAAGCTTTTCCATACAGTCATGAGTCTTTTTTGTCCGTCTATTTATGTAACCGGATAGATTTTTCTATTGCTGCTGCAAGGTAGATTTCCTGTTTCCTTGTTGAACCTTTTACGGTCTTCTTTGAGCTAATTTCCCCACGTTAATCAATCATGATTGCCAGAGCTAAAAGTTTGTCTTGATACCCAAGGAAAAACACCTTAGTTTCATCGATAGAATCGTTTCTTCCAAGGTTCCGATCAAATATTATATAATGATGACGATGGAAGACTACCATTCTTTTGCAATTAATTAATCTTTTCTCATAGTTTTCAATTTGAATTCCGAGGAATTTGTTGGTTACCACAAACCGTAGCTGGTTTCTGACTGAGCATTAATTCATTTATCATCTTGTAATTGTTGGAGCAGGTTTATGATGTGACCAAGTTCCTGGAAGACCACCCGGGCGGGGACGAAGTCCTGTTGGCTTCAACTGGTATTTCCAACATTCCATCAGATCAAATTACATTACTATTCATTAGGAAACTAATTGGATTGAATCACAGTAATGGTGTTGTGTTGTGCTTGATTCAATTGCTCTGCTCGCTATGGCGATTGATTGTTGTTGTGTTGCAGGAAAGGATGCCACCGATGATTTCGAGGATATCGGACACAGCGATTCTGCAAAGGCTTCGATGGAAGAGTTCTACATTGGTGACATTAATGCATCGAGCATTCCATCGAAGAAGTCGTACGTCCCTCCCAAACAGCCTCTCTACAACCAGGATAAAACGTCCGAGTTCATCGTCAAGCTCCTCCAGTTCTTGGTTCCTTTGATCATTTTGGGCGTCGCAGTCGGCATTCGCTTCTACACCAAAGCTGCAATCGCCTGAAGGGGTTTCGTCTAATTGTATCGTGGTCGTCGTCAGATTCATCGACATTGGCAATAATTCAGTTTGGCTATTGTTCTGCGGAAGCATTGTGATGTAGTAGTACTTTCTTGGTTTTGTTTATCTGAAACTTAAAGCCAAAAAAAGAAATATTTATGTCAAGGATTTCTTGGATTGAACTTTGAAGCCGGTTGATATATTGTTTTTTAATGGTAGGATGTGTTTGATACTTACTTGAAATATTGAATGCAATCGATCAGGTAAAAGAAGTGGCTGGCTCAGGTAACAGAGTGTGCATATTGAACTTAAAAGGTCATTTCAATTTACGCCAATACTTATTTTACGATGCAAGAAAAGTCCAATGTGAGGTTTAATCAATCAACTGTCTAATTTATGAATAAATAAACTAAATTAAAAGAAGAAGCTACGGTCACATCAACATATTGAAAGAAAAAGTGAACAAAAAAACACAACCACAACACACAACATACACAAAACGTAGTGCTCCACCACGAGGGAACCCACGCGGACATTTTATATTATTATTATTATTATGGAATCTATTGTTAATAAAAGAAAAAAAGATTAAATTATATTACGTCTTTGTATCTTCAAAAATATGTTTACTTTATTTGTATTTTCTTATAAAATGCAAAGAAAATGAACTCACCTTGGAACGGAAAAAGTATTGGATTAGGATACAATAACGTAAGTACAGCATAAAGGGAGAAGTACTAAAGATTATATAGCTAATACAAAAAGGGTTTGTTCCTTTAAATTCATTATTATTATTATTATTATTATTATTTATTGTACAATAACATATTTGCTAATAAAAAACATAATTATTCTCTACATAAAACATTACACTCAGAAATTATTTTATCTAAAGTTAATTTTTTCAAAAACAATAAAAAATCAAAACACTCATAATACAAAAAGAATACATCTAAGAGATTTACTCGAAGAAGAAGAAGAAGAGGGAAAGGCATTTGAGATTTGAGACATGCACGATTGGCAAAGCGAAAAACGAGCAAGAAATGTAGTAACAATTTTTTTAATCAATAATGCAAGAAGTTGAATTACATCACATTACATGTTCCTACTATGTCTCAACTTACAGTGCTTCGACGGAGACGACGACGAATCCGCGCTATGTCCGAATCCAAAAATGCTCCCAATGAGCCTCCTCCCAACAATCTTCTTCATCGTCATCTTCATCAACTTCCCCGAAGAACCTGTCGTCTTCTCCATCATGTTCTTCTTCATCGACACGTGCTCCTTCTCCAGGTCGTTCAGCCGCATCCGCAGCCTCGCCAGCTCCAGCTTCAGCTCCCGATTCTCCCTCCGCAACGACGCGTAATTGTCCCGCGGCGACATCGCCGCGCTCAGCGCGCCGCTGCTAATCCGCCATGACTGCTGCACCGCCTTCCCATCCCCACCATCGTCGGGATACGAGCAGAGCAGCGCGTTCCGCAGCCGCAGCTGCTCGTAGTACAGCACCTGAACGATCGACTGCAACGGCAGCCGTTCGTTCTGCGCAGCATGCGCGCCGGCCTCCTGCGATAGCTTCTCGAAATTGATCACCTTGCAGAGCTTCTGCCTCTCGGGATCGCTTAAATTCGGATGAGCCTGCAGTCGAAAACGGCGTTTAATTTAGTCGAGCGGGCTGCAAAATTGATCGATCGAATAAGAATAATACGATTAGTATACTTACTTTGAGATAGACGTCGATCGCGCGGTACAGCCCGTCGTGCGCTGTCCGAGCATGCACAGGCAAGCTCTCGGCGACGGCGACGAACTTGTGGAGCTTTAGGTTCACGTCCGGGGCGATCTCCGCGAGGTAATTGTCGAGTAGCGTCGACACTTTGAATAACGCAGTTTGGGAAGGGGACGACGCGCTGTCGGATTCGAATAACGAGCCGTCGTCCATCCCGTCGTCGCTGTCGTCCTGCTGAGAAAAGTTTACGAGGATTCGGTGAACTGTGTCGACGTCGAACAGAGTATCGCCGGCGTGGCGAAAGGCGGGGATTAGAAGATCGTCGAGAGTGGCAGTGTCCAGCTGCGATCCGATCCGCCTCTCCAAGTTGAGGCGGCAAGCAACCGTGCAGTCGAGCGACACGGCGCTTCTCAACAAACCGAAGAGAAAGTTAACCGGAACGGCGAATTTCTCGACGGGCAGGAGGGTGATGATCGTCTCGACAACGAGCCTTTCATGGCCGGAGATTGAATCGGATTTCTGGCTCGATTTCTTGAGGAGTTCTTTCTGCGCGTAGCTCATGAGGGAAGCGCCGATGCTTTCTGGTCGAACGCCGCGGCACTTCATCGCAGCGATTACTCTTTCATACAAATCGATGCGAAGAACCGAGAGGTCTTCGATCCACCAGTCGCCTTCATTCTTCGTCTGCTTGCTCATGTGGAGTCGTCCCGAGCTGCTGTATTCCAAGCGGGAGAAGCTTGACGCGATCTGTTCGACGCAGGTTTTGGAGGCAATGGCGTCGATGCATCTCGTCACGATTTTGAGACTGTCCGCGAGCGGGAGAAGGGTCTCGCAGTGCTGGAGGACTTCCACGCACATTTCTAGGCTCTTGATCACGACGCTGTGGAGATATTCCTCTGCCCGGGAGTTGAGGTTGTTCTTCGAGTAGTCTTCGGTCATTTCGAGGTAGTCGGAGACACAACAGAGATGAGCGACGTTGGCTGCTGTAATCTCGAAATTAACGCCGTAGCAGAACTGCGCCGCGAGTTCGAATGCCTCGGGACCTCCCGGCAGGCTGACGAGCTCGATCCTGGAGGCATTGGTGTCCCTGCAATGCTCCGAAACCAGCTTCCGGATTCGTCCGCTTCGCGAGACAAGAGGGAACTGCAACGTCCAGATTTACGTTACAATGCAACATAAATGTGGAGAGACATTATTGCAAAGAAAATACTAAATATTCACTGTGATAATTAATTTTTCGTTCAAAATATTATATGCCGAACATCTGATTACGTCGTATAAAACAAACACGTTTTCAATTTTAATTTTTTTTACCATGTCAAGACGTCAAGCCAAAATCCAAACTTTAAGGGAAGACAGCAAGCGGAACATCACCTTATGAAGGGAGAATGTGGCACCATCCACTTCAATAATTATATCACTTGGAACATCCCGAAACACCCTGCAAACACCATACCAGCCGCAGTAATTAAAACAAGTTTAACCAAGAATAATTAATCCATTAGTATAATGTAAGAAGGATGGAAGTCAGAGGTAAAAGGTATTAACTCTGCTTCAACCTTGCTAATTCAAATGTAAAAAATTAATAATGGATCAAGCTTGAGCATTCAAGGGTCTAAAGATTTTGTCCTAAGTTTTGTATGAGAATATATATTAAACTGAAACACACACATATAAACATCCAAGATGATGCAGATAATAGTATCAGTAGGAAACTTCAATGATCATCCCACAAATTTAATCAAGCGTATGAAGTAACAGAGCCTAAATTCCAAACTCAAATTTCAATCCACTTGAAGAAGAAGTAGAGAATCCTGTCCAATCACTTTCATAGTACCATGAAATGAAATCCCTATAAACTCAGCATCAATCAACCAGCAACACAGATATATATATCTAGAGAGAGAGAGAGAGACAAAAAGGCTAACCATTCAGTGCGGCGGTGGGGAGCAGAGGAGGGAAGAAGGGTGTCCATGGAAGGGAAGAGCTCCTAGTGCTGAAAGAAATAATGGCGGTGGGAGAGAAAACGAGAATGAATGTGGGTGGGGAATAGAAAGAAAGAAACACCAAAACATGAAACAAAGTGAGGATAGAGAAAGGTGTCGATGGAGAGGGATATCATATATGTCGCAGCTGGCAGTGTTCTTTGGCCACTTTCGTCGAACAGTTTGTGTGCATACAGACATTGCAATCTGTCCATCCAGAGGGACCTCCCTCTCTCCCTCCCTCCCGTGGGTCATCCCATCATCTTCCATTCGGTTTTCTACCTTTTTTTCTTTTCCTAAATCCAATACACACACAGGCTCGTCACTTTACCACTGATGAATTTTGAATGGCCGTGAAAAGAGCTTCCTTTTTCCTTGCTACCTCTCCCAGCCACCATTAAAGTCAGGAACTTGGAGCAGAAAAAATGGGGGGAATTAAACGGCGCAGCCCAAAAAGGAAGGGAGATCGAAAAGTCGGCGGTATGTAATGTGTTTTGACCGACACTCACAGAATCTGTCTGTCCTTCGTCGGATCCAATCATTGCTTCACTTTTGCACACCTCCCATTTTCGATTTTCCATATGAAGCCGAGCTTTCTCACCTTACCTTTTCTCATGCACCAAAGGTACGTTTTTTTTTAAAAAAAATTATTATTATTATTATTTTTTTTATATAAAAGAATAAAAATAAAAATACGACCAGAAGCAATGGTGTTTATGGGAGGAAGTAACTATGAATAAAAAATAAATATATATTTGAGATTCATAGAACATGAAATAATTCAGTTGTTCTTTTATATTTTATATAATAATTTTCAACCTCAAAGATTTTAAAAAAATAGATAGAAATAAACTCATCAAACAATTCATCCTATTTATTCACGAAATTTGAACCGATTAAGATTCTAAAGTAATAGAACTTATTTTTCCACCCATATAATATAGTAGTAATACAATTAATTTGTTCCTATGTTAAAAACCAGTATTTGTAGGTCATGTGTTGCAATAAGTATTCAATACAAAACTTTTTGTTATTATTTCCATAAGTATTCAATACATATTAATTATCGAGTCAAATGTGGAATGGGCAGTGGCAAGTCATGTTGGGCCATATTTATGACATGGGCCCCGCCCCACCTATCATCCAAACCCTCCAATTATTTCATCATATGCTCCAATAATATATATATATATATATATATATATAATAAATTCATTATTTTTGTAGTCACACGAATAAAATCTTACTAGTTGTACCGTATGATGTATGTAGGTCGGCTTGTACTATACTCTACTTCTTTTCAATATCAATATCAATATAAAAACAATGTAATAAAACTTCCAAATGAGACACAGTCTATAAATTAAAATTTCTTCTATTATATATAGTGAAAGATCAAAGAATGAATGAACCTGCACAACTCATAAATGCATCAGTCATATCCTATCCTATATACTAATAGGTAACTATTAATAAATAAATAAATAAAGAAATTGGAAGAATGCGACGGAGTGGAGTGGAGTGGAGTGAATCAATCAAGATGCATGTGTGATGTTAATGTTATACCTCCCTCGACACCAATCTGTTTTCCCAAAAGACAAAAAACTAATATGGACATTCTCATCTATCAATTTTATTTTCATTTTTTAATCTTGCAACCCAATTCATGTGATTCATGAAAATGTCTTACTCTTGGAAAATATTTTGGGTTCCCTGTCTATCTATTCAAGGTACGTATATTTGTGCATGTGGGGCACTGAAAATAAATATTAATTACAATATTCATTTTATGTTTTGGAAGAAAGTCCAAAGATGAGCAGCCAGCCCCATATCTACACAAAAATATGATCCAAATTCAAATAATTGCATCTACCCATTCTTGATTTGGCATCCCTTACTTTGCTGTTTTTACTATAATATCACCTCTCTCTTTATACTTATATATTTATCAACACTTCAAACTCTAATATCTCAAAATTTTTAGTTACTTTAAACTCTACTATTTCAATTTATTTTTTTTACTTAAACGAAACTTTGCATTTAAATTTAAACTATTTATTTGATTTTTAATTATAGTAATGCTTTTTTTATTTTTATTTTTTTATGATATTTTATATAAAAATATATTTTTATTAAAATTTGTATCCAAGTATAAAATTAGTTTCAAGTGCAAACTATATATATATATATATATATATAGATATTATACTACACTCTCTTTACTTTGTAATTGGGTTCAAATGTTTTACTAATATAGTTTTCATAATTTCTATAAAAATACGCCATGTATCATAACATTCAAATTATTTTTTAAATAAAACTTTAAAATTATAACCAAATAAAATAAGCACACATTTAGATTTTTTTTACAAAATTTGATTTTAGAATTATTCAACACACATTTGTTTAATTGTATTTTTATACATTTATTTTTACTATATATTTGTAGTAATTTATATGATGTCTTAGTTTTCTCAATTTCTTTATTGTGCAATACTTTTCATGAAAAACATCATATATATTAACAATTGTTCAATTCAGAAAATAAAATTCCAACACAAATTCAAAAACAAAATTGTTTACTTGGGATTGACTTTGCATTTTGATTTAAAGAATAGTCTACGAAAAAAAATACTATTTTAAGTATGTATTAAATTTTAATGTACATATAGAGAGTTTCTTATATGTTTAATATATTATATTATATTAAATATTTATTTATATTATATAAATAAGTATTTTAATTTATTTTTTTGTTACTTTTTTCTAAAATAATAAAGAGTATGTTTTTTTAGCCAAGTTTTCTCAAATTTTACGATTTGAACTCTATCTACATTTTTCACTATCACAAAACATCGATAGAACATTATTTTCATACCAAATTGAAACCAATTTTTTTTTCCAAACTCGTGAAAAAAAACACACCCAAAATATCGAATCACAATCAAAGTCGATAGTCCAAAATGCAAATAAATGTACCCATCCAAATTGTTTGATACCAGTCCAGAAAATTTAAATGGAAGTCTACACACACACCTTAAATAAAATAGATAAAAGTATTATGAACAATTAAAAAAATGGAGTATATATTCAGACTAGAGTGCCAAGTGGCAGCGAGTGCGGGCGCAGCAGTCAATTACATTTACAGTGAGATTGCGAGTTGCTCATCAGATTGCAGAATCAACAGCAGCAGGAGCAGCGACACAGGAATTTTAGTATATTCATGTCGAAGATCGATAGCCGCTATCTATAATTGTGCTTATGCTCTCCTAAGTAACCGCAATTTATGCGCGTAAGTTCTGGTGGCAGCACGGGATTTAGGGATTCCACACGAAACTCCCCATGTGCCCATGTTCATTTTGATTAATTAGTATTCCCCGAATTCAATCACTGATTATACGACCATGAGTTGATTATTTCGATCTAGTGTTCTTTTTGGGTTTTTTTCCCTGCGGAATCTTGTGTCGAAGTTTTGGCTTGTGCTGGGTTAGTTTCCGTGAGATACTCTTGGTTTTTATGTTTTATTTTTATACTGTTTGAAATTGTTGTTTTTTCACGTTTCCGAAATTGGAGGAAAGGATTATTTGGTCTTTCGCTGTTTCGAATTTTTTGGGGAGCGCTGGTTTTCAGTGTGATTTTGTTTGCTTTTTCTTGAGGTCTTCTAGGTAAAATGTATGAATAATGTGAGGATGTTGATTCCTCATAGTTGTGATTCACACGTGGAGCCTTTGGTTCGATTACTTTTTCTGGATGACTTGTGGTCTATGCTTTTGATTTTAGTTCCTCATTTGAATGATTTTGATGTGACTGCAATGCTTGCACAACTCATTCTGAAATCATGGTTTGTGTGGCGGCCTTTGGATGGATTTTACCGGAAACTGTGTATTATTAACTTTGGAATGACGGAAAATAAAATGCCTTTATATATACTGGTTAGCGGGAGAGGATAAGTTGCCTTAATTAACTGATTTCTTTTGATTTTCCATGTAGAAACTGTCTAATTAGCTTTGGATTAATGTGATAAGTTGCCCTAACTGATATTTTTGACAATTTGATTTGCATCTTGATTTACTATGGTTTATTGACTTACTTTTGTTGAATGTTTTTATTGTCTCAAATGAATATGGGAACATTTTTTAAATCTTGGGTTTGTTTCTTTGTCAGTTAGTTTGTTGCTGTTTGGCATATGAATTGACAGGGACATGGTGTTATATAATATTACTGAGCAATATTGTTGTGTGATCAACTTTGTTGTTGGCTATGTTCACAGGAATTCAAACCCATAGCATTTTTGGGGATTAATCATGACTCGCAGAGGTAGTGGCTATGAAGGCATAATTATGTCCCGTAACACTAATTTCAGCATTGCTCATGGAGGTCTTGAATCTGGAGTTTCTACTGATCACAAGATTTCAACATTTGATGATGCAAAGCCTGGTATGGCTTCAAATACTGCTGTGCATGAGCTACTCGAGTGTCCTGTTTGCGCTAATGTGATATGCCCCCCAATTCAGCAGGTTCATACATACCTGGTCTTGCCCGGATGTATATTTGTGTTTATAATTACCCGATATTGGTTTCAGAAGATACATTTATATCTGTGGATCAGGGCATATAATGTCAAAGTCAGAATATACTGCCGAATTGTTGATTTTTGTGGTGGTTATATTTATTTTAAGGTTGGAACCAATTAATGCAAACTTAAAACAAGACTGGAAAATTAAATTTAATATGAGCTGTGGATTATAGTTTAAAATCTTTCATCTTGTTTCTCTATAGAAAACATTTCAAATTGAGTTACTGAAGGCAATATATGCTATCAGGATTGCTGCTGTCGAATTCTTTATGTTTTGGTACCGGTACCTTTTAATACTTATTTATATGTGAAAGAAGGTTAAATTTCAGTTAATTGTGCTTTCTCTTGTATTGGTTTGACAATGCTGACAATAATCTAATTTATACTGTCTTATGGACTACTCTATCAGTACCGTAAGTTTGCTTACTTAAACAGAAGTTACCATATTTGATATGAAGCTGGCATCGACACATTTTATATATTCCCGGTATTAATTGTTTCCAGTTGCGGTGTCCAAATGGCCATACCCTCTGCTCCAAGTGCCAATCAAAAGTACATCATTGCTCTATTTGTCACCATGAGCTAAGGAACATAAGATGCTTGGCCTTAGAGCGAATTGCAGAGTCTCTTGAATTGCCATGCAGATATCGAGATCTTGGCTGTTCAGATATTCTCTCTTATCAAGGCAGGCTGAGGCACGAACGCTGTTGTAGGTTTCGCCCCTACAATTGCCCTTATGCTGGAGCTGAATGTCCAGTCACTGGCGACATTCCGTTTCTTGTGGCACATCTAAAGAGTGACCACAAGGTCGACATGCACGATGGATGCGCTTTTAACCATAGATATGTCAAGTTGAATCCACAAGACATTGAAAGCGCTACATGGATGCTAACTGTAAGTGTCACACTAGCTACCTCTTAAAATGTTTCTTCATATAATTATTAGCATTAGGCTGGAATCCGGAGTAGAATCTTATTTGTTCATCATTCTGCTTGCAACCATATCTTGAATCGTTTATAAAACTTATTGCAGGTATTCAATTGTTATGGCTACCAATTCTGTTTGCACTTTGAGGCATTCAATTTAGGAATGGCTCCGGTGTACATTGCATTCATCCGGTTCATGGGCGATGATTGTGATGCTAGGAAGTTTGCATACAGCTTAGAAGTTGGCGCAAAGGGCAGAAAGCTGACATGGCAAGGAATTCCTAGGAGCATTCGCGATAGCCATACAAAAGTGCGTGACGCCATGGATGGGCTAATTATTCAGAGAAGCATGGCACTCTTCTTATCAGGAGGTAACAGACAAGAGCTGAAGTTGAAAGTGGCCGGGCGTATATGGAAAGAACAAACAAAGGAAGCGGCAATAAGGGCGCCGCAAGAACACACATAGGATCAGCCGGGCCGGGCCCGGTGCGGCATCGCCTGTTTTATCCATCTGTACATGAAGTGCACAACAATGTGGGCTAATCTTTTAACTGATTTATAGCTCTAACAAGATAGATATATGTCTGTCTGAAATTGTACAACTGGTTTAGGATTCCTTTATAGTGAATTCTTACACTCGGCTTTTGATAAATCTTTGAGAAGTTTCCTTGTTTTCGCGTTTATTATATGCTCTGCTTCCATTTCATTGGAATGGTTAAAAGGATTTGTCTTTTTATTTTCTTAAACGCTACTATTTAATTATTTAATTTTAGCGCCACGTATAAAAGTAACCTTTTTCACACTTCTGTCGTCGTTAGCAAAAACGAATGCTTTGCCGCCACATTGAAGCCCTCCTCCGGCTGCCGAAACTCTCCGCCGCGCTACTTTCCCAGCTCCACTGTTTCCTCCTCAAAACCCCAATTGACCACCATGGCTACTTCTCTGATCGTATCCTCTCCATCGATTCCTCCGCCTCCGCCTCCCTCCACCACGCGCGCAAGCTGTTCGACTCTTCGGCGATTGCGCCGTCGCCGGTTTTTCCGTGGAACACGCTAATCAAAGCGTATTTGAAAAGTTCTGCTGCGGTAGAGTCCGTCAAGCTCTTTGTGGAATTCCTTCGCGTGTATGCTGATCTCAGACCTGATAATTTTACTTATCCAGCAGTTATCAAGGCGTGCGGGCGGTGTTCTATGCTTGGCGTCGGTGGATCGGTGCATTCGATGGTTTTCAAGGCAGGTTTTGGCTTGAATTCGCATGTGAATAATACTCTCTTAACTATGTACGGCGACTGCGGTGTCGTTGAGTTTTCCAGGAAAGTGTTCGACGAAATGCGCGAGAGAGATCTGGTGTCTTGGAGTTCGATGATCGCTGTTTATGTTGATTGGTATGAAAATCTGGATTGTTTTACAATGATTTACACTTCTTGATTTCTTTGTTTTTTACGTCCCTCAATTGCAGAGTCACATGAAAATTTGGTCCGAGCTAAATGATCTAGGTTTTTGGTCTGCAGCAAACGTGATTTGGAAGGCTTGAAGATATTTAAGGAGATGATCACAGTACATGTGAAGCCAAACTTTGTAACTTTTGTTACTTTGGTTGCTTCTTGTACGAACCTCCTCAACATTCAGCTAGGAAAAGCAATTCATGCATATATGCTTGTTTATGGTGTTGAGTTCAATGTTATCTTGGGCACAGCACTCTTAAATATGTATGCAAAATTTGGTCATTTAGAGGAAGCCTCCTGCATTTTTCATTCCCTCAGTGAGAAAAATCTGCAATCTTGGACAGTTATGATTTCATGTCTTGCATACTGTGGCCGCGGAGAAGAAGCACTATCTTTGTTTAAAAGAATGGAAGTTTCAGGCTTGAGACCTGACAGCATGTCATTTTCGGCAATACTTTCTGCTTGCAGTCATGGAGGTCTTCTGGATAAAGGCCGTGAGCTCTTTAAGAAAATGGTGAATGTCTACAATATCAATCCCACAATGGAGCATTATGGATGTATGGTTGACTTACTTGGCCGAGCGGGAAAGATTGATGAAGCTTATCACTTGATTAAGAGCATGCCGATGAAGCCGAACTGTGTCATTTTAAGGAGCTACATCAGTGCTTGTAAGCGTAACAGCCGTGCTCTTTATGCTGACAGATATTTGATGCAACTTCTTCTTGAGATAGAGCCCAACCTCGGATCCAACCACGTACTTGCTGCGAGTGTGTCCTCCGTGACTGGGTTCTGGGAAGACATGGATAGAATGAGACATGACATGAAGAGAAAAGGGTTGAAGAAAGGTGCCGGTTGCAGCTGGATTTGAAGAAATGATCAATTTTCTTGCCTTTGGGATTTGCTCTGGTGAATGCGGATGCTTTTGGTATGGCATTGGCGCGTAAAGTAATTCTTTCTTCTTGCGGATGCTTTTGGTATGACATTAGCAGGAATGTGTGCTGCGTATCATGACAGTGCAATTTGATTTATCCGAATGGATGTTGATTTACTCTGGACTTGTTATTTTCGTTAGGGGGAGGGAGCTATGAGTTAAAGGTGGTTGCAGCTGGAAGTGGGTGCATACAGTTGGATGATGTATCTAATCCTACAACTATAATCCAAGAAATGGCTGGTTCTCGACCTGAAGCATATATATACACTGGTACGTTTAAATTTTTACTTGTCCCTGCTTAATTTCTAAGAAAATTTTAACTAAGAATGTACGAGTTTACTTGTGGAGCGGTTTGATTTATTTGGGTGAGTTGGCAATAGAATATTTTTAAATTTGAAGTAAACTCAGTTCAATATATTATGTGGTAACAGTATTGAATCTTGTCGATTATTGGAGTAATTAGAGGATGCCTTCCTAAGGTTGTTTTAACTTTAAGCCATGGAGTTTGGGCTCTAAAACTCCACCAGTAAGCAAAGAATTGGGCTCATGAAGGATAGTTTAGAATTTAGAGAAGCCACATAGGGTAGGAAGCTGTTCAAAGTAGGAGACAATCCCAAATGTAAGAAACTACGAACGGAAAGAGGATTGTAGTGTAGTGTAGCGTCTCTAATTTAATTCCACAATCCAAGGCAGAGAAGAGAATGGAGAATGGAAAATGTTGGAATGATCCTTTCTTATTGTAGTTTCTTGAAATTAAGGAATAAGATTTATATTTACACGCCGAAGCCAACAAAAGACTAATCGATGGTATCTATTAGGGTCCCAACCAAGTAAGCAAGCCCTTATTGAAATTTACTCAAATATAATAAGTTGGAATGGAGAGTACTTAATTAATTAGTCTTTCTTGAAAATAAGGAATAAAAATTTAATCCCAAGTTTGTTTATTTATTTGTTTGACGAAGACGTGAGGAAAATAAAATGAAACACGTGAATGGTTAATTAATGATGATAGTCTGTCTGATTTTATCCACATTGGATCCATGTGTATCTCAATCAATCTAAACATACAAATTTATTTTAACTATGTTTTACAATTTCTCTTTACACTTTTTAGATTATCTTTCTTGAGAATTTATTCAAGTAGTGTACTTCCAAGGATGGAGTATTTGATAATTCTGAGAATGAATAATATTTTCAACCCTCAATTCAATCTTTTATAGTACTAGTCTGTAATATATGCGCAAGTTGGATATTGAATATTCTTACCATACTTTGCAGCATGATACCTGCAAATTGCATAAATTAGGAACAGGAGGAGTCAAGAGTCTAAAAACCATTCCATGATGACGAAACTACTGGATAAGGCTTAGGGTTTCTCCACATGGTAGAATACTATATCTATGCAACATACAGTAATTAATTAATAACAATGACAGCACAGCAGCAGATTATTTAATTAGAGGATTATTTTAGTCTTTTTGTTATGATTTCAAGAATACATTCTTTTTTCTTTTTTTTTATATTTTCTTTTGGGAGCATTTCCTCTTGCTCTAATCTCCCCCTAGCTAGTAAGTATTATATTGGATGCATCCATCCATCCATCTCCTGATCTCCTCTCCTCCATTACCATTGGAGTACCAAAGTTATGCCTATTGCATAAAAATGTAGTCAAGTCAAGAATAATTAATATAATCAAACACCCTCCTCAAAGCAACACCAAATCCAAATACCATTGACAAAATCATACATTAATGCATGCCTGCCTGCCTCCCTGCCTAGCTAGCTAATTAAGTCCTTGGCTGCATTACACAATTAGACAAGTAACATTAATTAGCCAACACAATCGATCACTAATTAAATTTGAGTGATCTATATATGTATTAATTGTATGTAGTAGTAGATCAATGATTAATTAATTGTACTGGCTTACCACCGGAAATGATGATCCCTTATTCCCCAGCTCGCCGTGTAGAAACCCCTTCATCTCTTCGCCGCCGCTGTCGTTGTAATCTTCTGAGAAGATTCCGGCGGCGGCGGGGGCAACACGGCTTTGACGATCATTAGAGTAGATGGAGTAGAGCACCAGATAGGCGGCGACTCCCAAGGCGGAGACCCCGACAACGTAGTAGCTGAAGAGGATGTTGGCGAGGGACTTGGCCCGGTCTAGCGCCCCGGAGGCGACGTCACAGATGATGACGTCATGGCCGTCGTCCTTGGCGAGCAGGCAGCCCTTGGGGATGAGGGCCGGGGTGTAGAGCATGAAGCCGATGACGACGAGCCACACCCCCTGCGCCGCCACGGCCAGCGACCTGGCGAAGCTGAGCAGGAAGCTCCTGGGGTAGCGGATGCTGGCGAGGGTGGCGGCGAGGGCGGCGAAGATGACGAGCTGGAGGAGCCAGTGGTACTGGCCCTCGAGGCCGGCGTGGTCGGCGGAGTGGAGGTGGAAGAGGAGGAACTCCTGGGCGAGCATGACGACGCCGAGGAGGTGGGTGAGGGCGCCCGCGGCGGGGGGGTTGAGGCGGTCGAGGAGGAGGGCGAAGAGGGCGTAGGAGAGGATGGAGAGGGAGATGTTGGAGTGCTCGAAGTTGTGGAGGTGGTTGGCCGGGATGGTGGCGTCGGTGTCGAGCGGGTGGTGGCGGCGGGGCATGATGAAGAGCTCCATGGAGATGGAGGTGGCGGCGGCGGCGGCGATGAAGTAGAGCTCGAGGTGGCGGGAGAGGCGGGTGGGGAACCAGGGGAGGGAGACGTAGGTCTTGGGGCTGGCGGCGTGGATCCGGGTGTGGTTGAAGAGGTGCCAGAACCCGATGGTGCAGAACGCCAGCCCCGGCGCCACGTGTCCCCTGAAATTTCCCATTCTTCTTCTCTCTTCCTTTCTAATTTTGGTGAAGGAGGAAGCCGAGTGAAGCGGGCATTGGATTGGATTGGATTTATACGGAACAACTCACAAAGAAGGAAATATATGCTGTGGGTGACTTAACAGCAGCAACCCATGTGCTAACCATATTATTATTAGCGATAGGTTTCAGCAGGGAGTTAGTCCATGTAGGATATATTTAACACGTTCCAATCGTGATCATAATCTCAAAAATTTATAACAACCTAAAACCAAATAGGTGTTATATTGTATATAATAAAAACATCTATTGTTGCTGTATTTTATGTGTACCGATTTAATGTTTGGAGATAGGCAGAAAGAGTGATCTTCATCCTACTATCAGTGTAACACTAATTATATACTACATAGATTATTATCATAACATATATTATTCAATTTGGAGGAGGATGAAAATGAGAAATACCATGTGCATAATAGACGATTAATCTATAATACAAACAACATGGAATACAATTTAATTAAGATTTATGCTACTTCCTAGATGAAGTCATATATACAATTGATTGAAGAACAACATTTGACATCACTTGTTGATCTTTGATTAGTCGAACAAATTTACAATAGACTTTGATCAACCGTTTGATTGAATGAATAGCATAGGTCACATATATAACAAAGATAAAATCAACTCGTCCAAAATATGCATGAATAATAATAATAATAATAAAGAAATTTGATCAAGTTTTGTTTTGAAATTTCTTTTAGTGATTCAAATACAATATTTTAATTGTTAATAATATAAAGAAGAAAGCATAGCATAGCATAGCATGATATTTGGTGTACCTAATCCTCTTATATAGACATTATTAAACTCTACATCAGAGATAACTATAACCCTAATTTTAGAAAATGAAAAGCTAATAGATTAATAAGGGAGGCTTTAAACCAATTCATTCATGAAATAGGCTTCTACCAAACTTTCGATTAATTGTTCATAATTTAAATATTTTATTTTAATATTATCTAATATTCAGAGTGTGTTATTGAACAACACAAGAAAAGAAATATATATTCAACTTATAAACATATATATATTAAACCATTACCCGACTAAGGGTATTTGCTTCTTTTTATCAAACTTATGTTAATAATAAATCATATTTATACTTGTAAATATTAGGTGTGTTTTATTTGTATTTGTCTCTCAACTGTGATATTTGTAAGAAAAAACATTGTATTTAATAATTTATAGAGATTGAGAATAATTGTAACAGAAACAAAAAAAAAAAAAGGCATAGGTGCTATCTCCGAATTTTGATTTATTAAAATTGAAATATTTTACCAAACACACAATTACATTATTTGTTTATTTGATTGTGATTTTAAATTAAAATAAAATGAAATGTTAATTTGAATTTTTGTTTAAATAATATTTTAACGTGATATTTTATAAAATAAAATAATAGATTTGAACTTATAAAAGAACAAAACATATACTTTTGGATTTAAGCGATTCATCATAAATTTTACTCTTTAAAATAGTATTAAATTCAATATTGATTCTTTATTAAGATATTACATCTAACGTTTAATTATATAAACTATTTATTTGTTATTGAATTTTTACTGTTTTTAAATTATTTTCCTTTCATGATATATCTAAACACACTCCACGTAACTGCCACACGACAATTACTTTTTTTTTCCATTGTTTACTAATTTATTTTTTTTCAATTATTCTTAAGGTGAAATCTTCGTAAATCTGTCAGAGAGAATCTTGTCATCGAACTCAAAAAGGTTAATAATAGTATTATAATGTAGTGATTACAAAATGGTAATAATAACATAATACTGTATTTTAATAAAATAGCCCTAAACAGTAAACAACAAACAAGTGAATATGATTTGATTTGATTTGATTTCATTTGATTTGTATAAATTTTGAATGTTAGGATTAATATATATTTATAATTAATAGTCTATAAATTTTTTAAAAAAGACAACTATAATAATATAATATACTCCTTTTTTACTAAGGGTGTGTTTGTCTGGGGGTTTGGATTTTGGATTAGGATTTGAATAGTAAAAATTTTGAATTTGAATAGTTGTATGATGTGATATAAATAGGGTTTGATGTGATGTTTTGAATGTAAAATTGATTTTTAGTATAATATAAAAAATGAAAAATAGGTGTTTGATTTGATGTTTTTGGGGGGAAAAAATTGGATGAATAGTGGAAATCCTTCGAAATCCTTCAAACAAACACACCCTAAGTTAATTGATTCTTTTTTACTAGTGATATAATTTTTTAATTAATAATATTTAATTAGTTAATAATAATTATATGTGATATTATTATTTTTTTATTTTTTAGTATTATATTAGTAATAAAATATATATAATATTTATATTATTTTTTAAATAATAAAATTTTACATAACAAAATCAAATAAAAAATTTTATTTATTTATTTATAATTAACTTAAAACTAATTTTTTTAAAAAAATATTTATACATTAAAAAAAAATTAGTGGATTATATGTGTAACAAATTAGAATTTAATTAAATTAATTCATAGTTGTTAAATATATTTAAAATAAATAATTTTATTAAAAATAAAAATAATAATTTTTTATAGAAAAAAAAAATCATATAAGGCAGGAGAATGAAGTATTATAGTAGTGTATAATAAAAGTTACTACTTTTACTTGTATATATATATATATATATAAAAATAAATAAATAAAATTATTTTAAGTTAAGCAGATCATTTGGGATATATGCGACAAATTTGACTCGCAATCACGCTTTTACTGCAATTATATATAATAATAATAATAAAGGTTACTAAATTGTAAATCGTAATTACAATTCTCGAGTCACAACAAATAAATGTTTCGGGACACTACTTTCATAGGTTTCTGTGACAACATTTCTTTTATTTCATCGTTTAGCTTAAACTAAACTAAATTATCTCGAAAGTAGATACTGACCAACAAAAAATAAAAAATGAATTAATTTCATAGACAGACAGACAGACGGGGCATTATTATCTAAGCGGCGCCGGACCTGATGAGCTAGGGTTTGAGTTTATGCGTGCCTTGTGCTGCTTATTAAGTATTACTGTTCTATTCATTTGTATTCTACTTAATTTATACACACAACATATAAAATATTGAAATTAAGACAGGGTGTGGTGTGTTTTTAGTGAAGTTTGGATTTGATTTTGAAATTTAAATTTAAATTTGAATTCAATAATATGTTAAGTAGAAAATAATTGTTGGCTTTCATGATTTTGAACAAAAACAATACTAATAAATAATAATACAAGACTATACTTAAACATTAAAGTTACAAGTATGGAAAACAATATAAAATTCTCCTGTGATTTTCTAAATTTGTCGAAAATCCTTTCTTGGTTATAGAATTTCATGCTATCTACTTGTGATTCAAACAATATTGTATAAGAAACTCTAGGTTAGTAATTCACGTGTTCAAATACAATTGCTCTTTGGGTCGCACTTGCACACTATAATGCAATAATCGTAAAGTCTGTTATATTGTTCGGTTGTGCTCATCTTAACGATTCTTGCTCTCCTTTATTAAGAGTCGTACTTTGGATGCGTGAATTGTAGTCGTCATCAATTACTAACGGAAAGAGTTTTCTTATACAAGATTTTAGAAAATCGTGAGTAAATAATATGAAATAAATTTTAAAATCGGGGAAGATTATTAGCAAAATTTGAAAATCACAGTCCAGTGTTTTTGAATGTAATTTACCAAGATGGTCCATATATCAAGTGACAAGAAAAGATATTAAATATTTGAGTGAGTAGGCACAACATACCATACCATAGATGATGTCATGTCATGTCACCAACAACACTACCATACGGAACACGTGGTGTAACCGGAATTACCAACTCACTTATTCAGTGGGTGTGTATGTACGAACGAACGATTGTTTTGTTGTATGTATACAAAGATAAGATATACATGCTCCCCATTGAATAAAACATACTACTATAATATATGTAGCTAGGGATGAAAATGTGAGAATCACAAACAAACGTCACTACGTAACAATATTTATTTATTTAATTAATAGGAGTTAATATCTATGATATACGTGTTCATTATAATTTATTCGGATTTAGTAAAATCTAAACTTAATTTTGTAAACATGTCCAATGTTCGAATTATGAAATCTCAACCCAACTAAGAATCTTTAAACAAAAATAAATAATTTTATTAATAAACAAATAGTATCCAACAAATAAAAATAAATATATTATACTCAGACAAATATCACTTTTATGTAGATGTTAGAGTTTGAACTAATGACCTCACAGTATTCTATAGTACACAGGACTACTATTATTATTATTATTATTATTATGGAATATTATTTTACCACCGCGCACATACATACGCAATTATGGGAATTGAACCCTCGACCTCATATTGCCCAAGGGAGTAACTCAAGCATTGCCTGCCTGCCTATATTATTCCCTCGCTCTATATACCAACACTGCACTTCTCTCCTATCCTATATCCTATGGTCGTCGTCTTCGTCTTCATCATCTTCTTCTTCTGCAACCATTCAATTCCCAAACCCTAACAATCCAATTGAAAGCTGTATATACATACTTTCAGCAGCAACATTAACGAATCATGGGGAACATGAGAGGGCACGTGGCGTACGGCTCCGTGTTCTTCCTGCAGGGGCTATGGCAGCTCCTCAACCACATCCACCTCCACAACCGGAACCCTAATTCCTTCACCACCCTCCCCTGGTTCCCCTCCACGTTCATCAGACACTCCGAGCTCCTCCTCATCATCGCCGCCTCCTCCGCCGCCATCCTCATGGACCTCTTCGTCGGTCTCCGCCACCACCAGCCGCTCGACCCCGACGGCTCCATCCCGGCCACGCACCTCCACAGCTTCGAGCACTCCATCATCGCCCTCGCCATCCTCATCTACGCCCTCTTCGCGATTCTGCTCGACAAGCTCCGCGCCCCGGCGCAGTACGCCCTCACCAACGCCCTCGCCGCGCTGGCCTTCGCCCTGGAGCTCCTCGTCTTCCACCTCCACTCCACCGACCACAGGGGGGTGGAGGGGCAATACCACTGGCTCCTCCAGATCCTCATCTTCACGTCCATGGCGGCCACTCTACTCAGCATCGGCTGCCCGAAGAGCTTCCTGGTGGCGTTCGTGAGATCCCTCAGCATCGTGTTCCAGGGGGTGTGGCTCGTGAACATGGGGGTCATGCTGTGGACCCCGGGGCTGATCCCCAAGGGGTGCTTCATGAATCGGGAGCAGGGGCATTTCATCGTCCGGTGCCATGGGGAAGAAGCTCTGATGCGGGCCAAGGCGCTGGTCAACATCCAGTTCAGCTATTACACCGTGGGGGTCACCTCCTCGGCTGTTGCCCTCTATCTGGCTATCTTCAAGTTCTCTTCTGGTTCTGGTTCTGGTTCTGCTCGGTATCACCAGATTCTTCAAGTGCCCAGATTTGATTATTCTGATTCTGATCATCATCGTGGGATCGTATTGATGGAAGACGACGACCATCACCACTGTGATATAATTCATAATGGGGTTGGAACGAATAAGGCCTGTAGTTTTCTGGGAAATCCAAATCCCAAGCCTGTAATTGCTTCAATGGAAATGGAAATGGAAAAGTAACTGTAGCAGATGATGGTGTGGATCAATGAACTGGATTGGATTTGGGTTGTGTGTCGTTTGCATTTAATTTCTGCAAGAAATTGGCCCATTACTTATTATTGATGCCACAATGGCATCAATATAATTTAATTATGTTACGAAAAAACATCTTTAGAAGTAAAATTATACACTCATCATTTTAGTGTACAGCACAGACATAAAATGCTTATATTCTATATATGAAACATCATAGATAATGGTATATATCAAAGATTTATTTTTTATTCATTATTTTAAAAATTTCACCACACATCAACTGCTACTAATCTATAGTTATAGAGCTAAGACAAAAGCAGAACAGATCACAACTTGTAGTGGGATGATAGTGATCTAGCTAGCAAGCAAGCAAGCAAGCAAACATGTACATAATCAAAACCAATCAAGCCTAGCTAATGATCTTGAATTCCATTCGATCTGGGCTCAGCGTTTGGCGAAGAGGGGAAACCATCGCTCTTGGAAGGAGGTGTGGTGGGAGGTCATGAACATGAGAAGCACAACAAGGGCCGCCACTCCCACCGGCGATCCTCCCACCCGGTGCACCGAATCCTTCTCCGGAAGCAGCCGGGACACGAGCCGCAAGGGGCCGGCGCGCTCCGGGTAGTCGTGGTCGGCAGACATAGACGACAGCCAGTGCAAGAAGAGCAGCAAGAGCACAGGGCAGACCATGAGCCCCAATTTGAAGTTGTCGATGATGTCCTCAAACATGGGCTCGTAGCTCACGTACCATGTCAGCAGCAGAAACAGAACCACCACTGCCATCAAGAACAAGAAATGGATTGGGATCGACACATCCGGCATATACTCGTAGTACCATGAGCTGTTCGTCTTGTACCCTCTCCCCATCCCTCCTCTAAACTTAATTTAGCTCATGAACACACTAACTAAATATATTTGGCCAAAAACACCTGAGTGTGCCTGCCTGCCTATAAAGGAATCACAAGTCATTTCAAGAACATTGTAGAACAACAATTCACTAATTATATATTTGCCTTTTTCTATTTTCTATTATATATATTATTATGACATTCATGCACTAGAAGTGAGGGTAGAAAAGTCACTTCACACACGTGGCAGATGATAACCGAGTCGGCCCCGTACGTACTTATTACATGGTGGAACTGAACTTACTCTTCAGTGACTAATTGGTGACAAATGTTACTCGTAATTATTAAAATTGTGTTTGTCTAATTGCATTATTGTTTAATGAATACGATCATGCTAAGGTGGACAAATGGAAATAGGTTTGGCTGGCCCGCGTATTAAATTGATCTTATTACAACTTTACATCTAATTAATAATTAATTAATGGCCATGAGTATTGAGTCGTGGTGGTATCTGTTATAGTATCTACTGACTTGATCTTGATCACATCTCGATATCACATCAATAAATTAAAAATAATATTGTCTATATTATTTGCTAGATTTTCTTTTTTTAAGGTTTTTTATTATGCCACCCCTGACCTGCCTTCCCGACAATTTTTCCTCCCCCCAATAATAATCATTGTTTAAACATAAAATATATATACAAATCTAGCACTTTTATTTTATTTTATTTTATTTTCACCTAACCTAATCTAAACCTAATTTAATCTTAATTATATTGTAGTATTCATTATTTGGGTCGTTACAGGTGTTGGGCCTGACCATTTAAGGCGGACCCAAAACATGAACTAATTTTAGAATTTTGATTCAAATTTAAATATTAATAATATTTTTTATTAAATATGTGCAAATAATAACAATTTCGTTTTGAAATTAAATTAAACAAATTTTTATTTAACTGTATATAAATGATCATTATTTTACTATTTATAGTAGTACTATAATTTTTTTATGAAATAATATTTAATTTCCTTTTATATTTAAAATAATACCACGTTTCACCTTAAATATTTCTAAAACTCAAAATAAAAATTAATTATAAGAAAACACATTCTTTATATTTTAAACCATATAGAAGACAGATATATATATATATGGAATAAAATTGAATAATTATAATGTTATTTATTAATGTAAAAATCATGTACATTATTTTAATTAATAGAATATGAATTATATACAAAATTGTTTGTAGCCATATTTAATTTGGATTTCTATATTGTGGGAATAATCCGGAGTGTTGCTCTGATAGAAGATTCTTTGATGTTTCAAATCGCCACCGTTGATTGCCTCAACTAGAGTTAGAGTTAATCAACGGTGTGGATGAAGTTGACGTATTGAATCAAGGTAGACGTTCATGTTTGACCTTACTTAGGTTGCTTTTAAATTCTTGCCACATTTCACGTGCAGTAGTCAATGCAACTCACGTTATTATATCGTGTATATATATATAGTCACAAAAATATATATCGTTGTAATATTATTATAGGATAAATATTAATTACTTATATTACTAACCACTATTTTAATATATTGTATATAATATATATTAGATAAATAAATATATATGTAGATGTGTGTGTAAGTGTGTATATTATAATATATAATATAGATGTATAGTATATATATATATATATACAAAGGTTTATATATATAATAACGATAGAGAAATAACAAGAGAGATAGGGAAAGAGACAAGTGAATTGAATGTAATTATTGTCATTCATTTAGATTGCATCAAACACATGTATTTATAGGTGAATATAAAACCTCACGCAGAAGGAAAAAGCATACATGGTTACAATGTAGCATCGTCGTAGGTGCTACGTATACAACACTCCCCCTTGGATGCTTTTATACAAAAAATGTGTCTTGTTAAAATCTTACTAGAAAAAAAAATACTGTGGAACAAAAAATCCTAGTGAAGGAAAAAGAGTACACCATTCTTATATTGATTCTCCCCATGATCTGAGCATTATTGGAGATCCCTGAACCGACGCATTCCAATTTTCTTTACCAGTTTTTCAAATGTTGCCGTCGACATTGCCTTGGTTAATATATCCGCCAAATTATTATTTGATCGAATTTGTTGCACATTAATTTCACCATTTTGTTGCAGATCATGAGTAAAAAAGAATTTTGGTGAAATATGTTTCGTTCTATCTCCTTTAATATAACCCCCCATTCAATTGGGCTATACAAGCCGTATTATCTTCATACAATGTAGTTGGGGAAATTTTATCGTCATGTATTAACCTGCAATTTTTTAGAATATGTTGAGTCATTGACCTCAACCAAACACATTCTCGACTAGCTTCATGTATTGCCAATATTTCAGCATGATTTGAAGAAGTGGCAGTTAAAGTTTGTTTCATCGATCTCCAAGAGATCCCTGTTTCGCCACAAGTAAATATATAGCCAGTTTGAGACTTGGCTTTTTGAGGATCCTATAAATATCCTGCATCGGCAAATCCAATCAATTCATATCGAAAATCTTTCGAGTAAAATAACCCGAGATCAATTGTTCCTTGGAGATAGCGAAGAATGTGCTTAATCCCATTCCAATGTCGTCGAGTAGGCGATGAACTGAATCTTGCTAATAAATTTACAGCAAATAATATGTCAGGTCGGGTGCTGTTAGCAAGATACATCAATGCACCTATAGCACTCATATATGGCACTTCTGGGCCAAGTATTTCTTCATTTTCCTCTTTTGGTCTAAATGGATCCTTTGCTTGATCGAGTGCTTTAACGATCATTGGGGTACTTAGCAGATGTGATTTATCCATCAGGAACTATTTTAGTACCCTTTTGGTATAATTTGATTGATGGATAAAGATTACACTTTCCAAATGCTCAATTTGCAGACCAAGGCAAAACTTAGTTTTTCCAAAATCTTTGATCTCAAACTCCTTTTTCAGATATTCAACAGCTTTCTGGATTTCATCAGAAGTTCCAATTAAATTGAGATCATCGACATATACAGCAATGATTACAAATTCAGACCCATTTTTCTTTATAAAAACACATGGATATATAGAGTCATTTATATAACCTTTTTTGGTTAAGCTTTGCTGAGACGATTGTACCACATTCGACCCGATTGCTTGAGCCCATACAAAGACTTTTGTAATTTGATGAAATATAATTCTTTTGGCTTTGATTTGAATGATTCAGGTATGTTAATCCCCCCTGGGATTTTCATATAGATATTATTGTCTAAGGAGCCGTACAGATGGGCAGTAACCACATCCATTAATCGCATATCAAGATTATTGTGTACTGTCAGGCTCACCAGATACTTGAATGTTATTCCATACATGACCGGAGAATATGTTTCTTCAAAATCAATACCCGGTCTCTGGGAAAAAGCCTGGGCTACAAGCCTTGCTTTATATCTTGTGATATCATTATTTTCATTTCTTTTTCTCACAAATACCCACCTGTAACCAACAGGTTTCACATTTTCCGGTATTTGGACTATAGAGCCGAATACTTGCTGTTTTTTCAATGAGTCCAATTCAGATTTAATTGCGTCTTTTCATTTTGCCCAATCATCTCTTTGCTGACATTCATCAACTGATTTTGGTTCATAATCCTCGTCATCTTTCATTATATCGAGTGCTACAGAATATGCAAATGCATTATCAATATTTGTTTTCTTTCTGTTCCAATATTTTCCACTGGTGGTATAGTTAACAGAAGTTTCAATAACTTCATCATCACTTTCATCAGCATTTTTAGTATCAACCTCTTCAGGAGTTGTACTGACCTTTTCAGGTATCCGATCATTGTTGATCTCTTCACCAGTATTTACAATTTTCTTCTTTCGTGGATTCTTATCCTTGGAACCCAACGGTCTGCCACGTTTTACGCGGACAGTATGCTCATTAGCACTCGGCACTTTCCCTTCTGGGATATTTATTTTGGCTGGTGCATTTGCTGCTGCAATATATGATTTCGTAACCCTTGCAACATCATTGAAACCATCAGGCAATTGATTTGCAATTTTCTGCAAATGCACAATTCTTTGAACTTCAAGTTCACTATGTTTCGTACGAGGATCAAATTCAAGTGGTGTTTTCCACAAAATTTCTTTTTTCAGCTGATTACTGTCTCCCCCTAATGTCGGGAAATGAGATTCATCAAAATGACAGTCTGCAAACCTTGCAGTAAATAAATCACCCATTGTTGGTTCAAGATATTTTGCGATCGAGGGTGATTCATACCCGACATATATACCCAACCTTCTTTGGGGTCCCATTTTCGTGCGTTGAGGTGGTGCAATTGGCACATAAACAGCACACCCAAATATTCGCAGGTGAGATATATTTGGTATTTTTCTAGAAACCAATTGAATGGGGGAATAACAGTGATAACTGGTCGGCCTTATTTTCACGAGGGCTGCTGCATGCAATATAGCATGTCCCCAACATGATACATGAAGTTTAGACCTCATCAATAATGGTCTAGCAATTAATTGCAATATTTTGATAAGGGATTCAGCCAGACCTTTTGCGTATGTACATGGGGAACAGGATGTTCCACAGTAATCCCAATTGACATGCAGTAATCATCAAATGTATGTGATGAATACTCTCCAGCATTATCTAGACGTATTTTCTTTATCGGATGATCTGGAAATTGTGTTCGCAATTTAATTATTTGTACAAGTAGTCTAGCAAAAGCTAGATTGCGAGTAGATAACAGACATACGTTTGACCATCGCGTTGATGCGTCAATTAGTACCATAAAGTACTTGAACGGTCCACATGGTGGATCTATTGGTCCACAAATATCACCCTGAATTCTTTCCAGAAAAGCTGCGGATTCAAATCCAACGTTTGTTGGAGATAGCCTGATTATTAACTTCCTTTGGGAATAGACAATACAAGCAAATTCATTCGGACTCAAAATATTTTTCTTTTTCAATCAGTGGCCATTTGAATTTTCAATAATTCACGTCAGCATTACATTGCCAGGATGCCCAAGTCGATCGTGCCAAGTTTTAAATTCGCTAGTAGCCATTTGGTCTACTAGGTGATATGTTTCAACAGCACTGATTTTTGAGTAATATAAGCCGGAAGAAAATAATGACAATTTTTCTTTCACAATTCTTTTGTCATTCACAACCTGAGTTATCAGAAGAGATTCATTTTCTGCCTCATTCAATGTTTCAAAGTGATACCCATTTTTCCGAATATCACTGAAGCTCAGTAAATTCCTTCGAGCTTTGCTCGAGAACAAGACATTTTCAATTGCCATTTTTGTCCCTTTTGGGAGATATACAATAGCTTTTCCTGAGCCTTCAATCATTTTTGATACACCACTGATAGTAACAATTGTGGTCTTTCCCATATTAAGATGGGAAAAAATAACTTTTGTTTTTCAGAATGCTGTGAGTCGTAGCACTGTCGATAAGGCAGATGTTGTCATCGGCTCCAAAATATTTGACATCCATATCTTTGCAAGAAGGTAAAAATAATAATAGAAATATATTACTAACATAATCAAAATAGACTTATATTATAGGAGGTAATACAAAAAGGGGGGCAAAAAACATCAAAATAACAAAAGAGATACAACAATATTTTATCATTTGACATCATCAGCTATATCAAGCAGATCATCGGCATCCAGGTGCGTGATATTTTCATTCATCACATCGTCAAATGTGTCATCGTGGGCAGCGTGATTTGTTTCGGGGGCAATTCCTCCCTGTCTTTCTTTTGAGGCCCGATACAGTTCAGCCAAGTGACTGGCTGTGCGAAAAACATGGGCCCAATGGCCTTTGATTCCACACCGAGTGCATTCCTCGTTATTATTTCTGTTTCTCCCGGTGTTGATCCTCTGTTGAGGTCTGTACGGCCTTCTGTCATTATAACGCCGATTTGGCATATATCGGGGCCTGTTTTGATAATTATGATGACTATATGCATTTGCCCGGCCTCGTCCGCGATTTTGATTTCGATCGCGATCAATTCGCTGATTTCTGACTTGCCCACGACCAAGCACCGGATTTGCTGGCTGTATTGCATTTCCTCTGGAAATGGATTTGCACCTGTCGGCCGAGATTCGTGATTTTTCAACAGCAATTCATTATTTTGTTCGGCCAGCAAAAGACAGGTGATTAGCTCAGAATATTTCTGGAAGCCTCTTTTGCGATACTGCTGCTGCAAAACCATGTTAGAGGCATGAAAAGTGGAGAAAGTTTTCTCCATCATATCAGATTCAGATACATTTTCGCCACAGTGGCGCAGCTGTGATGTTATTTTAAACATGGCAGAATTATATTCTTGGACTGTTTTAAAGTCCTGAAGCCGTAGGCTTTGCCATTCGCTTCGTGCCCTTGGCAACAATGTCAGCCTCAAATAATCATATCTTTCTTTCAATCTCTCCCACAATTCAAGCGGGGATTCCAGCGTGACATCCTGCATTTTCAGTGCCTCATCGATGTGATGGTACTAAAAGATCATGGCCTTTGCACGATCTTGGCTCGAGGAGTTTTTATCCGGGCAATGGTATTTTCCAAGCCCATTGATGCCAAATGCATTTTAACATCGCGAACCCATGCCATATAATTTTGGCTAGAAACGAGGAGAGAGAAATTCCTGTTTGGCAAGGTTAGTCATAATAAACAGATAAAATATGAAATATTACCTTGCGGAAATTAAAATATATAATCGTGCTGATAACGTATTGTAGTATTATTATAGGATTAGCCAATAGAAATATTAATTACTTCTACCGCTAACCACTACTTTAATATATTGTATAAAATATATATTAGATAAATAAATAAATATATATATGTAGATGTGTGTGCTTGAGTGTGTATATTATAATTTATAATATAGATGTATAGTATATATATATATATAAAGGTTTATATATATAATAACGAGAGAGAGAAATAACGAGAGAGATAGGAAAAGAGACAAGTGAATAGAATGTAATTACTGTCATTCATTTAGATTGTATCAAGCACATCTATTTATAGGTGAAAATAAAACCTCACGCAGAAGGAAAAAGCATACATGGTAAAGGTGCTACGTATACAACATATATGAGCATGCTTTTTGTATCTCCCTGTAAACAAATTGGAATCAAGAAGAATTAAACAATATATGAAAATGAAACTGAAACATATATATATATATATATATATATGACGTGAAGGTTAATAAAATGAGGAGGAAATTAAAATTAAAGAATTGAAGTTATTATTCGGTTGAAGCAACTTCAAATATTGTAAGAATGACGACAATGATTTATAAATTGTAATTAAATGTGTAAGAATGACGAATGAAGAAGATTGATAGTTACATATATACAAAGAATCTATATGTATGTATATGTATATACTACACATACAATGCAACCACTTGCCGCATATCATATCGAGCTGAGATTATTACAACAACTTAGCTTGCATTTTTAAGTATTTGGAAATATCTGCACGCATTATATATATATATATATATATATTTTTTGGATTGCAATAAAGTTATCATTTATATCTTCTTTCATTATACGTTTGTTAATTTCTTTAATATTAATAATATACTCCTTCCCTCGTTTAAATCTATTCTCACTTTTCTTTTTTGGTTGTCATCCAAATTTATTCTCGTTTTATTTTTTAGTAAAAAAATACCACTTTTCTTTAAAAAAAAAAAGTAAAATTTCTATTCTTACATATTTTTCTTGAAATCCGTGTCCGGTTAAATGAACACACAATTGGATAATGGATGGAACATATGTAATTAATTAATTGAGGTTTTTTTATTTGAAATTTAGTTTATTTTTAGATATACTATCTTCGACCTAAAAGTAAATATTCATTTGTTTTTTCAGGTAGTTTTAGAAATATTAGTATTATATTAGAATATAGTATGAATAAAGTAGAAATGACTAAAATAACCTTATTAGTATGTATGATATAAATGCAATGACATTTGTGTAATATATTGTAAATTGTAAGGGTATTTGTATGTTAGATAGATAGTACAGTTACTAAAAAAAATAAATACTTTATTACGGACTAAAATGAAAAAATGGATATTTTGTTATGGAGATGAGAGAGTAATATATTTTGTATTTGTATAAAAAAAAATTGTAAGAATTTCATAAGAAAAATTTGAAATCAAAGTCTAAGTGAATAAAGATCATTCTTTTTTTAAAAAAAATAAAAAATACTATAATCTTGCATACTGAATTATAAGCTATAACCTTCAGAATATAGTTTAATAAATTATTTAAAAAATACAATAACATGATCTTTTGAAGAAATTATTAATTATAAGAATAGAAATTTCATATTTTACTCAAATTTAAAATACATATTAAAATTTAGCTCAATTATGTATATAAACACGTGAGATGCGTGGGATGATTACATTTACATTTCAATAAAAATATGCATTATTCAGAAATAGACTATTTTAGGTTTTTTGTTTGGCTGGGGGCTGAATTTTACAAGTAAAAATTTTTGAATTTAAATTCTTATTTAATGATAATCTAATAATTATTAATATAGTAATATTTAAAATATAAAATTAATTTTTAATTTAATATAAAATATGCAAAATTAAATTGTAAGTTAATATAAAAAATAAGATTTTAATTTGATCATTTAATTTTTTTTAGAAAATAAAAATTGACGAATTATAAAATTGTATAGGGGAAAATTGCAACCATACAATTTTAGAGTTTTTAGAAATTTTTAATATTTTTGTTATTGGAAATTATGAAAGTATTATTAAAATATTTTATATAAAAAACAATATATTTTTATTAAAATCAATATATATACTTAAAATGTTAAAAATCAAAAAGCAAACACATCCAATCATCCACAATGCTTTTTTTTTTTTTTTTTTAATTTTTATTTTATGTACAATCTTATGGCTTGAAATAAAATATTTATTTATTTTTATATAAAATATTATATTCAATTATGATTTTAAGTACAAATAATAATAATAATCCCACAATCCAAACACGATCTAGACTAATAAATTAAGACGTAGCGGGGGCAGACCCTAAAACAAAAAATACATATCCTACATTTAGATCATAGCTATAATTTTATTTTAAGTTTTTAATAGTTTTCACAAAGTAGAGCAGTCCCCGTTTCCCTAACTTAATCCTATCTTTTTGACTTTCTTCTTTATTTTTTTATTTTAATTAGTTCACGAGGCTTGCATTTGTGTTGTGTCTTGATTGAATTCAAAAACGTAACCTCTTCTAGAAGATACCCACCCTTCTCTTCACAAAACCAGCAACACATTTTAGAATGTCATACATATATAATTCAACTCAATTCTTCAAATCTGTGGTCAAACGAAACCCTTCTTCCCCAAGCTAGCTGCCTCCAAAACCTTGTCAAATTTTAATTATAATTGTCAATTTTTGAAACCCCTATTTACGTTCTTAGAACCCTCTAGACACACCACAACAAAATTCAAATTTTCTTTCTTACTTACTATTAAAAAAATTATTTAATTAGTCTCTAACACACTCCCCACATATATAAACAACCACACCCCTTTATTTTGATCCCCCGAGTCCTCTCCCAACTTATAATTGGCTTTGTGGCCCTCTCTTACAACCTCCATTTTTATTACACAAAATTAAATTAAACCCCATCAAGAATTGTTCGAATATGGGCACTCTTGTAGGGCATGTGGCACCTGGATTTGGCTTCTTCATAATTGGCTTGTGGCATTTAATCAACCACATAAAGCTCCATGCAACCCATCCAAAGCTCTACACTTGTTCCCCATGGTTCCCCACTTCAAGAATCAAGTATCTCGAGCTCTACTTGATCATGGCTGCCTCTGCCATGTCCATATCCATGGAGCTCTTCATCGGCCCCGATCGCCACCAACCGTTGGACCCCGACGGCACCATCCCCTCGAACCACCTTCACAATTTCGAGCACTCCAACATTTCCCTCACTTTCTTCGTCTACGCTTTCTTCTCAATCGTTCTAGATAAGCTTGATTCGCCCGCGCGCTACGGCTTGACTAACTTGCTAGGGGCCGTGGCGTTCGGCCAACAACTCCTCCTCTTCCACCTCCACTCTGCGGACCACATGGGAGTCGAGGGCCAATACCATTGGTTGCTACAAATTGCGATTTTTATCTCGCTTTTGACGACCCTTATGGCCATTAGTCACCCCAAGAGCTTCTTGAATGGGTTTGTGAGATCGGTGAGTATATTGTTCCAAGGGGTGTGGTTCATGCTCATGGGGTTCATGTTATGGACGCCGAGCCTAATTCCCAAAGGGTGTTTCATGAACCTCGAGGAAGGTCATAAAGTGGTGCGATGTCACGGGGAAGAGGCCTTGGATCGCGCTAAATCGCTCGTCAACATTGAGTTTAGTTGGTATGTCGTTGGGGTGGTGATTTTCTCCATGACCCTTTATTTGATTGTCGTAAAATTTTATGGTGATGGGGTGGAATACCAATCCATATCAAGATTTGTGCTACGAGACGATGATTACAGCAACGACGAAAACGATGATGATATGGAGGCACAAAAGAAGGGCAATGTTGGAAATAACATCAAGGGGGGAAGTGCTAAGAGTTTTCTGCAAATTGGAAAGCCAATGAATAGTATGGATGTTGAAAGGTAGCTAAGATATGAGTGTTGAAATTAATTAATTAATTAAAAGGGTGGGTACATACATAATTTTTAAGGTGGTTTAGTGTAAGAATTAGGGAAAAGGTGTCACTTGTGTACTGTATGTATGATGATGCTATGCTAGTATTACATGTGTCCTTTCTTAGCCACAAGAATGTTGGCTTCATACGTTTGTTTATTAATTTGTGTCTCGTGTCATCTCACCTTGGAAAAGATTTCAAGGGGGAAGGAACCATGAAAGTGCTGTGATGTTACTTGGTTTGAATTCCTGGTGAGATTTGTACGTTGTGCTTCTTGTGTTGTACAGTGCGTCAAGTCAAATCACATCACACGATTCTTTTAGCATTTTATTTAACATCAGATCATTTTTTTATTGAAAGCAAACCCCTACCAATGATATTAATAATATAGCATAGCATTAGTAAATAAAATAATTTACTTAATATCATAAGAAGTAATGCTAAATTGTATTATGCTATATGCTCAATAAAATTGACCAAAAATCAATTCTTATATGCATAAAATATATTAAAATATGGGAATTTAATAATAATTAATAATTATGATATATAAATGAATGTGTATGACGTGATATTTTAAGTAAAAAGTAAATTTTGATATAATATCTTAAATAAAAAAAAATATATTTACTATAATATTTTAAATAAAAATATAGTTTGTGTAAAATTATTAAAAAGCGACAGACAGAATAGAATAGTTTAATTTACTCTATCCGATTGACTTTATTGATATAACAACTATTACAATCCATGTAATGTAACCAAGGTCTCTTTCCAAATTTTCTCCTAATTATTGTCACTAATTTGAATTAAAATAGTAAATAAAATTCTAATTAGTATAAAATGTCATAATAGGTTAATTATCTATAGATAGCTTCGGCAATATGTTTAAATATTATCTAAAAAAGTAAGGAGGGATGGCGCCGGCGTCAAAGTCCGGGCCGCCTGGGCCTGGCGGCGGTCACTTAAATGCTAATGACAGCGTGTAATTAAATTTAAGGAGGTCCGTATTAATTATATATTTATGGATAAATCCAATCTGATGATATCTGGATAATACGAAATGGATTGTCTGATTTGGAGTGACGTGTGCCCTTGCATAATGCTCACATAGATTAAGATTATTATTATTATTATTATTATTATTATTATTATTATGAATTATGATGATGATAGGCAGTAGTTGTTTATTGCAATCTTCTTTTATATATTTAAAGGATGGTTGAATAAAAATATATATGTGTATGCGTAACGCTTGACTCATTGATGGAGTGTGGGATTTAGTCATTTATCATTATTATTATTATTACTACGCAAGAAAATATTCTATTTTATTTTTAATCACTCGTATTAAATTTTATGATAATTAGAGATGTGATTGATTAATTATAGTGGTATTGTTATGGCAAATAAAAATTAATGAAATCATTATATAAAAACAATTTTACTCGAATGTTCAAAACTATAAAATAACAAAAATCAAACAAACTACAAATACAAGCAGTACGTACGGTATTCTATTATTATTATTATTATTATTATTATATCAACAATGATAGCACAGCAATTTGGAGTTTAATTGATCAAAACAATTATATCATTTCAAATATAAAATATTAATTTGCCAAATAAACAAAATTTGAGAAATGCAAATCATGATAATTTTATCAACATAATTCCAATTCTTATTAAACGTAAATTCTATCATATACATAAATTTTATTGTAAAATCTCCATCTTATGAAAAAGTCCGTAAACCAAATTGTTCCTATAAAAATTTAAATTTAATTCACATTTTTCCAAATTCTTTAATATCCAATCATTTTGATATCCAAGAAAGACTACGATAGAAGAAAGAAGCTTATTACACTTAGACCTAATCTTGATCCAATAGAATTGGGCCCATTTCTGGGCGGCCGAACGAACGAATCTGCTGTACGATCAATTCCATCCCATCGGAACGCTGCGCTGCTTCTGTTCGATTCCTTCGTCACTCACTTACTAATGCCATTTCCACTTCGCTGTTGAAGTCCTTCAAATTCTTGCTCATCCAGGAGGTACTCATAGTCGAATTGACCGAATTTCCAAGAACCCCCGCTCCTTTTGCTCTGCTGACGAGGTGCCCCATCCGCTAAACTTTCTAGGGCTACAACGGCGCCAGATGATTTGGGGTTGATCGACTTCGCCGCAGTCGAATTTGTGCTTCTTGTTCTTGGATTTTGTACCACAGAAGACAAGGATATCAAACTGATTGTGTAATGGTCGGGGGTTTTGGACATACGGCCATTGGACTGAGTGAGAGAGGGGCGACCTTTCTTTAAATGGAACCAGAAGAAGAGCCTCAGCAAAAGCGACCTCACCTCGACAACAACGACTCCTCAATGGCTCGTCACTCTTCTTCTCCTCCTCCTGATGACAACAAACCTGTAAGTGCTGTGCTGTGCAGTTTTTTTGTTAGCTAATATTCTGTATATAGCCTGCGATTTGCCTCTGCTTTCACTGATTTCTATATGCAATTTTAGCTGTTTTATGTTTCAGTTAATTATTATCTGGATTATGTTTTGCTTTGGTATCTAGGATCCCACAGTTAGATTCAACTCGAGACTGGGTTTGGTATAAGGGTTTTAGTAGTGGGTTTTGGGTTTCATTATGATCAATTTAGTGTAGCAGCTGTGGCTGGCTTGGAATGGGATAGTTGGGTTGTTTCCATTAAATGGGATATAAGAATGAGGTAATCCTTGAAATCTGACTGCAATTAGGAGCACAATGGATGCAGTTATACTATTCTTGTCTTCTAACCATAATGATAATGATAATCAATTAAATAGCAACAATACGAACTGCTTTTCTTGTTGCTTGAACTGACAATTTGGTGTATGGTGTTGCAAGGATTCTGAGGAAAAGTTGCCCAGTAAAAGTCCGGAGTAGTTTTAATGTATGCTGTGACTGGTAGAGTGAAAAATGGCCATGTGAAAGTTTTTCGGAGTTTCCTTCATCTAATGGTTGTTTATGATTTCAAACACAAATCTATATAATTCAACACGCATAGTTAATAAAATACATTATTTTTTGTCACAAAACGTGAAAATACTATTTAAATAAAAACTCAAATTTAAAGCTCCATTTCAAATCAATTTCAAACTAGAACCAAACAATTATGACTTTCATTTGCTTCTTTTGCAAAGCTGGATGTTTGTTTGAGAGCTTGGATTATATTTTCAAAAGGGATGAAGTTGTCAAATCTATTCACCAGGTGGATGCAGCAGTTCTGCAGTATCAGAACCAGAAACTTGTTCAACAGTTGGAAACACAGAAGCATGGACTCCATGATCTTGAATTGAAAATCCAAGAATTGAAAGAAAAGCAAACTGCTTACGATGACCTATTAATTAATGTGAATCAACAATGGAACCAGGTTTCTAATTTCATGTCTTGTTGCTGTATATTCAATATATCCTTCGTGTGTACATGAATAGTATCCTTTATCAGTTCAGTGGCACCTATGTGTAGTTGATTGACGATATCATTTTGCTTGGAGCACAAGCTGGGGCTGCCCAAAGTGCTTTGCAAAGTTTCAATGATGTAGAATCTTCTCGAGGTAGTGTTTGGATTTTCCTCAGTCCTGGTGATGTGAACATCTTTGATATACATATACATTCTGACTTCACTTTAGGGTCTATTCCGTCGTGTCCTGCGGAGGATATATTTCTTTGTAGGTTGTTACAAACGGAAAGCAAAACTGATGGATCAATTAGCTATATCAAAGAAACTCTTGCATCACGTCAGACTTCTACTAGAGAGATGATGAAATTACTAGAAAATGCTATTCATTCTCGGAGAACAAAGTTAAAGGATATTGCCCGGATTTTTTCCGAAAAACCATCAGCTGAAGGTTATGAGATTCCTTGTCAAGAAACCTGATAATCTAATTTTTGCGACTTTGTAAATTGATGCCTAAATTTCTTGCACAGTCATTTGTTGCCCTAAGGTGCAACAAATATTTATTTTTGTATTGTTGTGTATGTTTTCAGATGCTGTTATCCAATTGCGTAAGCTTGGTGGCTTTGTAACGGAGGAGACGAATTGGCTTAATGAGGTTATTGAAGTGCTTCATCTTAAACAGAAACAGTATGCTGATGAGATTGAAACTCGCATGAAAAACCATTTGGCTGATCAGTTAGAGATTAAGCGCCTTGCTGGTAGTGCATTTTTTATTATTTTTTTTCATGTGAACGGAAGCATGCTATAAAATAATTGATTTCACAACACTGATTTATGTTTACCTGCATTATTTAAATTGGCACTAATATAGTGAGCTTGACTCTTATCTATTACCAAAAGTTTTTAAATGTGCACACTTTTTGTGTTTGAAGGAGAGGTGGAAGAAAGCTTGGCAGAACTGGAAGAAAGTAGAAGGAAACTAATTAATCTCAAAATGCAGAAGGATGGGGTTTCTGGAATACATGTTCCAATTCCTATCCCTGCTATAGTTCCTAATGCTGTGAATGGAACCATCTCTCCAGAAAAACATACTGATAGGTCTAAAAGATTACGAGAACTTAAAGAATCTCTTGAAGCAGCAAAGGTTACCATCATTTATATTATATACACACATGCACATATAGATATAGATATTGGTATAGGTATGATGTTGATATCATAATGCATGATATTCTTTAATCTTTTTTGATAACATGTTATTCATTAATTTTGATCGTATGAAATGTAGTTACTAGCTGAGGATAGGCTTTCTGAGATAGAAGATGCTCAGGAGGATAACAAAGTTTTGTCAAAGCAGCTGCAGGCTCTTCAGGTTCTAAATAAAGCCTTTTGATATGTTGCCTATGTGGCGCTATTTTATATGGCAAGGCGCGTGCCAGATGCACATGGTGCAAGGCATGATTTTAATATTATTTATTAGGGTTAATGAGGATTAATTAGGGCTACTTTTGGTTTTTATCTTTTAGAAAAACATTAAACAAAATTATCGAAAGGTTTATTTTATCTTTTCTAAGTTTCTCCATCATAGCCACTGCGCTCTGCCCTCCTGTTTTTCATATATTCTTTTTCCTCTACACATCGATCTTCCATTTCACTTTTCCATATCAACTGTTTTTTTCTTTTTTGGGGGGCAGGGGGTTCATTTAGGGTTTGCGGCTACTACTTTTTAGACTTATGGTTTGTTTAATTGTGTTTTTTTCTACTCTGTTTTTTCCTAATCCACAACTATTTTACACTAAAAACATAAAATGTGTATGTTGAAGTTCAATCCTATTCAATATACTTATGTAGTTAGTTCTGGATGGTTAAGTCATATTGTCTTCCACCATTTTCTCTTTTGATTTTTTCGCTGTTATTGAATCGAAGTTAATTTTCGTAGTTTCATGTTTACGTATCTTCTATAAGATGCTTCAATGATTGTTTTTGCTTGTTGAAGGTTTGTTTTATTAATTGCATATATGTGTGTTATGTATATTAAAAATATAATAATAGTAATTATAGTGCTAACTATGGCCTACCTCTAAAATTTGTTGTTGTTGCTTATAAAGGATGAATTGAAAGAGGAGAAGTACGTCTATACATCTCGCCCTTACTCCTTCATGAATGAGCAACTCCAGCATTGGAATGCTGAGGCAGAGCGCTGTAGAGCATCAACAGAATCTGTACAAGTATTCTACTTGCGATAGAATTTATTTTTTATTATTATTTTTATCCACAAGGCATTTGCTGAGAGTGAAATTTTAGGCTGAAAAGCATTCCAACATGCGAAAGCTGAAAGAAGTGACAGCAAAATTGGACTCTATAGATGCTGCAAGGAATGCTATTGTTAGTTCAGAGTCCAAGCTTGAAGAATTGCAGAATCAGTTGCAAACAACTGTTGCTGAGAAGAACGAGTTGGAGATGAAGCTGGAAGAAGTTATGCAAGATTTAGGTTGATGATCAAGTGCATAGACTCATTAACACTGTTGATTCTTACACATTCACATCCTGATCTGAGTGTCACTGTCTCTTTTCAGGAAGAAAAGATGTCAGAGAAGAGTTTGAGGTGATGTCATCTGCACTGTCAAAAGAAATGGAGATGATGGAAACTCAATTACACAAATGGAAAAATACGGCTGATGAGGCCCTCTCCTTGCGTGAGAAAGCCCACTCACTCAATGCATTGCTAAATGTGAAGGTTTGACTGCATTCTACATGACATTCCTTGGTATCCTCCATTATACTAAATCTTCTTTGACCCTTACCGTTTTTTCTGTATGAACCTTAGTTTCCAGCCCTAAGTTGAAACCTTTGTATTTAGGTTCTATTCCTGAAAAAACACAATACTAAATAAAAACTACAAACATATTGTAAAATTATGAAACCATATTCGTTTGCTTCCTTTCAGGCTTGAATTTTATTTACTTTGAATATGAGAATATGCTCTCGGGGATAAGAGAGCACGAGAATAAAGGGAAAAAAAAATCAAAGAAACCGAAAAGGGTAACAAAATTATGCTGTGTATCTTGGATGTTTTACCTAAAATACTTGGAAAAATTATAAAACACCACAATCGAATTCTTAGGGTTTTTTCTTTTCATTCAAGTTGGAAAATTTAAATTTCTGCTTTCATTGTTGTGATAATGTTCCCAATATTTGAATTTGTTGCATTGTGTTTTTTTTTGGTACCAAATCAACCCCACCCCCCCCCCCCCCCATGTGGTGCAGTTATAATTGTGATCCTCTTTGTTTTTAGTATTCAAACTTGTCTTTTAATGGTGAATTTTATCAGTGATTCTAAACCTTTGCTCCATTTTCTTGTTAGCAGACTACTGAATTAACAAAGTTGGCTGATGATTATGTTCAGGAGAGGAGGGAAATCAAGTCTTTGAAGGACATTGTATGTGTTTCTATGATTGTTATCTAATTCACTCTTCAGCAATGTAAGATCTTACTTGACTCTGAGAATTCAATTTGCAGAGTGACAAAATGCAGAAGGAAAATCAAGAGCTAGAAATCTTCTTGGATATGCTGGGTCAGCAAATTTATGATAATAGGTAGCTCTTCACATATTTTGAGGAAGCTGATAAAGAAATACAATTTTATTTTTTTGAAGCTCAGGCTTATTGTGTATATTTATAGATAGTATTACATCACCAAAGTATCTGTATGTATACCTGTTAGTATGATTTTCCTTGCTGCATTTTAGTACTTATTCTGCCACTGCCTTATACTTTTGTCTGACGAAGGAGCTTGGCTGAAATTAAAGAATCAGAGCATAGAGCACGCTTGCAAGCTGAAACTTTGAAGAGTGCTCTAGACGAACATAGTTTAGAATTGAGAGTAAAAGCTGCTTATGAAGCTGAGGCAGCATGCCATCAGAGGCTTTCTGTTGCTGAAGCTGAGATAGCTGAATTAAGAGCTGAGTTGGATGCTTCTGACAGGTTCATGACTTTTCTTTCTGTGGGGGTTTCTAAGAATAATTTTTAGGTTTACAATTTGAAAAAAAAAATTTGGATGAAAATACTATAAGAGAACTCTTTAGGGCAACTGATTGTTATGATTAGTATTGAAGATTATGTGCTATTTTTTATGCTTCCATTACCATAACAACCAAATGTGCTAATTACCCTACTGTTTTTAGTTGTACAATTATTTAATTTCCATTACCTTTCAGTTATTGAGGTGTTGTTGATGTACCTGGCCTACTGTCAAAGCTTATTTGTATTTCCGGAATGCACTTTCTTTGTGGCTTCACTTTCTGTCTAATTGCTGCAATTTGGTTTCCATCTTGTATGTATGTACATTTTTTCTTCCTTATATTACCCCTTTTCTGAAACAAATGAAGCATGAAGTGTGAAGGATATACTTCCCTAGCGAACCTTGGAATGCCCTAGGCCCAGAAAGTGTAATCTTTTGCATGATTATTGTATTGGAAATAATGTTTATTGTTTGAAACTGTTGTTCCCAGACCATATGTTAACAGCTAGTTGCTGAGTGGATTATACTATATCATTATCTCTGAACTAATCCCCAATCCCTCTGAACAGGAAAATATAAAATAACATTAAAAACTGAGAGGAAAGGTTTCAAATGTAGTGGTGTAGTTGTTCAATTATTGAAGAGGAAGCACAGCAGAATATAGATATAAGATAGGTGTTATAACTGTACATTTGTTCTGCCTTATATTATTGAAACTGTGGGAATATTTACTTGCAGAGATGTACTAGAACTCAAGGCAGCAATCAAGATTAAAGAAGGTGATGCAGAGTCCTATATATCTGAAATCGAGGTACAAATTTGGCCGATTGTGAGGCTGCTAACAATGCATGTTTAAGAGGCAGAGTTTCTACCGCCCCTCTCTGCTTCATTTTGGTGTTTCGTGAAAGTGTTTGGTTGTACCTGCAGACTATTGGTCAAGCTTATGAAGACATGCAAGCTCAGAATCAGCGTTTGTTGCACCTAGTTACTGAAAGGGATGAATTTAATATAAAGGTTTTTATTTATCTGTGTCATTCAAATTTCATTTTCCTTGATGCTATAATCTACTTTATATGATTTTTAAAGTTATATTTTTATGTGATGTGACCTTTTTTACAAATTATTTGATTAGCTATTCATTTTGCAGCTGGTATCCGATAGTGTTAAAGCTAAGCAATCGCAAAGCATATTACTGTCTGAGAAAGAAGGCTTAGCAAATCAACTCAAACAAGTTAATGGATCACTTGAAGCATTGAAGTCAAGAATAAATCACTTTGAGGAGCAGGTAAAATGGTTCTCACAAATTAAGAAAGTATAATTTAGAACCCAGCTGCCTCTCTCTAATGCACAAGTAAACCCTGCAGATGAAAGTTCACTTCCCAGAAGCATTAAGTGTGATTCAAGAAGAGAGGCCTAAGGTGAACTACGAAGTTCTAAAGTGGCAGTTAACAGAGGCTGAGAAGGAACATAAGATGCTGAAATCTTGTCTGTTATCATCCGAGAAAGAACACGAGCAGCTCCTGCGAAAAATAGATGATGTAAAGATACAATTAAATGATGACAGGTAATATTTGTTGGATGATTTTTCCTACTTATATTGATATTTTTCTGCTGAATATTTTTTTTACATGATACATGAAAGGTTTACTGATATAAAGATACATATAATGATGAACTGTAAAATTTGTAAGATGATCTTTTCTATATATATTGAAAGTCTCCACTTAATACTTTTGATGTGATACATAGAGATATGCTAATAACAAATATACTATTAAATAATGAAAGGGATCTATTAGATGATTTTTACAACTTACATTTGAAAGTCTCTGGGCAATAGTTTTTATGTGATACATAAATTTTTACTTGGACGAACGTCCAGCCTTAAACTAACTGCTCTACCACTGCTTTGGGTTATTGAACATGCGTAGTGTGCGGTATGTATTCTGAAGGGAGTTTTGTTTACAATGGTTGTTGCATGAGGATGATGATGATTATGAACAATGGAATGCAATGCAGAAGTGAGGGAAAGAAGCTGGATGAAGAGGTGGACGAGCTGAAGAGAAGAGTTGACGAGCTGACCGAGGAGACTGGGGAGGCAGCAATACAGAAGCTGCAGGATGAGATCAAAGACTGCAAAGCCATAATTAAGTGTGGGGTGTGCTTCGATAGACCTAAGGAGGTATGTCTGTCTGTCTGTCTGTCTCTCTCTCTCTCTCTCTCATTGATTCTTATACTTCTTGCATTGCATTGCATTGGATGTCATGTAATAATAATAATAATAGCCGTATATATATAATGTGGCGTGGGGGGCAGGTTGTGATAGTGAAGTGCTTCCATCTGTTCTGCAACCAATGCATCCAAAGAAATCTAGAGATCCGGCACCGCAAGTGCCCCGGGTGTGGAACTGCGTTTGGGCAGAATGATGTTCGGTTTGTAAAGATCTGATGGAGAGGGATTTATGATGTGAATGTGAATGTGAAGCAAGGCAAGGAAGGAAGGAAGGGGGGGCGAAAGAGATTGAATTGAGGCTCAGGCACGAAGGCATGCAGGCTGTTATGGTGTGGGAGTGAGTGTTGTAGCAAATGAATCCAATATAAGTTAGTTAGATGGCTAGCTAGTTGTTAGTTAATTGCCTGTGTGTGTCTGAATAGCAGTTAGTGAGTGAGTGAAGAGTGGAGTGGAGTGGATGGATGGAGTGACCGGGAGAGGGAGAAAGAGAGACCTGAATGATGAATGATGATGATTTTGGTGAATGAATGAATGAATGGGAAGCAGCAGCAGCAGCAGCAGCAGCATTGATTGATTGCTCCTTGGCTTTGTTTGGATGTTTCTTATTCTTGCCTCCTCACCCAATTGAATGAATGAATTGAATGTAGGGTAGCCATGCATTGCCAACTTTGCACTTTGCATACCAATACCAATACCAATACCAATACAATACGACAACAAGTACAACCACCAATTTCGAAGTCAGCCCCCATTAATTACCTTACCCTGCTGCAATATGTTGTAATGTACTACCACTACCACTGAAACTAACTGATCATGTAATGTAATGTTAGTCGGCCAGTCTGCAGCTTCATTGTGCTTGTGCTTGTGCTTGCGGCGGCCACTCTCTCTCCCTATCTCTTATCAATTCATAGCCCAACCCTGAAATGAAATGAAATGTCATGTCTTGATTAGAGAGAGAGCAGTAATTCGTTCCACGCACGCAGAAAGACAGTTAGCCACGCGGATCATATCAGATCGGATCAGATCAGATCATTGATTCACACACACAGAGATTCAAGACACAACCAGCCAGCCAGCCAAAATCCAATCCAGTCGGAGGAGAAATGCTCCTGCAAATCGCCACGCCCGCCGTCGCCGCCTACTGCTGTTATTATACTACCAGCACCAAGTCCAAGAGGCATTGTCCTCTCCATCCTCCTTGTCCCAAACCCACACCCTTCTTGCCTCCGCTGGGCAGCAGGTTTCATCGGAGTTACGCCGCCGCCTCCTCGTTGGGTCAGACTCAGACTCAGACTCAGCGAGTAGTATCTCTGCTTGAGACCACCACCACCCCTGTTATTTTGTGGGCGGGACGGCTCTGTGTCTTCTATGCTCTCTTGAAAGCTGGTTTGGCTGGCTCTCCCAATAATCCCATTCTTGCTGGTACACAGAGACTCACCGACTAGTGCCATCTTCCCCCCCTTTCCTTTTCCATCTATCTGTCTATCTATCTATCCATCCAACTCTTTCTTTTCCCTTGGATGGCAGAATCGGAAAACGAAGCTGGAGATTTAGGGTTCTCCAAGTGGTTTGGGAAGCTGAGCAAACCAGGTCTGTCTGTTGTCTTTCTACTTTCTTCGAATTCATCATTCATCCATCACTTACTTTACTTGTATTCATTTGTTTGCTGAGTTTCGCATTGTTTTCGTGAGTTCTCTATCTGCAACAAGCCATTGACTGACTGTTGCTTAAGTTTTCCACAAAATCATGCCTGAATTGAATGCATTTGATTATCAATAAACAGGCACCGGAGAGAGGGAGATAGATGAGATATGGTCCTGTCCTGACCTGTCTGTTATAACTTGATTTCCACTGGCCGATGCTTACTAGTGGTGACATCACATCACATCACATCACAACAAGTAGATGACATTGCTAGTTAACATCTCTGTTTTCTCACAGTTTTGAGTTACTAACTTCACTCGTTAAATTCTAATGTGTTGGAATTTGTTGTATATGTGTAGTGTAGGGTGATTACTCATAACTATTCAAGTTTGTATACCAGTAACTTAATTAGGAATATGGACCTATAGAATTAAATAAAAGGATTAGCAGAGACAAATAGAAAAGTGGAAACAAGATCAATCATACTGTATGAGTTCTTTCTGATGGATATAACTATCAGTTCATTTGTGTTCAAGAAATGCGTCCTGATGAGAGAGATAAATGCCTTCATCTGTTCCGGCAAGATTTGCGGAACTGGAAATGATAGCTCAGTTTCTAATGTTGCTGTTGAGCATAAAAAAATGGTAGATCGGGTGGTGACCAGGTCGGGTACGGAATTCAGAAGTAACAAGGTCTGGTGCAAAGGTCGGGTACGATCAGGACGGGTACGAAGTTCGGGTGTAGGAATGAGACGGTATAAGGACGGACACGGAGGTAAGACGATATGAGGTCGGGACTAAAGGTCAGGTACGATAAGGTCGGACCTGGTCGGGCCAAGCTTAAAGGTCGGGCGCAATTAGGCCGAGTTCGAGGGTCGGGTATGATAAGGTCTGTCAAGACGAAGGTCGGGCAAGGAAAAAGTATGGACAGACGCGGAGGTCTGTCAAGAGGACAGTCTGTCCTTCAAAGGAGAGAAGGCAAATAGAGCCGATCGGTTGCTCTGTGGTCGGGAACACAGTTGGTTGGTCTGCAGTCGGGACCGAGGTCGGTTGGTCCGTGGTCGGGACCACAGTCGGTTGTTATGTGGTCGGGACCACAGTTGGTTGGTCTGCAGTCGGGACCGAGGTTGGTTGGCCGTGGTCGGGACCACATTTGGCTGGTCTGCGGTCGGTTGGTTCTCAGTCGGTTAAATAGGTCGGATGGTCCTAAGTCGGTTGAGCAGGTCGGGCGGTCCGCAGTCAGTTGAGTCGGACGACACGGAGGTCGGCTGATATGGAGGTTGGTTAATGCAGAGTTCGGACCAAGTAAGGTCAGGCGACCAGTTAGTCTCTAGATTGATCGGGTGGCACAGAGGTCGGGCGAAACGAAGTCGGGCAAGAAGGGACATGGCAGTGGATGTGCAAGTCGGGTGAGATAGTAGTTTCTGATAGTGGAGGGAAGTTTCAACTGGTGAGCGGTTTCTGAAGGTTTGACTTGGTGGGTCGGTTGACACACGTGTCAACAGAAGAGGACTTTTGGGGCGGTTGACAGCGATTATTGTAACCGACTAGGTAGCGGTTCGAACCGTTTCTTTAAAGGGTTTTAAATAGGTCTATTTTTTACCTAAAAAACCATCTTCAATCGACAAAAAATTCAAGAGAATTGCTTTTGGGGATCACCACTTTATTTTCCAGTCTTTATTTTTATTTTATTTAATGTATTCTACAGTGTTTAGAGATCCCTAATCTCAGGCACTCATCTATCAAATTTGAAGATATTTCTCTATTTTCGAATTTTACTTTTTATTGTTGAAAAAATACACCAAACAATTTGGTGACCACAGCGGGAGAAAGGCAAGATTGCTGATCCTACAGTACCAGAGAATTTCATACGACTGAGGTCCGGCCGAATCATCAGAAAAATAAATATGGCAGGCACACAACCTCAAGCATCGTCTGCACCGGTGGGAGAAACAGTCCCACCATTTGTCATGCCAAATACAGGGGAAATACCTCAGGCACCTGCTGACTAGGTTTCCTATGTTCAACAATTGAACAATCAGCATAACTTGGCTATGGAGAATATGTTGCGTGAGCAATAAATGTTGTGGGAGCAACAAAACCTTATGCAAAATACGCTAAATCTGCAACCTATACAGACGCCACCAGAATTATCACCATCCAGATTACAGGCGAATTTTGCGGGGGCCCTCTTATGTGGATAGCACGTTTCCAAGTGCTACTACCACCCCTAGGGTTGACAGGGGAAAGACTTCTCTTACATACCCGAATAATATTCCGCTGGGTGTTAGGACCGAACCAACCGACCCCAGAGAGGAAAGAATGGGACTGTATTTGATCCTGTCCCACCCAGGGCGGATCCGGAAGACATTGCTCAGGTCTTAAGAGTACAGTTTGGTTTAAATCCTCAGACGGTCAACAGACTTGCATACCATAGGCCATTCCAAGAGAGAATCATCAATGAGCACCCGCTTCCAAGGAATTACAGAACACCCGACTTTCATTCTTTTTCAGGAGAAGATGGAGCGTCAACCATCGAGCATGTGGGACGTTTCACGGCTCAATTAGAGGAAGTGGGCAATAATTCGTTCTACAAATTACAGTTGTTCGGATTATCGCTCACAAGAACTGCTTTTTCATGGTTCGCCAATCTGCCGCCAGGACAGTTGCAAACTTGGGAAGGTCTGGAGGCTGCATTCCATGCAAGATTTTTTAATCCACTCCCAACGGTTTCACTCACAGATCTCTTTAAGATTCGGCAGATGCCAGAAGAGACCGCTTATCGGATACGTCTGATGAAGGGAAGGTGCCCGACAATCTTCGAGGAAAGTGAAATGACCAATTTAGCGGTTAGGAATATGCATTCCAGACTACGGGATGATATTCAAGACCTGGCCAGTTTGGCTTCCAAAGCAGGAAGGTTAGAATCTCTTTTTAGGGAAAGAGACCATAGTTCCCGACGGAACAGGGTTCAACAGATGGCCGTTGTCGATACAGAAATGTATGCACCAGACGATGACCGGGGAAACATCATTGAGGAAATAGCGGCTGAAATTGTGAGTGGCAAGCCGTACGTGTGTTCCAAACTAAAGCCCTTGCCGGGAACAGAAGAGAGGGAACAACCGACCTTCGATGTATCCAAGGCAGACGAAATTTTCGATATTCTACTGGCAGACGGGCAAATTCGCATTCCTAAAGGGCATCGTTTGGTAACGAAGGAAGAAATAAAGGAAGAATTGTGCCACTTACGTATAATGCGTAAAAGAATTGTTCCACTTACAAGATACGTAAGTGGCACAATTCTTTTACGCATTATACTAATCAATGTACACATTTCCGAAAGGAAATACAGAAGACTATCAAAGCAGGGAGATTCAAGTATGTAACAATGGGGAGTAGAACATCAGCCGTTCCCAAAAGTGACTACTGCAATGATCTTCCTGCGTTCTTCACAAGATGCGCAAAGTGATGATGAAGAGAACACCAAGCGAAAGGAACGCAAGCCCAAAGAGCGGGAACAAAATCAGGAAGTGAAGTTCAAAGTTTGTGAAACCAGGGTGGTGGAGAAATGTGACAGAGAAGATGGGTCGTTCAAAGTGGAATTGAAAGATAAATCGTGGTACGAGACCGACAAACGCGCAAACCACATCCAGTCCAGGAGGAGAAGTGGAGCCGGAATAGAAAGCCTCTGCCAATAGGCATAGATCCTCGATTTTCAGGTATGAATCGCACATAAATTCATAATGCTAAGCGCAGGTATGCGGCTCGGCATGGAAAACGAATAGATAAGGGGAAGGAGAAGAAGGAATCGTCGCCCAAAAGGAAAAGCTCAAGTGAGAGACTTGAGGAGCATTGGCAGACCAGCAAGCCTATCAAGAAGGCCAAGTGTTTTCGATGTCAATTCTGCAAGCGGATCAACATTGATCCTGAAATAGAAGATGCAGAGGAAGAGACTCCTGAGATAATTTTCGGGTCTTTTGCCCAGAAGAAACGGAAGTTTTGCGCAGCAAGATAGTGAAGCTTGATAAAGCCGGGTTCGAAGTCAGGACGACAGATATGCGATGGTTCGCCGAAGAAGAAGAAGAACCCATTTGGGTAAAGTTTGAAGAGGAGGAAGAACCTGAGTGGGCGGCGATGATTGGCAGACCTCCACCTATGGTTTTTCCACCTATACAAGAAGGAGCGATCCCGCACTTAAAACCACTGTATGTTAACGCTTACATATGTGGTAAGCCGGTTAACAAGGTTTTCATCGATAATGGGGTTGTTTTCAATGTCATGTCTCTCAAAACTTTGAGAAAATTGGGCAAAGGGATTGGCGACTTGTCCCCAGTAGACATCGAGATGACGAGTTTCACAGGACAACCAACCAAACAAGAAGGGATGATGGTGGCGTCCATTGAGGTCGGACCAAAGGTGATTTCGACAGTATTTTTCGTCGTAGATGCCAATACCACCTATTCAGTTTTGTTGGGGCGAGACTGGATTCACGCTTCCAGATGTGTGTCTTCTTCTCTCCATCAACAAATTATGTTTTGGGAAGGGGATCGGGTTTTCACTATGGAAGCCAGTGCCAATCCGTTCGGTTCTACAGAAGGTGTGGAAGAATTGGTTCTTTATTTAGAGTATGTACCACCGATTTCACGGACAACTTTGGTGGATGAGTATTCCTAGAAGGGCTGTAGGCTCACTACTCAGGGTTATGTGTTTCATTAGAAACAATTTTCTGCATTATGGCTCTGTTGTTAGCCAAAATAAACCTTTATTTATTTTTAACTATGGAAGAAATAAATAATTGTGATAAGTTGATTAGGCAGTTTTATTTAAACCAATTAATGGTTAGATTACATAATAGTGAAGGTTCCAACAATAATGTTGGCGAGGGAGAAGGCTTTCACTGGCCTGATCTCTTGGAAAAGACAGAAATTTCTTTATCAAGTTAGGATC